AAATATTAAAAATATATAAATTAAAAATTTAAAAATAAAAATTTTGAAAATAAAATAAAAAGTTTTAAAAATATTAATAATTTAAAAGTTTATATTAAAAATATTAAAATTTAAAAGTTTTAATTAAATATATAATTTTATATAAACTTTATATATAAATTTTATATTAAATAAATAATTAAAATAAATTAAATAAATAAATATAATTATTAAATAAATAAATATTAATTTAATAATATTTATAAATATTTAAATATATATAATATATTAAAATAAATTATAATAAATAAAATTTATTATAATTTTTATAAATTAAAAATATATTAAATAAAATATTATTTAATAATAATTTAATTAAATAAAATTAAAATAAAATAATAAAATAATTTTAATTAAATTATATTTTAAAATTTATTTTAAAATTTTAATTATATAATTTTAAATTATTTTTTAAATATAAAATTAAAAGATTTATAATTATAATTTTATAATTAATTTTTATTTAATTATATTATATTATTATAATTTTATTTAATTTTATTTAAACTTTTTTAAAATTTTTAAATTTTTTAATTTTTTTTTTAAAAATTAAATTTAAAAAAACCTTTAAATTAAATTTAAAATTCTTATAAATTTTAATTTTTTTAAATTAAATTTATAATTTTTAATTTTTTAAAAATATATTAATTATTTTAAATATTAATAACTTTTTTAAAATAAAATTTATTTTATATAATTATAAATTTAATTATTAATAATTATTTTTTATAAAATTATTAAATTTATAAACTTAAATATTATATATAATAATAAAATATAATTATTTTATTTAAAAATTATTTTTAATTTAATTAAATAATTATTTTAATAATTTTATTTAATAAATATTTATTTATAATATAATAAAATTAATAATTTTAAATTTATTAAATAAATATTTATTTAAATAAAATTAAAACTTTTAAAAAATAATAACTTTATTTTTATTTATTTTAATTAACTTATTTAAATTATATAATAATTTTATATATAATATTTAATAATATTAAAATTAATTTATAATTTATAATAATTTTAATTTTTAATAAATTAATTTATATTAAAATTAATAATATTAATTTAAATAAATTAAATATAATTTAATATATTAATATAAAAATATTTTTAATAATAAAATATTATAAATATAAATTATAAAGTTATTATAAAAATTTATATAATAAATTTAATTAAATTAATTTTTAAAAATATATTATATTTTATTTTTAAAATTTTAATTATTTATTTTAATTTAATAGTAAAATTAAAAATATAAATAGTTTATAATTTTAAATTATTAATTTATTATTTTTAAATTAAATTTTAATTAAAATTATTAATTAATAATAAATATTTATTTAATAAAAAATAATTATATTTATAAATAAAATTTTTAAAATTTAAATTATTTATTAAATAAAATAATATTAAAATTATTATTTATAATTAATATAAAAATAAAAATAATTAATAAATAATTTAAATTATATAATTTTAATTAATAAATTATAATAAAAATTTATTATTAATTTTTAAAATTTAATTTTTATATAATTTAATTAATTTATTAATTTATATATATATATATATATATATATATATATATAATAATTTATATTAATAATTAAATTATTATTAAATTATTATTAATTATAATTAATTATATTTATATAAAAATATTAAAATATTTTATTAATTATTTTTATAATTTAATTAAAATAAAATTAAAATAAAAATATTAATAATATTATTATTAAATTATTATTTTATTATTTTATTATTTTATTAAAATATTATTAAAATAAAAATATTTTATATTTAAATTATTTATTAAATTAATAAAATATTTTAAATTTTATTTTAAATTATTATATTTTATTTAATTATTTTATATAATTAAAAATATTTTTAAAATTTAAATAATTTTATAAAATATTAATAATATATTTATAATAATTATAAATAATTTTATTATAATATTAAAATTTTTATTAATTTAATAAATAATTTATATATAAAATTTAAAAATATATAAAATAAATATTAATTAAATAATAAATAAATAAAATAAAATTAAATTAAAATATTAATAAAATAATTTAAATTATTAATAATAAAAATATTATTTAATTAAAATAAATTATTATAAATATTTAATTTTTAAAATATATTATATAAAATAATTTTATAAATATATTATAAAATTTATATAATAAAATAATTTTATTTAATAATTAAATTTTATTTAAATAATTTAAATAATTTTTTAAATTATAATAATAATATTATTTAATTTAATTAATTTAATTTATATAAATATATAATATTTTAATTTTTAAAATTTATATATAAATTATTTAATAAATAAAAATATTTAATTATATTAATTAATTTTTATAATAATTATTAATAATATATAAATTAAAATATTATTTATATATTTATTTATTTATTTATATAAAAATATAAATATATTTTATTATATTTATTATATTATTAATATATATTTTATATAATATTTTTAATATAATATTTTATTTATTTATTTATTATAAAAATAAAATTTTAAATATATATAAAATAAATATTAAATAAAATAATAAATAAAATAATAAAAATAAATTAAAATTAAATTTTATTATATATATATAATTTAATAATTAATTTATTTTATTATATTATTATTTATAATATTTTTATAATATTTATTTTATTAAAATTTATATATATTAAATTTTAATTAAATATATTTTAATAAATTATTTTTATAATATTTAAAATATTAATTTTATTTTTAAAAATATTAATAATTTATAAATAAATTTTAATATAAATAAATTAATTAATAAATAAATTTATATAAATATTTTTAAAATAATTATTTAATAAATAATATTATTTATTAAATAATATTTTAAAAATACTTTTAATATTCTTATAATAATTTTATAATACCCTTATATTTTTATATTTTATAATAATAAATTAAAATAAAGTAAAAACTTAAAATATTTATTATATTTATTATATAATTTATTTAAACTTTTAAAATTATACTTATTTTATTTATATAAGCTATAATTTTACCCTTAAAATACTTTTAAAGTACCCTTAAAGTACCTTTAAAATACCTTTACTCCTTTATAAATACCTTTTATTATTTTTAATTTTTTATTTTTCTTAATTTTAAGCTTATTATCCTTCTTAAAAGATTATTATTAATATTTATAAAGTTTTTATAACCTATTTATTAATAATTAAATTAAAATATAAATTATAATAATTTTTTAAATATTATTTTTATTAATTTAGCTTTTATAACTATTTAAAAGGTATTAATAATAACTTAAATATTATTAAATATATAATAAAACTTATAAATAGAAAGGGTTTTATTATAGTTTTTATTTAGTAATAAATGTTAATTATTATACTTTTAATTATTTTTAAAAAATTAATATATATTATTAAGGTAAATCTTATATTTAATTAATGTTTTTAAGGTAATTAATTTTTAAATCTTTTTAAGTTATAGTAATATTAATAATATTATAAGAGTATTACTTAAAGTATATTATTATATACTAATTCTCCTTATTATATTTTAAATATTTCTTTATTTTAATAAGGTAGGCCTTCATTTTTAAGAGGTAATACTTATATTAGAGGGTAAATATTTTTCCCTAATTATTTCTTTTTAATTATTTTATTATTTTTTTAATTATTTTTAAAGTATAATTTTATTATTAGGAAGGTTAGAAATGTTATTAATTATATTTTAATTAGCTTTTAATTTATTATTAATTTATTATAAATTAATATATTTATTAAAGATAATAAGTACTTTAATATTATTCTTTTTAATAAGGTTTTATAAGGTTTTTAAAAGAGGTTAAAGTATTAAAAGTAAAGATAAAGTTCTTCTTTAAAATAGGAATAGCCTCTATTATAGCTATTTAATAAGCTTTAATATACTTTTTTATAAATACTATTATAATATCTTTAATTAGCTTTTATTTAACCCTTATAAACTTTACTAAAATTTACTTATAAATAAGATTTTTTTTTTAATAAAAGGAGGGCTACTTTTATTATTACTGCTATTATATATTTTATAAACTACTTTAAGATATTAAGTATAAAGTTAAATAGTTTTTTAAATTTAATTTATTATATATTAATTAAAATACCCTTAAACCTCCTTTAATAAGCACTTTTTATAATATTTTTATATTTTTTAATATAATAAAAGAGTATTTTTTTAATTAGATAAACCTTTTTAACTCTACTTTTATTAACTATTAGAATAAGGATATTAAAGTTATAAGGCTTTTAATAAAGGCCTTATATTAAATAATATAAAGCTATAATATATTAATTAATTTATTCTTATTTTACCCTTAAATAATTAAAATAAAAATAAATATTTATATTAAAGATAATATTAAATATATTTATAGTTATTATTAATCTACTTTTAAACTATATTTAAAAGGAGAAAAAGCTAAATAAAAGTATATATTTATAAACTTAGGATTTTATATAATAAAGGGGGTTAAAGTTTAAATATTACTATTTTTAATTTTAATAGTATTAGTTAGCTAATATATAATTAATATAATAAGTAAATATAGAGTAAATAGTATTTTAAAAGTATTTTAAGGGTATTTTAAATATTTTTAAAATATAATTAAAATATAATTAAAATATAATAAAAGTAAGTTATAATTGTAGTTAAAATGCATTTAAAATGGAATATAAATACTATTATAATATTAGCTATATACCCTTTACTTATATATTTATATTTAATAATTTAATAATCTACTAAAAGTATTTTAATAGTATATTATATATAAGATATTAGATTAATATAATATATATTTTTATTTATACTAGAAAAATACTAGACTCCTACTACTTAGCCTAATTAGATTAAGGTTTTTAAGCGAGCTTTAGCGTATTTTAAGCGAGCTACCAGCCCAGAATAAGATTTCGCCGTGCCTTACGGAGTTGCTGCAGCCCTTGTCTTGTGTCGCCATCCCGGCCCTGCGCCCGCCTGCCTGTCCGTACTGGGCTTCCGTACCTGGCTCCTCCTTCCCTGCCGCCGCTACTGCCTTCCCTGCCATCCATCCTGCCTGCTTGCATTGCCGCATTGCTGCATTGCTTGCTGCATACGCCTCTCATTCTTTCATTTCCTTATCGATCGACCTCTTTCCCTCACTCCCGTCGACATCTTTTTTCCCCCCCGACAACCAAACTTTTTTTTGTGTCGACGCCCAGCCCACCGTCAACCCGCCCGCTGCCCGCCAATCGCAGTCTTGAACCCCAAGACACAAGCGAGAGTCCACGCCCAGCCCAGCCAGCCAGCCAGCCGTCCACCCGTCCACCCCGTCTCCAATGCGAATGCTCTTGGGCTGAGCGCGAGAGACTAGAGCAGAGAACCCATGGTCGCGACCGTCACGCCTGCCGCCTCTGCCCAACGGCCCCGGCTGTGTACCTCACCTGTCGCCTTTGACGCCCCTGAAATTACTCCCGGCCTCGAGAGCCCGGCTGCTCCCCACCACCACTTTCCGTGCTCAACGCCGACGCCAGCGGCTCTCGCCCGCCCACCAACCCCGACGACTCTCGCCGCGCTCGCATAGCCCGTTGCCAAATAGTGCGCGACAGCCGCCCTGCACTGATCGTCACGCTGGCTCGCAGCCATGTCGCTCAACGGCCTGGACGCTGCCGCCGTCAAGGAAGCCTACGATGCCGCCGTCGCAGAGCCCGGAGGATGGTACGTGATGTGTGATGTGATGCGCAATTTCTCCTCGCACACGGGGCGCTTCCGCACCCACGCCCGCCCCGCGCATGTGCAATGTAATGCGATCTTGTGCACATGGGTCGCGAGGAAATTATTATGCCATACCATGTTTTGTGCAGGCCCAACGCTGACCCCGCCAATTGTGCCCGCCCGAACAGGTTCCTGCTCAAGTACACCAGCCGCGATGAGGTCGACGTCTTGGCCAAAGGCAACGGTGGTACCGTGGACATGCGCAACAACATCGCCAAGTATGACGAGACGTCGCCGTTGTTTGGTCTCCTACGATACCGTCGCAGGAATGTGATCATCAAATACCTGCCCGAGGGCTGCTCCCGATTGATCCAAGGTATGTCTCAGGTGCTGCCCCCCTCCTGTTTTGCTGCCCTAGCTATGGCCCTCCGTGCCTCTGCTGCGATTTACTCTTTAGGGAGGTCCTGCTGACTCTCGCCCTCTCACTTACTCGTCTGCAGCACGACTCGCCGTCCACTTTAATGCGGTGTGCGAGCGCTTCGCCCCGTATGACACCACCTTCGACATCGCCGAGGCCAAGGAACTCAAGGACACCAAGCTGTCTGCGGCATGCTCCCTGCACACGGCATCCGAGTCCACGTCGTCTTCCACAAGCTCGCTGCGCCGGAGGAGGTTGATGGAAATTGCTGAAGAAGAGGAAGGAGAGCAAAGAACAGCCAAGAGACAGTCCACGGTAGAGGAGGAGGACGACCACCTGTCGGATATCGACCCGACCGAATCACGGCCGCGCTCGCCCATCACTGGCCCACCCGTCACCCTCGACCCGCAGCTCGCATCCTCGCCAGAGGCATCACAGTTCGCTGGCAGCACAGAGCCTCCCTCGTTTATTGGCGCGCCGAGGCCGGCCTCCCCGGCCAAGTCCTTCGAGACGGACACTGGCCGGCGCATGTCATCACAGTCCTCACGGCAGGATTACTACAGCTCTCCGTCTTATTACAATAAGCCAAGGGTGAAGCTTGGGCCCCGGCCATCGATCGATCCGGCTGGAAAGGGTAGCTCAGCCTCCGTACGCCCCGTGGCGTCCATGCCCGCGAGCCTCAAATTGTCTTTTAAGGGAGGCAAGAGGACCAAGACGCAGGACGACTCCTCATCCGTCATCAGCGAGGAGCCTGGGGATAACGCCTTCCTCGCCCCGACGGTACCCATCCCCGAGGACAATCCGCTTCTCCAGGCCTTGCGGCCGCGCTCCAGCGCCGGACGGCCGTCCACCAGCTCTGGTGTGTCGGTCAAGTCACTGCCGTCGATATCAGCGCCTACCAAGAATACGATGACCCCCGAGAAATTGCGTCTTATGAAGGCTATGCAGTTACGAGAAAAGAAAAAGAAGATGGCAGAGGCGCAACCACCCCCAGTGCCTTCGGTCCAGGTGACAGCAGATCCTGAGGAGCCTGAGACCGCAGTTGAAGAGCCCAGGGCCGGAGACGAGACCCAGGCTCCTGCAGAAAATGAGCAGGCCGCGGATCACCTCTCCCTCACCAAGGTCGAGTCCGAGACCGACAACGCCTCTACCATTCCGACCGACCATGCCTCAGTGCGCACGCAGACAGATTCTCGGCCACCTTCGCCAATATGCGCATCCTCGGAAGTCGGCGACTCCACCAAGGCGTCGTCCGTGTCGGACTCTACGGAAGAAACCATCCAGGGGCAAGGAGACAAAAACGAGCAAGAGAATGGAAGTGATGCAGGGGACGCGCCAGAAGCCAGCATGCTGAAGCAGGATGACGCACGGCCAGACCAAACCCCTGCTGCCGGGGCGGACGACTCTGGAATCGAGAGCGGCCCGGGGGTCGAGGGACAAGAGGTGTCCCAAGCGCCACTGACTCAGACAGGGCAGCAGCCTGACACAGAGGAGGCCCAAAGGGAGGTGGAAGAGAAGTCAACACTTGTTCAGAAAGACCAGCCTTCTGGGCATAGTTTTATCCCAACTTCCAAATTCGCCAAAACCATGAACGGCCAGGCCGCCGTGGAGCACATGGGTCCGGCCCCACACGAGGTTACATCTGTACCTGGAAGGATTGATGAGGTGGGCCCTGCCCCTGTGGACCCTGCTGCCGAGAGGACACAAGACGGATCAGCCGCATCACCGCCCAAATGGAATCTCCCAATTTCAAAGTACTCTACCCAAGATTCCAGCAAGAATCTCGCCCCTTCCCCCATCCCAGCCATTGTGACTTCCTCGACCGATTCGCCTGATGGAGACAACCAGGACCTAGCCAATGCAGCAGACACCATGGACGCCGAGAGCGCTTCCAGCGAGAAGCGGTCCAAGAGACCGGAACCCATCAACACAGACCTGGACCTCCCCGAGAAGCAGCCCGTACAGGACGATGAACAACCCCCCGCCGCCGAGCCACAGTCCGCGACAGTCCAGGAGGACAAGCCAGTCATAGTCGCTTCCCCGGTTGCCTCTCCCGTCACCGCCACTTCGCAAGGTCAGCCCAGCGAGCCACCGACACCACGCATCATGCGGACCGTATCGAGCCCGATCCAGAGCCCACAACAGCCGACCCCTGGTGCCGCACCCCCGTCTGCGAGATCCGTCTCGCAGGGAGCCGCATTCCACTCGAGGATGAACCAGCAGTCCGCATCCCACCTGGGACCCCGGCCGCCTGGCAAGCTCTCGGGTGGACTTGCGTCGCGCATCAAGGCCTTTGAGCAGCTGGCGACAAAGCCCCCTTCTCCTGGCTTACCCGTAGTGTCTGCCAAGGATCGGCCGTCGTCGGCGTTCTTCTCAGTCCGAAAGAACAGCATCAGGGATGGGGCTCAGTCCCCCGCGGCGCTTGAGCGAGCCAACTCCGTGAGGGGGAGGTCGCCAGGCAACTCGCTGGAGACGTCCCCGGAGGCTATCATCAAGCCGTCGCGGGAACGCTCTGGGTCGGTGGCCAGTCGGTTGTCGGTGTTCGAGGGCGGCAACGCACCAAGGGGACGGCCAGAGTCGATATCGGTGACTGCCAGGATCGTCCGAGACCCCCCGACCCTCCCGAGGTCACAGGACACCAACTTTGACCCCGAGAGCCCAGTGGAGCTCAGGCAATCACCGCTGATAGTCGACCACCGCAGGGGCTCGATAGCCCCCTCGACCTACGAGCCGGAACCCATCCCGGACAACGCTCCGCCAGTACCAACGCCTCTGGTTCACGCGGGGGAACCCCAGCCACGTAAGTCGCTCCAAGAACGGCGATTGTCCAAAGCTGGGTCCCAGCATGCCGGTGATGAGCCTCGGGACGGTCATCGGCCGGGGCAGCGCACGTCCTTGACCATGGCCAGGGACTTCCTCCGGGAATCGATGGTTGGCAAGGACGCAAGCACACCCCGGCCCATGTCGATGCACCAGCATCACACCTCCCTCATGGGCCGGCTGAGCATCAGCTCGAAGCGCACGTCCTTTGGTCCCGACGCGGCGGCGTCGCCGTTGCAGCCTCTATCACCAACCTCGACGGGTGAGTTGAGCGAATCCGGTGATGATAAGAAGTCCAAGGAGGGGAACCGAGCAAGCCGCTTCATGCGACGTCTGTCCAGCTCATTGAGCCCGCGCAAACAGTCGACTCCAACGATTTCACCCACCCTGGCTGAGGAAAGCGTCGCTGATGTTGAAAAAGCTATATCGCCCAGGGCCATGACAGCACCTTCGCTCCCCACCGCCGCCCCTCTCGCCGCCTCCCTGGGTGATGTTAACGTGCAGTTCCCTGACAACCTCCTCTGGAAGCGGCGGACCCTTGCGCTGGACACGATCGGCTACCTGCTCCTCAGCGCCGTGCAGGGCGTCACCTCGATTCGGGAGAAGCAACTTAAGCGGTTCCACCTGAGCGAGTTCAAGCCGCCCTACACGCCCGAGATCGAGTTCCAGGAGCTTCCCAACAGCGTGTGCCTGGATTTCATCGACGGGTCTAGCCTGCAGATTGCATTCCAGGACCGCGCCGGGCAGCTCAACGGGCTGCACAGTAAGTCATCCAGATTTGCGTGAGACGAGTGGGGCCGTCTGCTAACCCACATGCCTTAGCGCTCCAAGCAAACCACCGCAAGCACATCTCTTCTTCAGCGTCATAGGCGACATGAGCCTCAAAAAAGATACCCTGTCATCCTGTTCCTGCAGACCCATACATCGCCTCAGCCGAGGAATTCCCTATGTCTAGCCAAGCGAACGACTGACTCTTGTGATCGAAACATTCTGACGACCCAATATCACCTTTTTAATCCGCTTCGTTGACTCTGGCCTCGGTTGGGCGCCAGTTTTGATTTAGAAAGCCAGCCTTCTTGAGGAAGTCGCCTTTTTGGAAGCGAGCGATGCGGTGATTTTCTATTCCCCCAAAAACCCATAGGGAGGTCGGCCCATAACACGGTGTTGAAATTCTTTGATCCCATACCATACCCCAAATATAGTAGTCATTCTGTCGTGGTTGTTGTTTTACTTTTTTTTTCCCTGATGTTTTTTTGTTTTGTTGCGCTTCTCATTTGTCTCCTGAACCTTCAATGGTCATTCGCCTGGAAAGAAAAAGAACTGGATTGAATCGTCACATCACGGCTGAGCCCCGCGAATTCTCCTTTTTGCTTTATAACGGATTTGATACCACAACACCCATCATACCCAGCCTACCTCGCGGGGGCGGACTGTCCCCCCCCCCTTGCGACGGTCTTACCGATTTGTCCATAAAATTTTTCTTTACTGTGTTTTGAAACCCGCCAAGCGATGCTGAGGTGTACTTGATTTGGAGGGTCTCTCGGGGGCCCTGGAGAGGAGTGGAAGGTGTGGCGAGGAGGAGGAGGAGGAAGACGAGGGGAACATAATCTAGCATCACCATCCACACGAGGCATTCGCTCCGGAAGGAGGGGGGGTTTCGGCGAGGGAACGGGCGGGAGGCGGCACTGGCTCATTTATCTGGATGGGGGGGTTTTTCACATCATCTTTTTTCCTTTTTCCACCCAGGGGATCCAACATTCTCTCCCTCCAAACAAACACAACCAAAACCAAAACAATCTTGTATATATATTTTTGCATTAATATTCCCCCTCGGCCCCCCCTTGGGTGGAAATTGTGGGATCGGATTATTAGCAGCAGCGCCGCCGCGGGGGTTACGGCCGAGGGCTCGGGAGTTGTGGGCTATGGTGATGGGATAACGGCGCGGCACCGCACCGCACCCCCCTTTGTCCTTGAGGTGTGTGGCGGAGGTAGCGAGTAATTGAGAGAAAGTTAACTACGTGACTGTACCTTTTGTGGTGGTGAGAGGTGGGGGAGGGGCGAGACTTGTGGCACACTCACTCACTGCCCGCCTGGTTCTCTTGTAATGGTTGGAGTGCGTGACCTTCCTTGGACTGAGTTTTGTTCTGAGGATTTATAGTGAGGTTGTAATCATGGGGGGATGTAGATGCAGCTTGGAAGCAGTCGTCATCAATGGCGGAACTTCAACTAGCTGAATCAATCCATCAACAAATAGTACATCAATTGATCGCATGGACACTAAACTAGGAACTATAGATAGAAGAATGCGACCTGTTGTTCGGTCTACTTGGCTTCCGTGTAAGTCGGACCAACACTTACACCATGGGTAATACGGCGCCCGGAAGAGAATGGTGTTATGAATATGGATACATATGCCTCATCTTCATAGTAGTAGTCCCCTCAATCATGAGAGGACAACAAGAAATGCAGGTGAGCCGCCGGGCGAAAGTAACGTCGAAGAGTGCAGGCGTGAGGTTACAACGGTATTAGTGATTGGCTGGCCGGCGTCGATGACTCCTCGCCGATCAGATTCGGGCCCGGACATTTCCTCCAACGCCCTCATGAGCAATTCCCGTCCACACTTTCATTCACGGGACCTCCCTACCTGCCTACCCGTACACATAGATATAGACCGAAGAAGAAAAAAACAGACGGCCTCACCCCAAAAATGGCCACCACCACCACCAACCCCAAAGACAGAGCCGCCGAGATAACAAAGCCCATAGACTTCGACCCAGCAGCAGTCCAGCGCATCTCCAGACGCCCAGACCCAGCGCAGCAGCCCGAGATCCACGAGCCGGACCCGCGGTGGCCGTCGGCCTTTGCCCGGCTCGAGGCCCGGATCCGCGGCGCGCTGGGCGGCACGGCCCTGGCCATCAACCACGTGGGCTCGACCTCGGTCCCCGGGCTGCCGGCGAAGCCGTGCATCGACGTGGACGTCACCGTCGCGGACCCGGCGGACGAGGCCGCGTACGTGTCCGCGCTGGTGGGCGAGGGGTGGGAGGGCCAGAAGGAGGATGACGGTACCGGCACGGGCATGGGCCCCGCGGGCGGGGACCGCGGCGCCGGGCTGCAGTTCCTCCTGCGCGAGCCCGGCTGGCACCAGCACCGGCTCTTTATCTGTGCTGACCCCGTCGCCAACGTGCATGTCTTTGGGCCCGGGTGTCCTGAGTCTGAGAGGCATCGCATCTTTCGGGATTGGCTTCGTGAGGTGAGTGAGGGGCGATGGAGGTTGGGTTTTATTCGTCTTGTTTTTTTTTAGTCCTACTCAGAGCCTTCGGCTGACCATCTATGCTAACAATGACCAAAGCACCCCGAGGATCGCGACAGGTACGCCGCTGTCAAGTATGAGGCGGCGGCCGCGAGCCGCGAGGCTGGTGAGACTATGCAGGACTACACCGAGAGGAAGAATACTGTCATCCGGGATATCCTCGATCGCGCCTTCAGGGCTGAGGGGCTACTGCAGTGATATGAGCGGTCTGCTCTCGTGAGCGATTGATCTTACAAAAGGCAATGATTGTCTCTTAACGCCTCTGTGGTCTCTCACTTTTTATTCTGGGACTTGGCTGTGAGTTCAAGTCATTGACTACTGCAGTTGAGAACATATGCGTTTGGTCTGAGGCGTCTATTCGACATGCACTCAATCAGCGATGACTCCGTTCCTCACTCGATGATCCACATAGCTACATTATACCCCAAGCTATAGTCCTCTCGCCAAGACAAATAGTAAAGCATTAAATAGAGATTTCAAGAATGTGGCCAACTTTACCTACAAGTTAAGAACAACATTGTGGAGCACAGATTATAAATGTCACACCTATTCATCTTACGGGATGATACTCAAAATATCGAGCAACAAACAGCGCACACCCGCATGCAGTGCGAGATTACATAGTACGAAGAATTATATTTTATGATTTAAAACAACATAAATGCTTAAGTATCACTTAAGATCAACAAATTGCAGGCAGCATGCGGTAAATTAAACTTGATCCCAAAAGATCCATGAGTCTCCACATATACTCGAGACAAACTAGAATCTCATATAATAGGTGATGCTCGATTGAGACTTCACTGGAGAATATTTATGCCATTAGCGCCTCGCAATTAGTAGAGTGCGGTAAACACATAGTGCACAATTAGTGCACACTACTACCATTCAAGCACTTTGCAGTAATCATACAACCAGCTTCACCACTTATGACAGTGCAAGTCAAACTCATTGCTATCAGTCATTCCACAATATAAGCTCATCATTTTACAGATTACTATACTAGGTTCTATTATAAGAAATTATTACTACTTTAGTTAATTATCTCTATACGAGTCATTCTAAAAGGGATAATAGCTTCTTAAGATCTAGTATATAAGATGTAGGAGGTTAGGAGGTAGGAGGTTAGGAGGTAGGAGGTAAGAGGTAGGGAGGCAGGGTGTAGGATCTAGATGTCAGTAAGACTTCAACATGCGGTCCTACAGCGGGTGCGGCCAACAGCTCCTTGCCTGAAAGAGGTCCGCAAGCGACAGCTGCAGCATTACAGCAGTCCATGAGCAAGCACGTCGGGACCACCTCACTGAGCAAGACAGACGCCACGGGCCAATAGCAATGGTTGCCTAGAGTGAACTTAACCAATACACACCACTATCCCCCTTTGTTCTTTTGGTTACCGTTTTTTGGAAACACATATTTTGGTGATGAGACTGGGACAGAATTGCCTGTGAGCACATTGTCCAGGAGCCACGAGATCGCCCTCGGAGATACACATCGAACTGCCAGGACAGGCACTCCTTTGCCGACGGGCTGACACACGTATTTCTTCCTTCAGAATCCTCGGCTCTCGGGATTCAGATAGAGAACTTAGACAGAATAAGAAACCCAATACACCCCTTATTTGCTATGAACCCTTGACATGTGGGCTGGAAGGTGTGATAGACTCACGGCAGGGTGGCAGTAGGAGGCCTTCTCTAGCCACTTTTAGGGGGGCTTCTCTCCCCCACGACACATACGAGTTATCAATCCACACTCCTTTGCCGGCTGCGACGCGACGGTGAACAAACCCACGACGTAATGTCAGCAACCCAGAGAATCGGATCCCACCGGTACTTGGAGCTCCCGGTACGTGAAGATGTGGGAAGACGATCCAACTTTGAGCAGCCACGAGAGAAGGAGCAGGACAATGGTGGGACCTGCTTTACAGTACGCGGCCACGAGAAACAATATGCGCGAAATGGACAGGGCGAAGTACGCGAAAGCAGCTCTTTTCCCCCGGATCGTTCAACCCAGCACGATGGACCGCAGCGGTGACCATCAAACCCTAGACCACAACCAACACAAGCAATACAAGCCATTCCGCATACGGAAACCTCACAGACCTCCTCCCACCACCCATGGAGACAAGTTTGAACAGCCTTGGAAGCATGACCATTTGTGTCAGGGGAATTCGTATGCGAATAGTGGGTGTATTGGGTTCTTGTTCTTTCTAGGTTCCTATCCGGTAGGCCAGAGGCCGAGAATTCCTTAAGAGTACTCTAAGGTGGCCCCTACACCGTCCCGTCACCGTTCCTTCCTGACAATCTGCCCCCCCCCGGGAAAATGCGTCGACGCCCTCGTCGGCTGAAACGTCCGTCCAAAATCCATTTCCACTTTCCTTCCTGTCGATTGCGGTACGGAACGAAATGTCCATATATTAAAGATCGAAAGTGTTCGTCGCAGAGTGCGATGTCGCGAAATTTCCATATCCACTTTCCTTCCTGTCGATTGCGGTACGGAAACAATGTCCGTATATTCAAGGAATCCTCGGCTCTCGGTATTCAGATAGAGAACTTAGCCAAGAAACCCAATACACCCCCTTATTTGCTACGGATCCCGTGGCATTATACTTAAGAAGAACGAAACTACCCATTGGTACTGCTTTTTATAGTGTGACTGTTGTGGTTTTTGTGGCCTGCCGAATCCTTGGTATACTGATGCCATTGGCTTGACGTGTTGTGGTGAAGCACTGTCCTATTCTCGCAGCAGATTTCAGGAATGCGGAACATCATGTCATGACTTTGATTTTCCCGTTCTCGTAGACAGCGTCCTCCCCGTTGATCCTGACAGCGCCAGCGACTGGGACTCGGACGTTGGAGTCCAAGGGTCAATGTCGCCAGACGAGGTGCTGGTACTGGCTTTCGGTGGTGTAGAGGAGGAGCCGCAAGCTGAAAGAGCCGTCGAAGCCATCCAAGTCAGCTGGTACCCACTATTGATAATGTGGACTTTTACTGAATCATTTCTCACATAGTAAACCAACGCGCGCCCTAAGTCGCTATTGGACAAAACTGTCGTAATAGAAGGTGCCACTAGGCGTAGCTAGAACTTAGCTGGCACACTCGCTCCCGCGAGGGTGCTGAAAGGAAGAATACGTGGTCGAGTCCCGCGGTTGATATCGATACGATGGTGCCGCCGTCGCTCGATAGCGATCCGAAAACCGAGAATCGGAGAGTCCGAGAGAGGAGGCTATCAATACGATGGTTGGCTCGCGGTCGATTCCGTATCCGTAGCAAATAAGGGGGTGTATTGGGTTTCTTGTCTTGGCTAAGTTCTCTATCTGAATACCAAGAGCCGAGGATTCTGAAAGGAAGAATACGTGCGTTGCCCGCCGGCAAAGGAGTGTGGATTGATAAGTCGTATGTGTCGTGGGGGAGAGAAGCCCCCCCCCTAAAGTGGCTAGAGAAGGCCTCCTACTTAATACCCTGCCGTCAGTCTATCGCACCTTCCAGCCACAGCCCACGGTGCCCTCGGACTTAGACAGAACACACTACCAATACACTCACTTAACACTCTTCGAACGTTCGAACTGAGCCTATCGACAGAAACCTTTCTAGACTTGTTCATAGGGGACAGCCTCCCATCAGCCATCCTCCTACTAGACAACCTCCTACTAGACAACCTCCTCTAGGATAATCTCTATGGTAGAGCCACCTACCAGACAGCCTCATGGGGTACAACTTCCTATGGCAGAAGCCCCTCATTGACGGAGACCTGGGTAGTCTCCCATAGGAAAACTCTCACGAAGATACCTAGGTAGCTACATCTGATCCAGCCGCCTGCGAGATGACCTTGGTCAGACAACCGTTCGTAAAGTCGGCCATAACAGCAGCGAGGATAACATCTACCTCCCGTGTTATCACGGCCTACCCGACAGGAAATTAATCCAATAGTCAAGCCCACCCGTGCGTGGCCCAACCACCGAGCAGGAAGAAGTCGGCACGTCAACTGGGAGCTCCTCGAGCACCCGCACGAGAGTCCCGGTTATATATACATACCTCTCCGCATAACCAAAACCGATCGTAGACCCTCCTGCGGCGTGCCAATTCCATTAATCACCCATCACGCATCAATCGATAAACCAACACAAAAAAAGGGGCATGAACATGTTTTGATTTATTCTTCTCTTCTCACCTCGTCCCCACCACCAAGTTGTTCCCAACTCAGCAGCAGCAGCAGCAGCAGCAGTAGCAGTAACCACCACCCCCCAGCATCACCACCCCACAAATCCGATTACACGCTGACAGACAGACACACAGACACACGACAACCTTTTCTTCCCCATCTCATCCTCAAAGGCACCACTCACTCGTTCAGCCATTCCACCCCCGGGGCTCACGACCGCGCCTCCTCCAGCTCCAGCTCGAGCTGCCTGATCCTCTCGCTCTGGTCGTGGGACCCGGAGACGACCCTCTTCTTGAGCGTCTCCACCTCGCCCGTCAGGTGCGCCATGGCCTCCCCCTGCGCCGTGATCTTCTCCCCCTGCGCCGTGATGACCCGCGTCTGCGCCTCGATGAGCTGCTTGATCTGCTCCAGCGACTCCACCACGCTGACGGACCCGGACCCGGACCCGGACCCGCCGCCGGGCTGCGGGAGCGCCGGCGACGGCTGCGGGCTGCGGGCCGCCACCGCCGGCGTGCTGGCCTTGATGGGCGAGGGCGAGGGCGCCGGCTGGGGCTTGGGCTCCGACCGCACGGGCAGGGCGGCTCTCGATACTGGCTTCTGGACCTCCTCGAAGCTCGACGTCTCGGCGTCGTCGTCCTTGTCGTCCTCGTCGTCCTGGAACTTGGACGCCGCCGCGGCCATGGAGCCCTTCTGCTGGGCGACAGATGGTGGCGCCGCGCGCACGGGGGTCGGCTCGGGCTCGGGCTTTGGCGCAGGCTTGGCGGCGGGCGCAGGTGTTGGTGCCGGCGCGGCTGCGGGCGGCTTGTAGTCGGCGGCGACCTCTACGGGCGCATTGCCCTCGTACTTGCTCTCGAGGTCGATCTTTGGCGGGAGCGCGGTCTTGCCGCCGAGCCACTCGGAGGCGGACATGGCCGGCTTGGATCCCGTACATGGCGGGAAAATATCGCTCTGGAAGGTCTCGGCGCGACGGGGCACGGTGAAGGAGATGGGCTCGATGTACAGGTCGTTGACAGTCTTGTAAGCGCGCATGACCTCATTCTCGTGAAGCTACGTGAGCGGTTAGCAATGCAGATCCTAGCAGTGCCGTGTTTGGCTTTACATACGTTGATACCGCGCTTGGGCATGAAGCCAATGCCTCGTTGTGGGTCGCCTGACTTGTACTCGGAGAGGAACTCGAACTTGTCGTTCTCGTACTCGAAGTATCGAATGTTACCGTCGCTGTGCGACCAACTATTAGCAAGATGCACCCGAGTCCTCGCGGGAAGCTGCCGAACTCACCCCTTGCCGGCAAGGTACAGACAGTTGGTGCTGTCATCCCAGAAGGGCATGCAGACACCAGAGATGGAGTCCAGGTTGTTGAAGCCGCCGATGGGCTTGTCGCTGCCCGGCTCCCAGAGCGCCAGCTGTCGGTCGCTCATGCGGGAGAAACCCGTTGTCGCGATACGGTTGTGCTCGCCCATCCACACGGCACGGCTGTTCTTGGCGCCCTCGTGGCCGGGCCCGACATGCGCCGGCTTCTCCTGGCGCACATCCCACACGCGCAGCTTCTTGTCCCTGGAGGTCGTGACCATCAGGTTTCCGGAGGCGTTCCATGACAGCGACTGGACGATGTCGTTGTGCTTCAGCGCCAGCGGGGACTGGCCGGTGCTGATGTCCCACAGCTTGATGCTGAAGTCGCCCGAGGCAGAGGCGAGGATGTTCTCGGCGGCGGGGTTGAAGAGGACCTGGCCGACCTTCCTGTACAGGCGTTAGAGGAAATCCCACGCGCCACCGCCCGCGTCCCACAGCTGTGGCCATCTCGCGACGTACCTGGAGTGCCCGGCCAGCTTGCTCACTGGCGTCACGTCCGCGGGCTCCTCAGCGTCGGTGAAGAGGGTGAAGTCCTTGGGGACCTCCCATATAAAGATCTTGCCATCGTCGGAGCCGGAGGCGATGATGCGGTCGTTGAAGGGGTGCCAGTCTGTGTCCAACACCACCGCTGTGTGTCCGCGAAATAGAGGGATTACGTCGGGGATCTTTCCCCTCTCGCTCAGGGGGATGACCGCAAATGCGCCGCCGCCACCAGACTCCCAATTGACCGAGAGGTAATCCGGGTTGACCTTCACTGTTGTGGGGCGTTAGCAACTGCAGAAGGGGGCCGGTCGAGGGTCTTGTTCGGGCGACGGGTACAAGAGAAAAGGAGTCTGCTAACCCAGGTTCGTATCCCAAGCATTCCTACTGATGTGAAGGTTGTCGTAGCAGAATTCCTTCCGGGTGGGCTTGCCGAAGACGTGTCCTATTTACGAGCAGAGGCGCAACAAAACGTCAGCCACGAGTCCATCACGCAGTTCCCCCACAACGGCGGGCTGCAGCCCGGCGCCGCGACGCGCGCGGATGGAGCTCTGTCCCGCCCTGTTTTGCGCGCGCGGGCACGCGACCAGGGGGGAGAGGGGAGGGAGGGGGTGGTAAGACAACTCACGATACTTCGACGCGCGCACGAATCGGCCAGACATTGGTGCTGGTGGGGGGAGGTTGGTGGGATGTGGATTCGACAGGTACTCGGCGTCGCGGGGTGGGAAAGCTGCTTGCTGGGTAGGAATGTAGCTAAGGAACTATGAAAGATAAGACAAAGGCGAGGTCTCTCGGGGAGAAGGGGGTGGGAAGGCTGAGCAGCAGCAAACAGTATGTACGATGAAGAGGTCCAGGAGGGAGAGGCAGGCAGGCAGGTAGGTAGTGCAGTCGTCTGTCTAGCAAGTAGCAGTCGAGGTAGAGGGAAAGGGGGCCGTCACCTTTTGGGTATGGGAAACGGTGGCCAGGTCCGGGGTGGTTTAGGTACACTGTACAAGGCCAGCGCCGCAGACTACACTAATAGCAGCTGCGCGGTTATCTGACGCCCAGTTGCCCAGTCACTTACCACTATCTATCTGGCTGTTGCAGTACTTGCTGCTGGGCACCCGTCCTTCCTCCCCCCCCCAAAGTGGGCCCCCCCAGCTTGTTTGCATAAACCGGTGGCCCCTCCATTAGTTTCACCAATGAGGCTGAGAAGAAGCGCGTGCACAAGCCAGGACGAGAGCCCACCCGCCCACCGACCCGCCTGTGGGCTGCGAGCGATGGGCTCACTCAGGGGTTGATTTACTCGTCTCCTGTGTCGACCTCACCCAACAAATCAAACATCTATGCCGATCACCGTGACCAAGTGTGCCCGCACGTCTATTTCATATAGAGTAGAATTACAATGCAATAATCTACGCTGGAAGCGGGCCCCGTGGCGAAAAGAAGCAGGCAGGTGGCTGAATAGGTGAATGGATAGGATATACCTCGGTCTCACCCACCACCACCACCACCACTGCTGCCCGCAGTAAAACAAGCAGGTCGGGCCGCCTTGGCGCAGATGATCTATTTACAGTTGGCTTCCCTCCTTCTTGGTATTTCCCTTTCATACTCGTCCGTACGCCTCATGAATCAAAATGCAGTCAGTGCCCCATAGAAGAGAACCCGCCCATCACCCCTGGCAAAACTCCAAATCCCCAGACTTGAACGCATCTTTGACTGTCATGTCGCATGCCCGCCGCCTGGGTCAATGCCATTACTCATCGCCCTCTTCACTCCGTGCAGCGCTGCTGGCTCCGTTCGTGTTGCTTGCTGAGTTGTTGGTCAGCTTGATCCTCGGCTGCGGCGTGCTGTTCGTGGTCGGTGCAGCTGAGGTGTCCTTCTGCGACGAGGTGTCCTCCAGCTCATTGAGCTCGGGGTGCTCTTGCAGCTGCTTCTGGTACTCTTCCAGGAAGTACGTCTGCCGTCGTGTCAGTCACGCTGCCTTCTTAAGCCACACATTCCACACCAGGACAACACTTACTTCAATCGTCGTGGCGTCCGTGTGGATCAGGCTGCCGTCGTCATTGAACAGCCTGCAGTTGCTGCACATGAGCTCGACATCCTTGCGGAAATCGCCCAGGCTCTTGTACTCTTCCTTCTTGATCTTCTTCTCGATCTGCGTCATGGCGATTGGGTTCTGAATGATGACGTAGTAGTCTGCCCAGTCCCTCTTGGGAGGGAGCTTGATGAAAGGACCGATGATCAGACGCTTTGGTGGCCCGTCGTCCTCGTCGTCCTTATCGTCCTCATCGGGCTCCGGGTCCGGGTCGTCGACCTCGAGTTTCATCAGGCTGTCGTAGAGATGGCGCAAGCTCCGCTGCAGTACCTGCCGTTGCTGAGGGTTGACCTTGACATCTGCCCCGTTGGCAGCACCCAAGGACTTTGGCCGCCCTTGAGGACCGCGTCGCTTCTTGGCTGGTGGGGGGTCGTCCTCGCCGTCTTCAGCTTTCCGTTTCTCATTCTTGCCGCCGGGCTTGCGGCCTCGCTTCTTGACTGGCGTCTCCACTTCTGGCTCTGGCTCCTCGGAACTAGCACGACTAGCTGCCGGAGATCCCTCGGAGCCGTTGACGGTTGACAGCCGCTTGAGGCGGTTAGCCTCGCGCCGTTCCTTGCGAGCCTGTTTTCTGGCCGCGGCTGCCTCAGGGCTGTCCTCGTCGTCATCAACAGCTAGAAGCCACTGCTCTTCAGTCAAGCCATCATCGTATCGAACCTTGGTCCTCTCACGAGCACCACGGCCGAGCGAGATCTCCGTCTCCTCAGGGGCGTCCGGGTTGTCTTCGTTGAGATAGATGTCTGGGAGCTCAGCTTCCGTCATAAGACGAGGTACTCCCTTACAGCCCGGGGCAGTGCCATAGAGGGCATCCTTCGACCTGACTTCATCGAGCTGTTGGAACCTCACGAGCTCATCGTCACTGCGAGCAAGTATCATATTCAACTCCTCATCGTCCATCTCCTCTTGCTCACCGCTCTCAGCCAAGTCTGCGGATTCAAGCAGTGTCCGGAGCATCGCGTCACGATCTGTCTCGGAGGACTTGTTGTCGAAACGACCGGCCTGAATAACCTTGCCGTCCATGTCGAGCTTGAACCTCGCCCGCTCAAGAATCTTCTCCTCTACTGAACTAGAGCTGATGAGACGAAGAATGCGGACCTCGTTCTTCTGCCCGATACGATGAGCACGATCCTGGGCCTGCAAATCCTGATGAGGGTTCCAATCAGAATCGTAGATGATGACCGTGTCTGCCGTCTGGAGGTTGAGACCGAGACCACCTGCACGCGTGGAAAGCAAGAACATGAAGTAGGGGGAGTCGGGCCGGTTGAACTCGTGGAGCAGCTCGGATCGCTCGTCTGACTTGGTCGTACCGTCCAGGCGAAGGTAGGTGATGCCACGCAGACGGAGGAAATCCTCCATGATGTCCATGATTGCCGTCATTTGGAAGAACATCAGTACACGGTGCCCTGTTGCCTGATACTTGGGCAGCACACGATCCAGGAGTTCGAATTTTCCAGCGGATCTCCACAAAAGATCGTTGCTGACGCTGGCAGGGTTCATCTGGTTCTCGACCTCGTCAAAGACGAACGGATGGTTGCAAAGCTTTCGGAGCTGCATGATCATGTTGCTGAGACCCTTCGCAGAGCCCTTGCCGCCCTTGCCGTCGCTAACGGCAATCTTGTTGTGAGTGACCATTTGTTTGTAGAGGCGGGACTGCAATGCCGAGAATCTGCACTTGATGACCTTTTCGGTCTTGTCGGGCAGGTCCTTCTCGACATCCTTCTTCAGACGACGAAGCAAGAACGGACGCAGAACCTTGTGCAGGCGACGAATGACGAGGATTTGCTCTTCTTCCGTCAGCTCCATCTTGTCCTGTCCTCCCGTATTCGCAAAGGGGGTATTGAACCACTCGTCAAAGGTCTTGGCAGACTTGAAAATATTGGGCAGCGTGAAGTTGAGCATCGCCCACAGTTCAGACAGGTTGTTCTGCAAGGGGGTACCTGTCAGAATCAGACGGAACCGGGTCGAGTAGTACTGTTGGATGGTGGCGCTCAATTTCGAGTTGGAGTTCTTCATGCGGTGACCTTCGTCGATAATCATGTGGAACCACTTGATCTTGCTGAGGATATTGCGGTCCTTGATGATGTACTCGTACGTGGTGAGCAGGACCTGGAATCTACCCTGCCGAATCTTGTCCTGCTGCACCTTACGGGTGTTCGGCGGGCCCTTGTACACGACTTTGGAGACGGACGGGGCCCACTTGTCAAATTCAAGGTTCCAGTTCGTCAACGTGCTCAGAGGGACAATGACAAGGTAAGGACCCATCTGCTGCTTCCTCTCAATGAGGTAGGTGATGAGACTGATTGTCTGGATGGTCTTGCCGAGACCCATTTCATCGGCGAGGATACCGTTGAGGTTGTTGTTGTAGAGCGAGATCATCCACTGGAGACCCTTGATCTGGTACTCCTTCAGCTTGCCGCCGACCAGGATGTCTGCCTGCTCCGTCACCTCCTCCTTGATGCGATGGGCAACAGCATAGTAGTCGATCTTGCGGCCACCAGTGTCCTCGTCTTCCTCATCTTCCTCCTCGCTCTCCTCCTCCTGGACGATGTCGCCACCGTAGCGCTCTGCTGCAGCTCGCTGCTGGGCCTTAACCGAAGAGGCGAGCTGATGCAAGAAGCCATCAGTCTGGCGCAGGAGATGTGTGATACGTGTGTCCTTGGCCTGGTCGAGGAGCTTGAGGTACGCCTCTTCATCGTTGGCCTTGAGCGCTTGCAGACGCTGCTTGGCATTTCGCTCGATACGCTTCTGCTCTTCCTTCTCGATGTTGAAGTGGTGGTTGTACATGAGTTTGCCCATCTTGTGCATTCTGTTTTGCTGGCCCTGGGCCGTTACTTGGATCTCGTTCCGGTGGTTGAAAACAGCGTGCAGGTAGTCAATGTGCTTCTTCTTCTCGCGGTTCTCCCTGGCGTCCCGCTGCTGCTTCTCGAGCTTCTCGGTGATGCGTGCCTCCCGCACGTTCTGCTTCTTGAGGCGTCGGTACATACTGCGGTTCGTCGTCATGGCCAAATTGTCATAGCACATCATTTGCCGACCGATCCTGTCGCGCAGCGCCCTCTGTTTTGAGTAAAGTGCAATCGACTTCATCTCGATGATTGCCTTGCGTCTCAGCGTATCATCAACAGCAAGTGTGTCTTTGGACGTATCCCAATGGGCCAGGTTGCCCGGCTGGTTCTTCAGCTCGTTATATCGAGTGCTCATCCTGTTGAATACAATCTTCTCACGGTCTGCCCTTAATTGATCAAAATCGATGCCATGAGGGAACAGACCAGGGATGAACAGCCGGTTATCGTGCCGTGCGTGTTCGAAGAGGCCAACTGTCTTGTTGAGCATCTTCTCGGGGAGCTTTAGACTCTTAAATTTGGGCTCTTTTGGAGCTGCATCGGCAGCCTCGTCGGGCTGCTGAGGAGCTTCGACGCCGTTTGGCCCAGCTTTGCTTGGAGTTTCTGACCTGGGGCCCTGAGACACAGGCGTGGCAGAGGACTGCAGAGCGACAGCCGCGGGCCTCCGCTGCCGAGACTGGAAGATTGACTGTTGCAGCTTCAGGGACACGCCGGCATTCTTGGACAGCATCTTGAATGCCTGGATTTGATTTCTCAAGAGGGTCAGATGAGCCGGGGTGAATTGCCCAGGGGGTTGGCCAACGGGGGATGCGGCAACCGCAGCTTGGGCGTCGCCGGAGGCGGATGGGAGAGCGGAAGCACCCAGGTTCGACCCGGGCGCCTGGGACGTCTGCACACCAGGCTGCCCATTGTTCTGTCCGGCCATGCCGCCAACCACACCTCCATTAGTAGCCGCGGCTTGTTGCTGCGCCTGCTGCTTTTTCTGTAGCATTTGTGCCTGCTGCTTCCTCATCTGCTGCTGTTGCTGCAGTGCCATCAGAAATGACTGGGTCTGTATGAGCTCTGGGTCATTGGCAGGAGTGTTGTTCGCCTTGAGTTGCTTAAACCGCTGTGCATTGTGTCAGCCAGAAGATATAGCAATGAAAGGTCCACCAACAATGAGCCAAAGGGGTCTATGTCATTGGGGAAACATACGTCGTACATATCCTTGACCTGCTGCTGCGTCAAGTTAGCCGGGAGGCTGGAACCCGGGAAATGCCCCGGGGCCGCCGCAGGCTGCACGGAAGCCATGGTTCCGGGTCAGAGAGGGTCGGTCTCAAAGTATTGAGAAGAATGTCTTGCCACGAGGACCAAGTATTATGTTGAGTGCATATCTGGCAAGCAACGCGCTAGGTCTGACAAAGAATTTCAACAGAAGCACGGCGAGGTGAAGGAAAGACCACCAAGTGTAGCTGATAGGATCAGGAATAGGCCGGGGCGCGTCGAGACGGGGGGCCGACGGGCGTGTGTGGTGGTTGTGCGGTCTCGAGCTGGAGGGGCCAGGAGGGCGCGCGGTGCAGTCGAGGCTGGGATGCACAAAAGGGCCGCGTCGCGTTGACAAAGGTGGCCGTATAGCGTAATCGGGTCTCGGGGCTGCCGGTGGGCGGTATTTTGGGGCCGGTTTTGGTTGCGATGCGATGCGACCGAGCAGTGAGTGACGGAAATGCTTGGTGGGCGCGGATGCGGATGCGGTTGCGGTGGGGTGGGATGGGATGCGCAGCAGCAAGGGCAGAAGGGAAAAAGGCTGGCAGGCGAAATGAAAAAATGGCAGAAGCTGGCCAGATCGGGGGTGATTTGGCGCGAGGCTGCACGAAAGCCGCGGCAAAATCGCGTGCAAACAAGTTTGCTTGGTGGTTTTCGATGGTTGTCGATGGTTGCGGGCGGTTTTGCGATGCGTCGCGCTTCGCCTTTGGATGGAGTGGGTGGGAGTGCTTGGTGATTGAGAATGGGTTTGACCACAAGGCACGTCGCGGGCGCTGGCTGCTGGCAAGGTTCTCAGGCGGGTGCAGATTTCTTGCGGCCTGAGGCAGCAACAGGGGACCCACTATCCTGCACGGTCCATGCGCTAGCCACGGATGCAACCAATCGCAGCCCGGCTCGGGGGAGCTAACCACTACTGGGCACTCTGTCCAGGCAGCCCGCCCAGCCCAGGCTGTTCGGAGACTTACACCAAGTACCAGAGCACGGATAGCCTACCTCAAATCCAGCCCCTGCATTTGCTTACGCCATCACTCGAACTCGACCCATGCAGTCGCGTCCGGGCGGCCGAGTACTATTAGAGGCACTGCAGGGCCAGCAGCCATATGTATCGCCCGCGACGGACATACACAGTAGCTTGCTCCAGAGACCATGTAAAACAATGCAGGGGTCTGCATCTGTGAGGAAATTGCTTGCTGCAAACTACTGCTTTTGGTTGCTGTATATCCATAACACAATAGACAGAGTTGGATTATCACCGTAGCCCATCTATCGCTTCACCTTCTTCTTATCAGGACCTTCTTCTTCCTCATCACTGATATCCGCATACTGGGTGACGGGCTGTGTCTCCTTCCACGCGTTTGTGAACAGCGGGTCCTTCTTGGCCACGTCGGCATACTTGAGAAGCGCCTCCCTAGGGTCCTCGTGCAGCATCTTGCTGAGCGGGATGTTCTCCTCGATGTGCTTCTCGTCCGGCTGGCTGCGCATGAACGGCGTGATCTGCTGCACCTGCGGCCGGCGCGGGTCGAGCGACTTGCCCGTGCCCGTGACCCCGGCCTTGCGGTGCTGCGCAGACAGCGCCCCCGGCGTGATGATGCTGTCGCCCGACAGCCCGAGCGTCTGGTCCATCGTGAATGCCGGGTTGTCGTCGACGTGCCGCTTCTTGGGCGCCTTGCTCATCACGTCCACCGCGCCGCGCTGGGACATGGACGGGTTGTAGAGGACGTGTGTCTCTGCGTTTGCCGAGCCCGTGATGATCTGGTTGAGCTTCGCATGCCACTCCGTCACGATCAACGGCACGCCCGGCGTGATCGGTGTGACGAGTTCTGCCTTGAGATTGCCGGGATTGAGGATATGGAGGTGGCCAGTCGCAGATCCGGTGATGATTGCCGCCGAGTTGGGCGAGTATTTGATGTTGGTCATTGCGAACCTGTCCGACGTAGAAGGGTGCTCGGCCGACACCAGAGGCTGCTTGAACTTGCGAGTGTCCCAAAGCTTGATCAGCCCGTCGCCGCCTCTCGTCACGACCATCCGGCCGTCTGAGCTGATGTCCACACCACCAGTCCAGGTGCCTGGCTTGTGGGCGTCTCGAACCTCCGCAGCTGGTCTCGTAAATGGGCCGTTGCCACTGTACATCACCAGTGTTCCATCCAGAGCAGCGGCAACCAAGGCGTTGCTCCCGCCCTGGGCCGGCGCACCCCATGCCACTGCGGTCATCCTCGTCCGACCCGCCGAACCAGCTGCCTTGGACTTGAAAACGATAACCTCCTTCTGACTGCGTTTGTTGTTGATGTCCCATATCCGCAGGGTGCTGTCTGTGCCGGCTGTGACGCACAGGTTCCTGTCGGTCGGGTGCCAGGTGCCTGTTGTGATCTCAGAGACGTGGCCTTTTGTGTTGTGCATATCCCTCAGGTACATGTCTCCCTTGACGAATTCCGTCAGGATGTCTCCGTCCCTCGACAGAATCTTGGCTTGTGGATGTGACGAGATGCACAGTAGTGAACCGCCGCCGCCCGCCAGCGGGTTGAACTTGACGAGGTTCAATGGGTATGACTCTGCTGCCGTGGTGGCGCTCTTCGTCTCCCAGGGGTCAATGCTTCGGAAGGCGCGCAGGGTGGTGGTCGTCATCGAGGCAAAGTCGTGGAGCTTGACGGTGCCGTCCAGGGAGCCAGTGGCTAACCTGGACCCCGAGGGATCGACAGAGACACTCGTGACGGTCCGGTCGTGGGTCTTGAGGACGAGCTCGTGAGAGACGGGGAATTCATCTTCGTCGTCGTCGTCGCTTGACGAGTTGTCCGAGTCGTCGTCATCGCTGTCGCCATCAGAATCAGATTTCGAGCCCTTTTTGGATCCTTCGTCTTTCACCTGTGGTTGGTCCTTTGGCTTCTCCGCGGCCCTCTTGCTGCGGTCTATCTGCGCCGCTATGTCTGCATCTTTCGACTTCTTCCCGAATGAGGTCGGGAGGAAAGCTCGCATCGGGTCATCTGGCGCCAGCTCCGGCGCTTCGACGTCGACATCCTCGCTGTCGCTCATTGTTGCCTCGCAGTTGTGGCGGTGGGGCGCAGTTCGAGCCGCGATAAAAGATGTACTGACGTCGATGGGAGTCGTGGGTGGTGGTGGTGGTGATGGGAGGGTAAGAAAGAAAACGTGGAGTGGAAATCTGGAGTCTGACGACCAAAATCAAATACGCCGGCAGGCTTAGAGCTGAACTATTTATCTGCTAGAAACCCTTAGACTGGAAGTCCCCGTCGTGTCGTACCTGGGTGCCTGTGTAAAATAATCCTCAATTGCTACCTAACTGCAGCCCCCGGTCCCTTGAAGGGAGGGAGCTCTACGACCCGCCGAAACTGCCCCGCGAATGACGTCCACCCGTTATCAAATCGCTCCCTCATACAGTAGACTACTCCCTCCCACCACTATGGTCCCAAACTCACCCCAAGCCTCACACACCACCACGATCCTCTTCTTCTTGCTCATCCTCATCGCCTTCTTCCCGGGGGTATTCCACTACCTCTGGACCCTCCCGCTCAGCCTCATCTTCTCTTCAACGCCAGCATTTAACAGCGGCGGCAGCGACCCGACAGCAGACATCAGGATGGGTTCCTGGTTCCAGAAACAGTTCACGCTCCCCAGCAAGTCGCGGGGCTCGTACCTGATCACGGACCACGTCGTCAGCTCGCTGCCGGAGCTGAAGCAGTACAAGGTCGGCCTGCTGCACCTGTTCATACAGCACACCAGCTGTGCGCTCAGCCTCAACGAGAACTGGGACGACGACGTCCGAGCAGACATGAGCGATGCCCTGGACCGGATCGCGCCCGAGGAAGGTCCCAAGGGAGAGGAGCTTTACCGCCATTCGGCCGAGGGCGCGGACGATATGCCGGCTCACATCAAGTCGGCACTAGTCGGCGCATCCGTTACGATACCAATCCGGGATGGAAAGCTGGCCACAGGCACCTGGCAAGGAATTTGTAAGACCTACAGCTTCACTCGCCCACCTGCCACAGAATGCTGACCATCACCCTTTAGGGTACCTTGAATTCCGGGCAATGAAGCACCAGAGACGTGTTGTTGCAACGATTCAGGGAGAAAAGGCATAGAAGCCAGAGCATACTGCACACATTTCTATGTGGTCAACCATTTGGATTGAAATTGCTTCCCGGAGCGAGCATCCATTTTGCAAAGCAATGCCCATGTCATTATCATTGTTACCCAAGTACTATTAGTTGAACTTGGCTGATGACTGGTCTTTTCCTATGCAATGCCCTACTCCAGACCGACCCCTTGCTACTTCCAATCATGAGTAATAAGGGCTTGCAATCAACACGTAGGCGCCCACTTGGGTATTATGTATATCATCAAGGTGTATATGACTGCTGACTGCTGTGATAATGCCTCGACCTCAAACCACACAAACGAATCCGATACGCCTCAACTCTCGCTCAACAGCCCAGCACCCATGCTGAGAGGTGCTGGCTGTGATTATGGTGGCGCCACACATCCGAAGGACCGGGCCTCCTGCCCTGACATCTTGAGTGTGCTGCTGTGTTGAGCCTCGTCATGAAGCTTCTCAGAATGCTAGGATAGGACCTGAACTCTACTCGGGCACATCTTCTAGCTTCATGTTCACGTCGTCGCCACCAGCCAAGACTTTGGACTGGGGCTGATACCCGTCTGGCGCCTGACCGCCGGGGGTCTGGGCAACGACATTGTTGTTCTCGTCGACAAACTCGAAGTTGTAGCGGCTGAGCAGGTGGGGTATGGCGGAGAGCTGAGGGCCGTAGCGGGCAGTGTTGTCGTAGAGCTCGAACAGGGGGACGGCCAGAAGCTTCATATTCTTGGGCACACTAAGCACCTCTGTCATGTGGAGAGAGACCATTCGGTCAGTCAACGGGCTGAGTGCGGGTGGCGCGATGCGACTTACTCTGCTGTGGAAGTTGAATAAAGTAAAGCTTCTTGCACTCCTTCGGCCTGGACACATGGGCCGGGACGAAAGGGTACATGAAGGTCTCGAAGTTCGGGCGCCACCACTGGGCAAGGGTGTCGCCGATTTGCCACTGGCCCGGCGTCTCCCCTTCTGCCAGGCCGCCCGTGGGCGCCAGGCGCGCATCTAGCTTCTTCTTGAAGCCCTCGATCTCGTCGTCTTCTGGGGCGAGATAGTCTCCGGGAAGCTTGAAGAATGCATTCGCGATCTGTAGCATGAGGATGTGCGGGTGGTTGTGCTCGTGGCAGACGAGGATGCCCTCGCAGGTTCGCCGCATGCCATGCTCATTGTAATGCTCCTCGAGCCGTCTGAGCCGGGCGACCACACTGGGATCCTCCTCGGGCTGGGAGTCCTTGACGCCGAATGTGTAATTGGACAGAGGGTATAGTCGGATGGTCTGTGGTTGGTTCGCTTCGAAGGGGAGAGGGATCTTGGGTGGCTGCGACGAGCTCGTCGCGCCAGGCGGTGTTGTTGACATGCTGGCGATCGGGGAGGGGAGGGGTGAGCTGGCCGCGCTGGCCGTGTGCGATAGATGCCTTGGCACGGAACTCTAGAGACCAATACGGTCAGGTAAGGGATAGATGTGCCACAGATTTCGGTGTAATTGGCAGCGGTGAGAAGGGATTGAGAGTTTCTGTTTGGAGGAATTACGAGTCTGAGCTGTGGTCGTCTGAGAGGTGAAGCTCTAGGGTGGTCAGGAGCATACTGCCACAGCTTGATTGGAGCTTCCCGCCCAAAGCAGGAGGGCGGTGAAACCCTTCCCCAGTCTCTGGTGCTGCACAGGCCCACTACCGGCTCCTTGCTCCGAGTCCCCCAGCCTAGTCGCAAGCCTGTGCCTGAGTGCATCCTAATGTACCTCAGTACCTAGGTACTTGCTTTCTTGGTTCCAACACGGTTGCACAGGGATCTTGTGAACGACCTGTGCCACAACAGTGTTCCTCAAGCACAACTTGCCTATTTCCTCACAACCACAACTCCACTTGCAACTATGTGACAATGAGCCTCAATTTCCAACAAGGGTACTCCCAGAGCATTGATGATATCTCTGTTGGACCGGAGCATTCCCGGCTCGACCGATACCTCCAGCGCGATCAACGTCAAGTCGTTAGCTGCATTTAACCGGCGGCCGTAGACGTTGATGACGACCATCACAGAGAAGCAGAACCTGGAATGTGTGCGTGTCGTCCGATCACGGCCAGGCTTGATGGTCTCGTGGCCCCGCGGAGCCTCCGGGCCGTCTTATAAGCTCGGCGTGCGAGAAGAAGCATCGTGAAGGAGCTGCATCCGATTCAGCAGAGGAATATGCAGTTTCGCAGTTTGGCCTCGGACGTGGCTTACACCCCAAGCCCCCATATTCCGGGTCCGCCACCCGAGAAGACCTCCCGCATTGTCATGGGCTTCGTCCAATAACATTTCTCTGGATAAATCAATGGTGCATCTCCAGGCCAATGGGCCCCACCTACCCGCGCCTTTACGTTTACAACTGCCAGAGATCATGTCCATGGTCGGCTGCATGCCCACGCGGCAGTAGTGCTTTAGCTTCCGCTGGACTATGCACGTAGTATATATATTGCACATGAGGATGGGTCTCGGAATACTACGCCCTGCCCGCTACCGAATATCCAACAATCTTGGAAAGTCTTTAACAATTTATTGTTACATTCTCACATCCAACAGATCACCTCCCTCCTATTAGAGACATATTGATCAATCCCACAAGATGAGTGTAGTTCCAGTCCTGACTGCAGAAGAGAAGGAACACTTTCTCAACAATGGCTGGCTCAAGTAAGCTCACGGCCCTCGTCGATCGCATTCTATTTTCACTCAAGGGACAAATATCTGACAAGAACTTTCCAGGATCCCAAGGGCCTTCACCAAAGAACAAGCAGCCGACGTGACCAAAGACGTCTGGACACGCCTGGGCATGGACCCCAACGACAAGTCCACATGGCACAGGGTCTGGACCAACATGCCGCACCACAACACCTTTGACGCCCGCGACTTTGCGCCCCGCGCCTGGGCCGCCATCGCCGAGCTGTGCGGCGGCGAGGACCGCATCGACCCGGCCTTCCGGCAGTGGCGCGACAGCCTGATCGTGAACCTGGGCTCCGCCGAGCGCGAGGGGAAGCCCGACCCCCCGCGCGAGCTGCCCCGGTGGCACGTCGACGGCGACTTCTTCGTGCACTACCTCGACAGCCCCGAGCAGGGGCTCCTGGTGGTCCCGCTGTTCACCGACGTGCCCCCCTCGGGCGGCGGCACCATGATCTACCCGCCGGGGATGCGCGAGGTCGCCCGCCACCTGCGCGACCACCCGGAGGGCGTGTCGCCGCTGATGGTGCCCCGCGGCGACCCGGGCTTCAAGATCGACTTCCGCCGCGACGGGGACCTGGCATGGTACGGCGGCGTGGCCGCCCGCGCCGCGGACGACGCGGACTTTGTCGAGGTGTGCGGCGAGGCCGGCGACGTGTACGTGCTGCACCCGCTGATGATGCACGCCAGCACCAGCAACCCCCTGCGCCACGTGCGCATCATCACGAACCCGCCGATCGCGCTCAGGGAGCCGTTCCGGTTCCACAGGGACGACGGGACCGAGTACAGCCTCGTGGAGAGGACCACGCTCAGGATGCTGGGGAAGGAAGGGGTGGGCCTTGAGGGGTGGGAGATCACTCATCCGCGGGAGGGGATCGTCCCGGAGAGGCTGCGCATCCAGGAGAGGTGGAAGGAGGAGGAGCTCAAGAGGCTCGAGGAGCAGAGGAGCTCGGAGAAGAGCGGGCTGGCAGCTGCTTCGGCTTGAGGGATTTCTACTGGATCGTACGACGAGACACAGGACGAGGTCCCGTTGTACAGATGCAGGGGCATGTCTGACATGTCACTCGCACAAGAGCGCGCTAGGTCGTGCTCTTTTCGTTAGAATTTGATTATTAAAGCATGCTTGCTAGATCCCTACCCTCCTTTGATGCCTTCATTGACCTGTAAATGCGGAGGCCGTGGCTGCTGGCCTGTTGCAAGACACTATCCGTGTCTGGGAAATAAATAAAAAAGACGATCCGCAATGAGAGGGCGAAAAGCAGGAAAAAAGGTATACGTGAGAGGAAAACGTGGGAAGGGGAAAAAGGAATAAAACAATCGCGCCGAGAAGGGTATCTTCCCTCCCTCTGCCGTGACCTGTACATGCCCTGGTTTTTTGGTTGTTCCTGAACGCCGAAATGCATATGTCCAAATGACTCTAACAAGAACGGCGCGCTTTTCTTTGCCAAAGGGACCTTGCGACAGCAACAAAATCTGCTGTGCTGGTGCTTGTGAGAAAATGTGGTTGATGATGAGAAAAGAGATGAGGGAGAACACTATGGGTAAGGAAAATGGGGGGAATTGTCCAATGCATCTGGTGCCGCGACCCCCAATGCCCGATCCATGACATGCTTTACGAGTCCATCGACCACTCTTTACTCAGACCGCTCCTGAGCCTCGAGCTGCTCCGTCTCGGCGATGATCTGGAAGATCTTCTCGTTCTAGGCCCTCTCAGCTCAGTCACCCGCCTGGATGCAGTTGCTTGCGGCGAGGATGGATCCCCTTCAGCTTCCTCGCCTCCAGAGTCTGATTGGGCTTTCTTGGGAGACCCGGCCAATTCGAGGTCCTCCGAAGAAGGTGGGCCACGGTTGGCAGGTCGGAACCCGAGCGTTGTCGCTGGTGGAGAGCCGGGTGGGCCTTGCTGCTCAGTCTTCTGGCGTTCAGCCGATCGTCTGGAGCGTTCCTCCTTGTCAGCTGTCCCTCGCTTCTTGCTACTGCTTTGAGGGGTTGGTGGGCGTGTTGCTGGGCCCCAAGATGGCTTTCTTCGTGAGCCCTGAGCTGGTCCTGATTGAGTCGTCTCTTGCTTTTGGGGGCCTTGCCCTATGGCTTCTTTCGTTGTGAGACCTTTCAATGGGAGGGCATCGATCGTGTAAGCCTGCCTTGGCTTCGGCGCTGAATTTGTGGACGGTATAGTGGGCGGCGATTTCGCGGGCGCTGGCATGATAGGCACAAATGGAGAGCGGCTTGGCTGAGCCAACATTTCTGACTGTGCCCTCTGCTGGCCGGAAGAAGAACCCTACTTCTTCTCTTCCCGGGCCGGCAAAGAGTCAGTCGCCGAGTCCGTCGAATTCTTACCACGCGACTTCCTGCTCCCCGTCGTGTGCGTCCATCCCCTGATCTGCGTGGGGCCGTGGGACGGCGGTGGTGCTGTGGCAGAGTAGTCCCTGATGCCTTCATACGGGTTGTACATCAGGGTGCGCAGCTCCGACCCGTTGCTGTCCCACGTCTCGGCCTGCCGGGGAGCGGGCTTGATCTCGCGGTACTGCTTGTTGTTATTGTTGTTGCTGCTGTTATTGCGGGTGGATGATATGCTGCCGCTTCGTCTTCCTGGGGAAGTCGAGACTGCCGTGTGGGTGTTATGGTACGGAGGAGGGCTCTGCAGAGCCTGCCCTTGTTGGCCGGGGCCCTGATCGTACTGCACTTGATGCTGAGCGCCAATTGCTGCCCCCGGCGGATATGCAACTTGTGCCGCGGAATAAGGTGCAGGCTGCTGATGGCCCGATTGTACCGCTGGCTGGGCCATATAACCTGGTCTGGCGCCCGCCTCTGTAGACATCAAGGGGTGGTCCGGTCCATATCCATTAGGGTATGGCTGATCTGGATATGCCTGGTGGTGAGGCGGGGGCGGATAATGCGCTCCTTGGTCATTGGGGCTCATCGCGTTGTGCTGGCCAGGCTGAGGCCCAGAGGTTATCGGGTGCATGAGCTGACCAGAACCTGACCCACGGTGTAGGGGTCGCAGCGGTGGCAATGGCTGTGTCTCGGCCCCAGCTGGGTTGCTGAATGGTGTTCGTCCGGGTGAGCCCTCCGTACCCGCAGCTGGTCTTGGAGCAGGGGCCACATATGACCCAGCATACTGCGGTAGGTGATGAGTCTCATGATGATCCGTAGCTTGAGGCGGCCCCTGCGGCGTCGGGGTGGATGGGGAATTGAGCGCGGTTTGAAAGAAGCTTGGTTGCGACGGCTGTTTTGGCTGAGCTTGTTGTGGTTTCTGATGTTGGGGAGGTTTTGGTCCTTCACCATCCTCGAACAGCTGGGGGTCCAAGAGCGCGTCGTCAGTATTAGGTACGGGGACATACCGCTCGTCGGACGGATGGGGCAAATGTCGTGCCATAGGTGGCTGTTCGTAAGGAGTATCCCCATCTCGGTATGCATATGCCTCTGGATGGTCTGCTGGGGGATGTTGTGCCTGGTGAACAGGTGCTGATTGCGGAGGCTGCATCGGTGGCATTGCATGCTGCCGCTCGTGACCTCGATAGGTAAAGTGCTCGGGCGGCGCCAAGGGGGACTGTGGCACCTGCGGGTCGTGGTAGTTCTGATGAGGCTGCGCGGCGTACGTTCGGTCTCCACCCATGAAGTGCTCAGGCATAGCCAGCTGCTGGCCGGATTGCTGAGGGTCAGGGTAGTCCGGGTGCTCCATCGCCTCATCCGCTTGCACGAGCTCTTGAGGGTCCCGCAGCTGCTTGGGACGGACTGGCTCGGGCATCTGGATGGGAATTTGCGGCGGCTCCTCGAGATGGGAGCTTGGTACAGGCTCGCTGCGCGGCTCAATCGCATCTCTAATGGCGATGTCTGCCAGAAGTTTCATGGCCGAGCTGTCTTCGACAGGTGGGGTTGAAGCTGTAGCAGGAGGTAAGTTGGAGTTTCCAAAGATATCTCGGACTGCGTCGTATGGTCTTGACATTGTCGAAGGTCGTGACAGGGCAGGCGAGACAGTCTGCGCTTCCCGTATGCTTTGAGCCTCTTGCGCGTCTCGAGACTCGAGGGCAGAGCTAGCGCTGACGAGCAAGTCGATGTTATGGGCGCCCAACTGCTGGTCTTGCTCGTCTTGAGCCTCATCTTCTTCTTGCTCCAGTTTGATCCGAATGTCTTCGCGTTCGTTCAACAGCCTTTCTGTCTCTGGGTCGTAGAGATCGTCCTCTGTCAGGTCTTCCTGGGCCATGAACCGGCTCAGCATGCTCTTAAGCGTCTTCTTGACATAAGCACCCTCGGCCTTGGCCTTAGATATTGACCGGGAGGTGTGGATGATCTTGCCATCAGGTGGAACAAACACCGTAGGTTTCCAGCCGGATTGATACGGCCTAGGTGACTCTGATTCGTTGACAGAGTTCTCCATGAACAGGCCGTATTTGGGATGCAACTTGTGCTTGGCGATCAAGTCCGGATCGAGGTCACCGTCGGCGTACTGTGTGGCGTCGTATGTCCAAAGTGTGCGGTCAAAGAACATGGCGTTAGAGTTTGGCTGGCCCAGAAACTTCTTGCGCTTGGCCTTGGTGGCGCCACGGCTTTTGTCGTTGGTGGAGTCGCGGAAGCCGATCTCGTGAGGCTCATACTCAAACAGTGGTGGAAGCATGATACGGTTGTTAGGCATATCACCAGCCCTGGCTCTCTTATTGATGAGCCTTGCGCCATACTCGTCGGGTTCTGCTGCGCCATTAGGAAGCGGAGGCATGGTCTCATCCTCGCCAGCATCGGACTCCTCGGCCTCGGCCGATGGTGACCGTGCAGGGATCACCTTCCGCTTCCTGCCACGGGTCGCCGTCGCCGGCTCATTTGGCGGTGATTGGTTGTCGTCATTATCGTCAACAGGTGAAGGCGAAGGAGGCTGGCTTGCAGGCTCATCAGGTGCGACTGCAGAGAGAAGGCCACCAATGTGGCGGGGAAGGTCTGCGCCGGCCTTGTTGTCCAGGGAGCTCACCGGCCGCTTAGGTGTGGGCTGACCCTCGAGGAGGTCTAGGCCCTTGCGCTTGATGGGGGTACGCGCAGCTTTAGACTTGCTCGCCTCCGAGGCCAGCTCTGGATGGAGGTGAGGATATGGAACTTCAACACCCTTGAAGATCTTCCGGTAGATGCCCTGCTCGGCAGCCTCTTCTGTGGTGATGGACTTGTAGTTCCAGGAGAGATCCAGTTTCTTGTGCATTGGTCAGGCATGGGAACAGTCATGGGAACAGTCTTGGGCATTGAAGCGGGATATGGGCACTTACGTTGACGGGATCCCTCGTTCTCTGCAGGGCTTCGAGTATGTCGAGGCGTCTGAGCTGGGCGTCGAAGTAGTCCTCGACGAGGTCATCCCAGCGGTTCTGGCAGGATGTGAGCAGGTGGGCCGGGGGGTGGGGAGGGAACAGCATGAAGGAAAACAATGAAAGCGACAGTGATTAATTGATTGAGGGCTTACGTGGAATGATTCGCCGGTGTAGACCTGTTTGGCGTTCCATTCGTGTTCTGCGGTCGAGGTGCTGAGCTTCAATTTTGCGTCAAGCTCCGACAGCCGACCTTGGAGTCGCTCGTCGAGAAAGCGGGTGATGTCGGTGTACTGGTCGACCTCCTGGTGTGCGTCGAACCTCGACTTGAGCAAGTCAATATTCCGATCTGCAAGCTCCTCGAGGGCCGGTTTCATTGCGGCAGCCACGGTAGCATAGGCATTTTTCAGATCGCGCTGACGCTCGTGGGCTGCCTGGGCGCGAGACGTCTCGTAGATCTTTTGACGGCCCCGTCGACCAGCTGTGACTTTTCTGCCAGCGCGAGCTGAGGCGGCGCCCCTAGCTGAGGAGCCTCGTCCTCTGCCTCGGCCTCGCTTGACCGGGCTGGGTTGCTGAGGAGCAGGGTCACTCATGGTGCCATTCAAAATGGTGAGGTTGTAAGTAAGTGCAGGCAGGGTGAGACGGGGGCAATTGGGTGAGATGAGGGAATCAGGACAGGGTGCAAGAAATGGTGCGTGTCAGAGAAGGCGAGAAACGGGGACCTGGCGGGCAGCCGTCGGCCTGGTGAATAATGTCTGCGATGTATTGGAAGAGTTGGAGGAGTGGCCAAACCGGGCTGGCGATGTGTAGTTTCTGTGAGGAAGAAAGTGATGCGATGGCTGCCGGGCAGGGCTGGTGTGGACGGATTGGCCGTGTGTGTTGGTCTAATCCGCCTCGCAGGATAATGACAGCAGAATGCAAAGACGGGCTCGGGGCCGTGTCGACGAGATCAACAAGCGCGACAGGGCGACACGAGGGCTTCAATAGAACGGCCGCACGTTATGGACGGGCTGTTCGGGGCGACGGTGGTCAGGATATCTTGACTGATGCTGTCGCCATGTCGGTGTCAATGCCAAAGGAGATCCAATCCAATCCGCTACTGTCTGGTGGCTGCTGCTGGGCCAGAGGTACAAGGTACTTGCGGAGATTTTCGAACTCAGCACCTACTTTGCCGCTTTGGGTAACAAAAAAACCTGACTTCGACACCCCGTCGCCACGGGATGAAGCTGCAGCCTGTGCTGAGGAAGACAATGGCATTGATTTATTCCTGGGCTGATTCTGTCTGATGTCTTTTGATATATTCACAACCGTTTCCTTCGCCGGCAGTGGTGTGCTGCGTTGGCATTTGGGTGACTGACGGCCACGGCTGAGCGTGCTCCGTCACTCGTCTCTTCGCCTTGTCCGTCCCTTGGCCCGTTACTTAGTTGCTTTGGTGCTTTGGTCACAATGAGCTGGCTGAATTGGTCCTTGCAGCTGCTCAACTCTACTCTGAAGTATACAAAACCCGTTCCTATCGTTCACATAGGCTCGAGATGGGCCCCCGCCATACATGTGGTTGGGGCTGCAGCTCGATGAGCCCCATCAGGGTCCTTCGGCGTCATAGCAGGTCCAGCATCGGCAGCAGCTCCTGGTCGCCTCAAGAGCTCACCTGTCGCACTTAATCCGCAGCTAAATCTCCCAGAAGAGCATTTTCGCTCTATCTGTGCATGAGGCCCTGCCTCCTCTTCTCCTGTCTCTCATTGCCTGCTTGAGGAGCGCATGCATCTAATCATCAGACCGTTAGGGGCACTCGCTGTTCCCGTGGCCGGTTCTCCAACGGCAGTTCGAGTGGCCTCGTCTTTGGGTTCTGTTCAAGGTTTCCTTTCGCCGAGGTGCTGGATCTCCGAATTTATATAGTACTGTTATTGTCTCCGGTGAGCTGCCATAGTCTATTTATCCTGCTCTGGTATTTATGAGGGGCGCACCTGACTGTGAGTCCCCATACTGTGGTATCTCCTTATTTACGGAGCCGGGGCATCTTGTCTCGCGTCGCATGCCGTAACGGTGGGGCTGTCGCCATTTTATGGGGCTTCGGAACAGCCACAGCCATTTCCGATCCAGACTCTCCTATTTACATCAGTAATATCTCTAAATATGCCTCCTTTTCCACCTCCGATCCAGACGTGACCTGCATCTCACTTTGTCCGTGTGAGGCCCTGCTCCAAGACTGACCCATAACCTCGGGAAAACGGTCATAACAGTATGAGTCCAGTAGCTCCTTGGTTCGAAAGTATCGGATACTTTGCCGTGATTACGTTAACATTCGGACCACTATGATTGGCTCATACCCCTGGCCCTTCTATTTCTGGGGTCAAGGGTCCGGCTAGCCTCGAAAAGCGGGCTCGGCCGCGAGGGCTCATTGAAACTCATTCAATGCATGAGATTCTAATTAGGACCATTCTGACTTATTCGTGTGTCGCCAACACCACATTCCTGACTTGTTCACCTGTCGCTAGACAACATGTCGAAGAAACGCAAGATCGGCCCGGGGAAGCAGAAGCACAGGCCAGCTTCTCACAAGACCCAGGACAAGGTCAAGAAAACCACCCAAAAACCCGGAAAGCCACAAGCCAAGCCCGACAGCAGCAACCCCAAAACTCAGGCCCGGGATCTCGAGCCCACTATTCCTTTCTCTCCCGAAGACTCCATCCTCCTCGTTGGTGAGGGCGATCTCAGCTTCTCACGGGCACTTGTGGAGCACCACTACTGCGAAAATGTCACGGCGACCGTGCTGGAGAAGGATCTCGAGGAGCTCACTGCCAAGTACCCTCATGTGAAGGAGAACATCGACCTCATCGAGGCTGATGGAAGCAAGGTCGCATATGGCGTAGATGCCAAGAAGATGGCACCTTGGGCCAAAAAGTCGGGCAAAGAGTCGGTGGGCGTCATGGACAGGATAAGTGCGTATCTCTTCCCCCTCCACCTCCACCGCAAGCATGGCTAACCACACCCTCGCGCAGTATTCAACTTCCCCCACGTGGGAGGCAAGAGCACAGATGTGAACCGCCAGGTACGGTACAACCAGGAGCTGCTCGTCGAGTTCTTCAAGCGGGCGCTGCTCTCGCTGGCCCCGGGGGGGACCATCATCGTCACCCTGTTCGAGGGAGAGCCCTACACCCTCTGGAACGTCCGCGACCTGGCACGGCACGCGGGCCTGCAGGTCGAGCGAAGCTTCCGGTTCCAGGCCTCCGCGTACCCGGGGTATCACCACGCGAGGACGCTCGGCGTCGTCAAGAACAAGCAGGGGGACGTCGGCGGCGGCTGGAAGGGCGAGGACCGCGCCGCCCGGAGCTATGTCTTTGTGCGGAAGGACGAGGTGCCGAAGCCGATCTCCAAGAAGCGCAAGCGCTCGGGGGATGATGATGACAGCGACGATTCGGATTGAACACGCGCCGGGGTCAAAATCATGCTACGATCTCGAATCTGGCCGTGCCAGTAATCATCAAGCTGAAATCTCCTCTTCGACACAGAGAGAATTCACCTGCAATCACCAATATGGAGGGCATTGTTCGAGCTTGTGCGGGCCACTGGGAGTCCAGAAGGGCGCGGGTCGGCAGTCGAACCGAGTGGGTCAGCGATGAAAGGGTCTTCTTGACACATTGGCTTTGTGGCGTTCGAGGCATATGGCCAATATCAAGTCGACTACTCAAGATGACAAGGCCACCCGTGCAACAATCATCATGCCAGATGGTCATACAATCTACAGCTCGCTATGACGCTCACGATACGGCTTGCTCAGCGAATGGATCAGTCACATGCGGCTAAAAGTCCGTGTCCGATGGACAGGCTTCAAGGTCGCAGCGAGGGACTCTCCAGAGTGACAGCATTTCTATATGTTCAAAATTCTACTGAACGAACATCAAACATTATTTGCTGGACCGGCCAGACTCACAGCGGGTGGTTCTCAGGGCATAGTCTCAAAATATCAAGAAAGAAATAACCACAACACAAATGAAAAAGCTCCGTACTTGAGAACTCGTGAGGAATTCCCGTGTTCACATATACGTCTCACGTCCTCGTCAGAAGGCTGTGACACATGTGGAGATCTCCAGAAACGAATCAAACCTCACGCGCTCATCTTCACAGAGTTATGGAGACGGCCAATCGATACATAGACAGGCCCCGAAAGCCTTGATATAGCGCCCGGCCCTGTCAAAGAGTCATCTCTAGACCGAACCTGAAAAATCAATAGATTAGCATAACAAATAGAACGATGACCACAGAAGACGATGCCAGCTGCCCAACCTTCTTGAGCGAGCAAGGACCTCCTCCATTTATACGCCGACCTGTCACATGCAGCCTGGGTTCACAGCACAAGATTCAATACCGGCGAGTAGAGCAACCAACAATCACAACAGAAAGACGCATGGCTTTCATCCCGCCCGCAATCCACAACCAGCCTCAGTTACACTGCACATCACCACTGGCAGACTACCAGGGCGACCGTCCGAGCCTCGTCTGCACGCAGCCGTGATTACACAGCACCTGCAACGCAACACACCTGCACACCAACTGACCACGTCCGAATACACACCCACTTTCCAATATATGCAAACGCAGGCAGACAAACCACGCTGAATACTTGTTGGCTACATTATCAGTGACCAGGGCTGCTTCGAGGATGACCTCAAACCACAAAATCCTCGCTTGCCTCGACATCCCCAACGTGGAGCCGTCATGCAAGTGACCGGTCATTTCCTCAAGTACATGCTCTCCTGTTCACATATCCGGACATATAAGCTCGTCGGCTGGTGCCGTACCCCATCCTGGGTGCATTGCAGATTCAATATGCCTTTTATTCCATCCCCAGCTACCACACCAAACTTTCGAGAAACGGTTCGAACGTCTGTGTCCCAGACAAGGCGGACGTTTCGCCGTCTCGCGTTGGGGAAAGGCAAATAGATACTGCATCTGAGTGTTGACTGACCACTTCCGTGACCGAAAAAGACATCTAAATGTGCCTGTCGCGTGCATATCGCCGTGGGCTGCCCACCTAACCTTTTCCCTGTGTGAGCCGTCCCTTGCAGCTGTCATATGCATATACCCGCGGAACCAACAGGCGCGCGAGGACGTCGCTCCGAGGGGTGGGAGGATCAATAGATGGGACGCGGGCGAGGTCGTCGACGTACCGTTCGTCTGCCTGCCTGCTTGCTTGCTTCCCAATGCTTGGCCACAGGAACATGCAAGGTGGTTCTGCCTCGCTCGCCCCGCCAACAACCAACCCCCCAGGAGGGCACCTTTCATGCATACAAACACCGAAGCGACTTGGGGTGGCATTTGTATGCAATACGTGTGCTGGGGAAGCGTGGGGTAGGATCTCGCAAGCCCGGGGCTGATGGGATGCTGCCGCGGTGATTGTTGCCTGCGTTGGTGTGCTTCCAAGGTTGCGTCCGCTCCATGCACACATGCACACTCTTTTGTATACAATGCGTGGGCGGCTCACATTCAGCTCAGGCTGATGTGACAAACAACTATTTAGCCTCTCACACTGTGAAAACGCGTTTGTTTAAGCGTGCTTGTCGCTACCGTCCTTGAGTATATCTGTATGCATATGAGATGGCGTCGAGATCGGAGCGAGAGGGCCGGGTGAACATGGCCGCTTGGGAGGGGGTTAGGACGAGGGAGGAAAAGAGCAGCTGATGATTGGAGCCCCTCAACAGGTCTGTCAGTGAGATTGAGCAAAGGTATGCTATGCAGGCTCGACAGATTCGGGCTGTTCGGTTTGGGTGTTCCCCGACCCCGAGGACGGCATCTGGTTACATTGTGGGCTGGGAAAACAGCACCAGCGGGCTCGTTGCTGGTGTTTTTAATCTCCCTCATGGGGGAGAATCAGAACGTAGGACCAGTTGAATCAGTCAGATGGGTCTACGCCAACAGATGAGCGCGCTCAACCTCATGTGGTTGGCGGCTGGCAGCCCGCCTCTCATGCCATGGCTACGTGAGTGGCGAGGCACCTGGTGAGGCCATTTATCCTGGTGTGCTGGTCCGTCTGAAATGAAAGGCATCAACTGTCCGGCAGTGGGGGTCGGGGTACATACTACGAAACGATACGGACAAAGAACCACGTACATGGGCATGTGGCAATGAGAGGACATCGCGGTGGTGGCAAGGAGGCGCCATGGACAGGGCTGGCTGGCCCGGGAAGCCAGGTAACAGGCTCTGGTCGCAAAGCCCTGATCACTTCTCATACCCCTTTGCGCGCACCACCATGCGCCGGGGGCGAACATGCTTGCTTCCCAAGAGAAGGTCAGCACGGCCGCAAGGGAAGGGACTGCCTAGGAAAGGATTAGTCGGCCGCGATGAGCCCTCCCATCAGCCAACCCGGAAAAGATTCATCTCTCCACAGTAAAATGATCGAGCGTTATGAAATGAAACAATCGGGATGTGAATTGTCGAGAGAAGTCGCGAGCGCCGTTGTAAGGAGAGACAGACCCAACATAATTTGCTGGCTCCAGGTGACGACTCCATGCAAACCACATCACGTCCATAAAGAGCACAGAAAACCGCAGCCAAAGAGACAAACCCTTGCAGAGCCGAGAGATCTCTGGTCTCGACTGACGTGGGCGTTCCTCTAGACAAGAGACCATCACAATTGCTCAGTCCTGGCAAGGTAAGCTGTCCTCAGCGGATCTACTTGCATCCACCTATAGTACATGCGCACCAGGTCTGAAATCAGTATGGGAGGAAAAGAGATGTTGAATCAAGTTGAAATGCTCGCTTGGCTGGTGTAAATTAATGGTGTCCCTAACTAGCAATAGAAACGACAAAAAAAGACTGACACACGTTAGAAGACCCCGTCATCCTGTTTGAGCGCCCATAATCCTCGCCCTTACCCTTGCCATTCAAGGGATTTAAAAAAAAGGGACTTTATCCTGATGTGCTTCGTTGTCGATCTTGGAGGCCTCGCCTTCCCTTCCTTGTCTCTATAAATTTCATCCATCATGGAAAACGCCATATGTGTAGGCCTTTTCTGACTGTAGACCCAGAAATAGCACGAGAGCCAATCCTTCCCTTGAATCCACCCTCACCAGAGAGGGAAGGGCACTCCCAATCTTGGAACACACGCACTTTATCCTGTCATACTGTCCCCAGGTGAGGAAGATGTCTGACCAGGCACCAAGTTTCATTCCTTCATATTCGTCTATGCCGTCCAAGTTGTATGGCGCAGACACCGTCTGTGAAACACGCTCGTTCGAAAAATTAGTAGCACCAATGCTCGGCAGATTGTTGATTTTTTTTCTCTTTTGTGATTGTTTGGGTGTCCGAATAAATGCTGGATCGGGAAAGAAGAAGAGGAGGAGGAAAAAGCTGTCCTGTCGTTATCCAGCCGCTGGCTCATACCAATACCATCTATTCCTGTAGAGGCGGAAGAAAACTTTTTGCAAAAAGCCGACGCGAATTGTGCTGATTGTTCATGAATGTCGCCGAATCGCGACCGAGATCAAATGAGGGCTGCGAAGCCGAATGTTGGTGTAAGAGGAAATCACGTCAGCCGGCCCAAAGTATCCAGTTGCCCCTTCGGTCAAACAAAGTTGCCCTTGCAACATCGCATTCACGTGTTCCACCGTTTGCTGGGATTCTTGTTCCCGGCATACTCAAAACTGCTGCCTCCTTCATCGTGGAGTTGTCCACGGCCTAGTGATTCGATCTTCAAGCTGGGCCCGGACAGATTTCTGGGGTCGTGCTGCTGTGCGAGATAGTTTGGGAAACCTTGGGTCGCATGCGAGTGGACAGAGCCTTGTGGGACGCTCGTCGTCCGATAGATACTCGCAGGGCCTGTGTCATAAGAGCCTCGCTGCATGTTATCGAAAGATGCTGCCTCGACGTATTGTGGGGTCTGTGTGAGCGGTACAGGCTGCTGATGCACATAGGATCCTGATTGTTGCGTCTGCTGCTGCTGGTTATCGAAAGACGAGTACATTGACGGGGTTGTTGGCGGGTTTGTCGCCTGCCAGCCCGGGTATATGGCAGATGTCGGTGCACTGCCATATTCAGATGGTGAGGCGTATAGTGACGGCCGACGGCTTGTGGCGTGGGGATCTGGAAAGTTCTCCTGTAACGGCATGGAAGCTGCTTGCTGGATCGCGGATTGGTTGGCCATCGAACCGCCGCCCTCGACAAAGCTCGCATGCCCGGAACTGAGGTCTGGCTGCATCATCGACGGCTGGTGGTGGTATTGAGGACCCCGTACCGGAAGGTCTCCCAAGAAAGGGCCTCCCTGCAAGTTGCCGGCTGGGCTCTGCTCACTGCTCGGAGCCACCATCAGACCGTGGTCTGCGGTCTTCGGGGTCGGATCGTTAGCCGGTGCTGGGTTTTGTTCGGAGTCGTCATCCTCCTTGGGAACGTCGTCGTCGTCATCGTCAGACTGGTAATTATCGGGGACCTTGTCATCAGCCATGACCATACATTCAACCTCGGCATCTGTAAACTCTCTGTCAGCACCTGCACGAGGCTTGCGGCTTGGCTGCTCGTCGTACCTATCTCTCCGTTTTTGAATCGCTCTTCGTAGCGAGCCACCTTGAAGATCTCTCTGAGATAAGGCTTCTTTTTGGCATTGTTCGGGTTCTCGACATCCCCAAAGAAACTTCCGAGCGCCTCAAAGGTCGCTTCCTCCAATTTGCTAACGTTCAGTCCATGCTTCTGGATGTCCTTGTGCTGGAGATGGTTCGGTTCGGTGATCATGTGTAGAATATGGTTCAAGAGATAAACACGTTCTGTATTGGGTCAGATTGAGCCGCGGGCTGGCGTTCGGGGATCGCGAGACCTACCAGGCTTATAAAGATGGTCTGGTTCCTTGTGCCGGACCTTCTCGTCTCTCGATGTGCCCCAAGGCTTCGGCCACCAGTCCGGAGCCTTTGCATCGGCACCTGTGTAAGGGTGGTTGGACTGTTTCTTTGGTGCGATCAGTTTGACCCATGCCTTGGCAATCAACTTGCAAGCAGTCTGTTGTATGTTCTTGAATCTTTGGTCGCAGAATTTCCAGACCTCCTCCTTGTTGCCGACTCGGATGCCCTTCTTGGAGAGTACCACTTGGACTGCGGGAAGGTCGTCGTCCAAAGTGACATCTCTCCTTCCCGACAACCCGCCTCTCTGCCTCTTCCGAGTCCTATAGCAGGCTTCATCGTCGTAACCAAGGAGCCCCTGGGCGCGCCGTCGGTCATACTGCCGACGTCCGCCATATGCGGAGCTCATGTGAGGTCTACCTGGATCTCCATGCGCAGGATAGCCTTCTTCGTACGCAGGGCTCGGTGCTGGAGCGAGACAAAGTCAGACCGTGCGAACACATTCGAAATGCGGTTTCTTACTTGGCATCACCCTTCCAGTCGTGTACCATTTTTGGTATCCGTCGAGATCAATGTACTTGGACAGGACTTCCGAAGTTGCAGCCTCCTTTGGCCCGGTGAACCTCACCAGTTGTCCGTCATCTCTGATTCCTGCCATAATAAAATGCTTGAGTGGGATGTTGCAATATTCGTCAAACATCGTGCAAATATCCTAGGTAGGGCATGAGTATCCTGAACGTGGACTAGTATGTGTACTGTCTTACCATAGGAACCCTAGATTCATATATCGGATCATTGGGAATCCTGGTTGGCATCCTTTCGGCCGGATGCCAAAGGCGCGACGGGTGGGTCGGCTGAACCATCTTGGTAAAGTTGAGATATGTGCTGTAGGCGAAAGATCAAAACCCTGGATGCGCTCTGGATGTGACAAGGCAAGAGACGTCCTGCTCCTTATTGATGGCCTTTTATGCGATGACAAGCAGCCACGCGTCTCAAAGGCAAGAGCGGCACTGAATATACATAAACTGAGAGCTGATCAGCAATGGCCTATCGTATCGGTGAGGCTGAAAGTGATGCATGGAGACATGGGTTGATGCAAGGCAGACCTTGGTTGATCTCCTTCTCGCACCCCAAGGATCTATCTGCTGAAGATTTAAAGCTTGCCAGTGAGACAGGCAATAGCCATGTCCAAACGAGTACAGGATCGGGGAAAGAGTCTAGGCTTGAGTGTCGATACAAATGAAAGAAAGCAACGGCCCATGGAGAGTTGTGACTGATCCCGACCGGCTTGAGTGGCGTGTATGGCTGATATATGTGCGAGGGTATGTCTAGGGCAAGGAAGACTGAGGAAAGCAGGCCGTACCTGGAGACAACAACTGCCGATGGCCTTGGTTGCCCTCTCGACGGACGGCAAATTTCCTGACAGCAGCCAGGTCGAGTTGAACCCGCAGATCGCTGGCACAGGTCTCGCGTGTCTGTTGGAGCGGGAGCTTGCTGAAGCCGAGTATGACGGGAAGCGGATATGCGCCAAATTGGGAACCCTGGCGACGGCACGATCGACAGTATCGAGCCTCTGCTGGGAAATGCCTTGCTGGGAATGATCAAAATTTTGGAAAGAGGCCCATCGACAACAAAGACAAAATGAGGGCCTGTGTCAGATCGGACCGTATTGCTGCGGCCAATTCCAGGATTGCTGGTCCCTGCACAGGCGCTTGGACAGACGGAACACTTCGCTGTTATCAAGTTGCCAGGAGAAGCGGGCGTCACGGTCTTCTTTGTCTGCTATACGGCTGTGAAACATCGGAAAGCTGCTCTCCACTCGCCCAGGACGGCCTCCCAGCACAGAAATGGCAATGAGTATCCTGAGTGAAGGAGACACGATGTGCGCTCAAGTGCCCTAATGCCTCAACACCCTGTCGAAGCTGACACGGCCAAAAGCGGCCTGATTTTGGCGGGAACGAAAAGGCTAGGACGCCCTGCCGACGGCGATGAGAAGGCGAGGTGAGCGAAGGGGGGGGGGCAAGACTTTCAAAAGGCCTCGGAGAGGTCGGGTGAAGTATCGTGTCGCGCAGGATCGAGTGGGACAGACAGAACTCGACTGCACCAAACCGCACAGCCCCGCGTAATGAGTTGTGAGGGAAGGAGATGACCGGATTGTTTCTCCTGTCGTGTTTGGCAGGCCAATCTGTGTTCACCAGGGTGGCCTAGTGGTTGCGGCAGATGGCAGACGGGTGGAGTCTCACTGACAAGGTATGTAAATACCAACAGACAATACCGAGTCGTATAACTCAAGTTAGAGACGCACTGAAGCCGAGTCCGTAGGCAAGAAGTGGAAGCAGCAAGACGGAGGGTCCTAGGTCACCTGGCCCCAGGCCGCTGCTCATCAACCGTGACCGGAGACCGAATGAGGCACAAAGTGGGATGGCGACAAGAGACAGACTGTACTGACGCCTGCGGCGGCAAACAATATGGGAGATACGTTCCGTTGGCTGTGCGACCGAGAGGAGCGATCGAGCCTTGCTGGGGCCTGGTTCGTTCCGGCGCACGGAGAGGAAGGAGGCGGGAGATGGGCCAAGAAGCTGGGCTCGACTGCGAGGAAGGGAGTATGTAATGTAATGTATGTCAAGAAGATTGCTAGTGCCACCATATGTACTGTACGTGTGATGGAGAGTGAGTCCCTTGTGGTCGGGCAAGGCAAGGATACTCAGATAAAACAGAAAAAGACATGCGAGGGCTACGACCCTTGTCCCATGCAGGAGACAGTGGGTTCCACCGAGCCCAGTGCGTATTATGGGCCAGGAGACAGGTGCTGAATCTCAACCGTCGACCGGGGCAGAGGCCGCGCTTCTATGGGATCGTAAAACCGGGGAACAGCACCAGATGGATCTCGGCAAGGTCGGTCTACTGGACTGCGACCGGAGTGGTGGTCGGGGAAGAGCCGTGAAGATGGAGATGGTAAACAGGCTTGCCCTCTCAGGCAGGGTGCCGCGAGGGTGGAAAGTCTGCCAAACGGAACGCCCTGGTTATAACGTCAACCAAGGACAGGTGTGATGACACCTTGTGCCGAACAGTACTTGCTGGGGGAGGAAGCAAGTGGTCCAACAAGAGCCTGTGTTTGGGTGGGGAACACGGCGACTGGTCGAGGGTGTGGAAGGGCTTTGCCTGATGCATGGCGGGCTGCAGCATGTACATGGTAGCTCGATAGGCATACGGCGCGCGCGCCCATATCGGCTGCGAGTCGCACAGTGACGAGAGGGGACCTAGCAGAGGGAGAAGAAGAAGAAGAAGCAAGACAGTTGCTGATACTCGCGGGCCGGGTAACAAAATTCCGGCTTGTGCAAGGCAAGAGACTTGAAGGGGAATGTCCACCTCAGCTGCTTGCCCGAACCTACGCCTCGCGGCTCGCCCGCCCGTCAGCAGATTAGGGACATCATAGAGACCGAGGCCGATAAGGCGCATCGACATGCCATTGTCAGGTTTGGCCTCTGGGTTGCACACAGCACACCTTGATAGCCCTGGGGCCATGGCCGTACTGTGTAGAGGTGCCGGGGCACAAGACCAAAGCGGTGGTACATGTGAGTACGGAGTACTTGGTGCTGCGCGTGGAGGATGAGCAGGGTCAGAAGCAGCCGAGCTTGGCTGGTTGAGGATCTTGCTGCAGCCACTGCACTGTTAGCAAAAGGCTGAGGTGTGAGGCAGGGCCGGGCTTGCGAGGCACCGGCGGCAGCCTCGATATCGCACAGCAGGGTCGCCGGCGCGGCTGCTCTCCTTCCCACAAGCGCCAGGGAACATCCTGAGGAGAAACACATGCCTGGTGTGGAGTCATTGAATGCCTTCTCCCACCGTTGTGGTGGTACTGTAGTGGGCATCAAGTGGACCAGAACCAATGTGCGACCCCGGATCCCAGCCAAGAGGGCGCTGGGAGCGCTGCAAGGAGAGCTCTCACCTCGTCCCCGTGTGGGCTGAGGGACAAGGCGACGCAGCAGTCCAAGCAAGATATTGGCGCATCATTAAGAAATGGACGTGAGCAACCGGCAGGGCTGAAGAAGGTTGAGCAAGACGGCTTTCGGACAGGGAAAGGCTCTTCCCACTTGCAAGGCGCAGCGGCGGAGTTGCGGTATCAGGGTGCGCCGCACAGAGACCGCAGGGCAGGTAGGTTGGCAGGGTACTCCATCCAGAAGGGCCGTTATGGCCGAGACGAGCAGACGAGGCAGCTGTGAGAGGCGCGAGGCGCTCGCACGAGATGGTGTGAAGGTGTGGTCAATGGTGCCCTGGTTGTGACAGGGGCCTTGTGTGAGTCTCTGAGACTCTGGGGGGGGGCACGCTATGCCGAAATGGCACAGAGAGGCCTGTGCCAGTACCCAGAGCACAGAGCTCAGAATCCACACACCCAGACAGACACCTTGCGCCCGGTGGGTCTTCTCTGCTGGAATGAGCCCGGGACTGGGGCCGGGACTGTGACTGTGACTGTGACTGACAAGACGTGGCTGTGAGTAGCAAGTACTCTGTATGCGTGTGAGTGCTGTATCCATCCGCACTGTTTCGTAGAAGCACAGTCCTATCGCGACAACTGGCAGAGCAGAGCAGACGCCGACCATGGCCGCTGGAACAAGTCAGCCAGGTGGAACATTTGGTAGAGGCTGTCGATAGATACATGGCGTGGTGTACTGTGACCTCTCCGTAGAGGCTGGATTTGTGGATTTGTGGATTGATTCTCCTCCTGCACATGTTGGTTGTGAAGGTGCAGCAAGCCAGCCAGCCCAAGCAAGCCCTGGCTTGGGCTGGCAGGCCACGGCACCAAATCCGAAGGGTGCTAGCAGCACATACAGTAATTAAACCCGCCCCTCAGTTCCCACCAACTCGGGAAGCTCCACTAGCATCAGTTCCATCCCTGCTCCCAGGGCCGACACCATAGGCAGGATTACGTCAGGCTCCCCTGCCCGCCCAGCTCTCCTCCGTCGCTTCCATCCCATCCCATCCTAGCCTGCCCAGGTCGCCTGGTCGCTCCCACGGCTGCCACGGCGGCTGCTTCCTTCTGCGCGTGCGGGTATGGGGACTACGTGACCAGTCAAAAAAGAATCTTGGGACTTGACGATCTCGCCGAGGCAGCCCGACAGCCGACTCGTCTTGTCTCGACTTGATTCTGGCCTCGGCTCTGACCACACGCAGCACCCAGCACGCAGCACCCAGCTGTGACTGGCAGGCTCAGCCTTGACGAACAAGAGCTGCAGGCCAGGCAGGCCAGGCTGGCCTGGCACGGCACGCAGCCCCTCGAATGATTCACCCACGCAGCCACGGCAGGCCAAGCCGCCCTCCACCCCACCGCGCAGCACAGCTAGGCACAGCTAGGCACAACACCATACATGTACACAGTACCTCGGCCCGGGTATAGTGCCAGTACCTCTAGTACGGACTACCCCCAGTACCGAGTACCTCCGGTCAAATCCATGTCCATGCCAGCCAGCGCCAGCCAGCCAGGTCTTGCCTGCCCGCCGTGTCCGCCGTGCCCGCCCAAAATCACAATCATCACCAACGACAACATCAAAATCACCAACTGGCTCAATCATGCGATCCACGCTGCCCCTCTCCGTCGGCTCATGTCCTTCGTTTGGCAGGCCAGGGGGGAGGGAGGGAACGCTTCCTGTGCAAGGCACTGTGTGCTGTGTACTGGGACTAGCTCTGCATAGCCAGCCCCCCACCAGCCGCCTAGAACCAACTGACACTCCATCCCCCCACATTCACGGATGCGGCCCTCCTCGGTGGTCGCCTTCTTTCGCACGCAAAAACCCGTTTGTGAATGTGGGCCGGCACATTTGGGTTTTGATCTCGATCTCCCGACCTCTGCGATTCAGACGGGAGACATTTGATCAGTCATAACGCCGGCACAATTCAAATGGAAGTTGCCGTGCACCCTGAGCTTACTACATAGTACATTCCGTCACCAGTGGATAAAAAAAAGGAACAACAGGGAGGCAGAGAAGGTAGAGACAGTCAGACAGACACTCATTGCGGCTGCGAGATTGCAGCTGCCAGGTCGCCCATGGTCCGTCATGCCGCCAAGATAGGCGGGCGGAATGAGCCTCTGAACGAACCAGACCAGAAATCCAACTTGCCAGCCAAGTTCCACCAGACGACACATGAACTCCAGCGCCATGTCGGGAGCTGCTCCTTAGCCACAGCCGCACAGTATATAAAATGGCACGGTGATCATTGAAGTTCCGGGCCTGTGGACCGCACCAGCCTGACCAGGCGCACCTCTCCCGCTGTTGCGATCTCTTACCTAGCGCTGCAGTGGCGGGATGGCGGGATGGCGCGATACTACACACTGTAGCAGTGGGCCTCATGCCCCTACGGCCCTCATCCCGACTGGCCATCCGCCCGGTCACTGCATGTTCTGGGCCATTCTCGACAGATAGAGAAGCAAGCGAGCCAGCGTGATCCCGACAGTCACGTCTGCCTCTTGCACCGGCGCTCATTGGAAGATTCGGACGAACGACCGGGGCTAGTCGGGGAGCAGAAGGTGTGCTGTCCCGGGAGACGCACTGCTGCCGATCCGGCAGATCATGACCATTGCTTTCATGCCGTGATGCACATAAGACGGCTGGCATTTCCCACACAGGGATGGCGCAGAGGAACCCACAGGACTGATGGATTTGCAGCACCAAAAGTGCTCGACATCGGCCGCTCCCTTGAGATCCGTACGTCGGCTGCTTTTACGGTATCGCATCGCCCTCCACCGGCGGCCATGGGCCTAATCTGCGCTGCCAGTGCCCTGGCAGTGCCCTGGCATAGGCAAAGAGAGGTCGTCCTGCAGGTTGCGGGCACGCCTGGCACGGTGACCATTTTCACTGCATAAGGGCGGTTCTACTGGCGCAGCAGTGCATTTGGGGTAGCCCCCCAACCCCCCTGTCGACACCACGGTACTATGTAGCATCGGCCCTTTCATTTTCTTTTCCCCTTCGCCTCGCAGTCTTCGCGGGCGGCGGAATGTGGTGGTCGAGTGTTCGGCCCAGGATCCTGAGGGACCTCGGCGCAGGCGCTGAAAGAGTTCCGTATCTCGAACCGAGACTCAAGTCTCATACGTGTTTCTGCTACCCGATACACCGTATTTATCCCCTCGTATCGACTCAGTAGCTGCCCCAGGTCTCATCGAGGATTCGACCAAAATTGACTGTCAAGTGGAGGCAGTTCCCAACTCACATCCCGTACGGCGACATCGTCCGCATCCGGCGGCTGTTTCGGTTGCCTGATTCAATCAAAATCGGTCCACCTGACGACTACTGATCAATGGCGAGATTTTACTATGTAACGCATGTTCAATTGACTGGACTGGCTGCGCTGCTTGGCCATTGGACGTTGGAGGCGGACGCGACTGGGGCGAAACAATCGCTATGTTGCAGGCTACGAAGGGTCTTTGTCTCCTGTTTGCTCGGACCAGGGAAAGAAAGCGAGAGAGAAGACATACCTTGGATGTCATAACTAACCTCACAACGGTGTAGATCTCATAATCCGGGAGCTACCGATCGCAGCTTTGTCTGTCGAATTTCTGACTGGCTTCCCCAGGCCTCGCCTCCTTCACGCTGGCGTTTCAGCCCTCCCAAGATTACTTCAACGTAGGGCTTCACCGGTCTCGACAGCTCTTGTTGCTGGGTGTCCTATCTGCAAGGGCAGACTGAAAAGGGTGTGCGTGCCTCACTCATCATGTGGCCACCACTACCTGTTGATACGTGCACCATCCCCTCGGGTCTGATGCGAACCCTGGTTCCCCGTGGTGGGCTGCCGGACTCGAGAAGTGATGAATCTGTGGCTTTCAAATCTGGATTCTCCCGGCCCATCACTTCCCTACAACCGGGCCGACTTGTCACCACTTAATCCATGATAAGATGGTGATAGTAGCTTACTGCTCAGCCTTTGCTGGTTGGTAAGCATGAACATACAAGCCAGTCATGTTTATCGACGTGCTTGGAGTACGTTGCTTCGGATCCGCGAATATGGGTCTTCTGTGATGCGACTCCGCAACAGGAATCATCTATCGACGGTATTGGGGGCTCATGGCCCAAAGTTGACGATTGCAACCACCTCACTTGCCCCAAGGGCCAGTGCTCGATCGGTACCGTACAAGTGTTGTATTACGGTCTCACAGGGCCGAAGAAGATCCGCGAATACCCGTTGAGTCTGGAGATGTACTCGGTGACTCGTAAGTCTCTCATTTTGCGCCTCAAAAGGAAGGTGATGAACTCTCACGAGGCTGCCCCAGTCCCAATCTGGCCCAGGGGTTGAGAGGAGGCTCCAGCAGTGACGATCAACCACTGCTTCCGGAAATTGGCCAAGTCGAGCAATGGCGTGATATACTAATGTACTTCGCGTGGCTTGGTCCCCATCCTGTTGTAACTCTAGTCCGCCCGCCAGCTGCCCGCTCGGTAGAGGTCCCGCCACGCGAGAGACGATACAGCCAAGAAGCGACAGGGCTCAACGCAGCTCGACGGCCCACAGGCTAGCGAATGTTATATTCTGCAGGCTTGCATTCCACAGTACACGTTTATTGGTATCTCCAGGCATGCCCGTCATGCTGCTCGCTCGAGTTGGTGATTGTCAGTGTGAGGACTAATAGGCAGAACAAGGTCATGGAGAGCCATCCTTGCCCGGCTGCCTGGTTGGGGCTCAAGGGTACGCAGTCGCAGCGCAGCTGGCCCCACATTTCCTGTCAAGAGCGGGAAGCATGGACAGAGTCAAGGAACAGGGATTCACATAAGCTCACCGACGTTCGAGGCTAATCCCCTCGTCCCGACAACATGTCTCGACGACACCATCAATATGCCGTCGACAGGACCCCAGGGCCCTCCCGAACATCATCAGCCCTCAGCTAGTTCACTTGTTCACCGCAAGTGAAACCTGATCCGCAAAGCCCTGCCTGACTCAAGGCGGAGATGGGTTGGGCCTCCAGCGTGGTCTGTGTGCACAATATTACACTGCGTTGCAAGCACGGAGGCGATAGCGGTCCACCCACCACCCAACACGCACTACCGGGATTGCTGTGGTGACATGGTTCTGTCACGAACGCAGCCTGCGATGCAACTCCCGCCCACCTACTGTTACCTATCACGATGAACGGCCCAAAGGCCGATGGGTCAAATGCAGGTGCCCCCAGCAATGCTGTTTCTCCCAAGATTATAATCCACTCGAGGGACCAGGCCGGAGTGCCGCGACCCAGCTCTGGATACCACGATGATGCGACCACATGCGCAGCACCTGATTCGACGGAAATGCAGCACATCCACGCCAAGGTACCTCTAAGGCACAGTGTCTTGCTGGGCTAATTCACATTTGGTGAGACGCGTGCGCCGATAATTCTCCGTGTACACTTGGAGACCCCGACCAGGAACACACATAGAAGTGTTGATTGCTGGATAACCTGACAGCAGTGACCACCCCGAATCACCCGAATGGCACCTAATAATAAGCCTCTTCATATTTTGGTGCTTGAAACCATGGGTCGCGGCCCCAGGCCCGGCGGCCACTAATGATTTTGATTGCACCTGGATCAAGCCCTCTGGTAGCGAGACAACGGGGCCGAGAATTCCTCAGAAAGTGGGAGAAAGGCCCCGGCTTTCGAGAAACGGCCAGCGCCCAAGGGGACGTCCAGACCTAGCCAGAAGCAGGATTAATCCGGCGGGCTCAAATGGGGTCCAACTTTCAATGCCCCAGCCCTTTCCCGGGAATAATACGACAAAGCCGTGGGTTGTCTGCCTGCCGGGCACAGCTGGAAGCATGAGAATGTGGACTGTTGCGAGGAGGGCCATGTCAGGATCTAGTGCCAAGACAAGGATGGTCTCTGCCAGACCTCTTTGGCCCAATACGGGAAGACTTGTCGGCGGTGAAGCCCCTATTCCAGCATTCATCTGCCAACGGCTCAGGGGATCCCAGTTGACCATGGTCCCCTCCAGGATCCAAGGAGCTGGCGACGATTCGTCCGACCGCAGTCAACGCCCAGACAGTACCAAGTTTCCCAGCATTACATGCCGACAAGCCGGCTTGTGTATACTGTTACCCACCTGCTCGGACGTGGACTGGAGACCTGGTCCAACCACCACATCCATCTATGAGCCCAGCGTTAGTATTCGAGTGCCGCATAACCTCTCGCACATATGCGTACTACCCGCAAACTACCCGCATCACTCATCCGGGATCCTGCTGCGTTCAGCGCCTTCTCCCTCGCAGGGGATGCAACCAATGCGCCAGGTAGAGAGGGTCAGAACCGTGTTGCCTACAATGCCACGCCAAGACCGCAGCCATAAGCCCGTTTCGAACTCTTGTGCAGCCAACCCCCCGCCCCTCCAGCCATGTATGATTGCAGTATCGATGGCATGCACAGTCCGGAGATCGGCGCGAGAAACACATGCTGTGGTACGCGACTAAGTGAATCTAGCCGTCTTCGCTGGCAATGTCGATGGTCAGCAGGAGCATCAATGGTTCCCGCCGGGTTCGCGTTCTCGGGTCTGTCAGCACATGCCTGGTCCCACCATCGAGGCTGCCGGGTCAGCCTGGGTGTACAGTTGTAACTTGTCAGGCGAGAGAGTAACCCCCCACCTCACCTACCTGTAGATTGCTACAGGCAGGCGATTAGATGGTGAGTGACTGCCGCTTACGTTACCAGAGAACCGCCCGCATTCATGTTGGATGCACTCCCCACGGTTTCCTGCCCTCCACATCCGCGTTCAATGCCGCCCACCAGCTCAGGCCTCGGGCCTATCTAGACATTGGACTGCGAGGATCCTCCCTGGGCCCTCGCCGCACAGGTCTGAGTGCCCAAGTCTGCGTGGGCGGGGCGGAAACTCCCTGTCGCATAGAACCCTATCACATGCCTTTGGCGTCCACAAGACGCCCAAGTCACAACGGTAATCTGTACAGTACACACCAGCAACACGAAGTGACATGCGCACCTTTTGACCCCAGAGGTACATATGGCCAAGAAGGGGTGGCATGCTCGCGGTGGCACGCGTGCAGATCCGCCTCCCGCAGAAGCGTTGAATATCTCGTGGGATTCTTCTTTCGAACTCTTCGTTTAAAGTTGCCCGCTGGTGGTGGGCCGCCGTTGATCCTTCTGGCCTTTATTGTGGGCGCTTCAGCTCCCCGCGGCAATGCTGATGAGGGCATTGGTTCAGTTGCCCGTCCGGAATCGATGGGTTTCATACGGGCTCGGTGTTCCCCTCTGTTCTCGGTCCCCTGCCCGCCGTTCTCCGAGTCTCCTTGCCTACGACAACTCTCGCCGCGATTTGTGGCCTCAGATGGCGACTCACAGTCCGCGAGTCGGGGTGTGGGTAACAGTTCTGGCCACAGTGCCGCCCTCGTCACATCTGTGTGCGACGCAGCACAGGATAAACTCGGAGAAAGACGTACCTCTACGAGACGGCAGTTATGCTCCATGCCTGTGTAACCTTGTTGCGCACCTGAGATATGTTCACCAGGGCTCGCGATGATTTCCAAGTTGAGAACATATCAGCAATCTACTTGGGTCAAACAAAATGGTGAAAAGACAAGGTCAAGTTGCCTCGGTTTAATCCATCATACGTAGCCATTGGCGTACGGTGACTTCATGATGACCGGGGCGAGACACAGACAATCCCAGACGCAGGCAATTAGACTGCCGATACCAACCCGGTGAACAGCCAGGAGAAAAAAAGATCACCAAGGCGCTCCGCCATCCTATCACACTGACGAGGAGACATCTAAGTACAAAGAGGACAGAGGGCCACTCGCCTCGGCCCCCTCCTGTGCATTTCCGAAATGTGGAGCTCTTGTACGGAGCACTGTCAGGAAGGAACTATACCCGCAGGTCCTTGACCCATGGAAATAAACTACCTCCCGCCCCCTGGGGAGATTTATTTTTCCAACCAGGCCCTCCGGGATCTGGCCTGCGCGGGACCCACCCCCCGGCCTCCCGCACCCGCGAGGTTGGTGGTGTGCTGGAGAACAGGGCCTTTTTTTTTTTTTTTTTTCGTCAGGCGGGAGGGAGGGAGACCCGCGACATCAGTAACCGAGCGACTTCATTGAGAGAGATCTCCGTCATCCCGCCTGCGAAATAAGCCACAGGAGGATCGGGGAGATTGAGATTTGTATCTCGGTGAAGGAGAAAAAGTAAAAAAATGATTTATCCCGGGAGCCGCTGAGGCTTACGGAGCGTACAGATGCCACGGCGAGATCTCGCCCAGACAGCCAGCCCAGACCCTAATAAACACCCTGCCCCCCTCCTCCCGGCGCTTGGGGTGGTGACGGGCGGCATGTAGGGAATAGAGAGCAAAAGTCCCAGTCCCCCGTCACCGTCACCCGGAAGCGACCCCACCCGCATGTTCCGGTGGTTGCTTCTTTTGCCTCCCGGATGGGAAAGAGAGAGAGAGAGGGGAGGGCGGCGACGGGGATCACGGGGTAGACTAGATGCGCTGAACCCCGTGTTTCTGATTTCCTTTTTTATCGTGTCCCTTTTCTCCTTGTTTTCCTTTTTCCTTCTTCTTTTCCCCCTCCTTCTCCAGTAGGCAAAAGCCACCGGCTTACGCACGCAGACACGCTCTCGGTGTTGGTGTGGTTACACAGCGTCTCTAGTAGGTCACTGGAGAAGTCTCATCCTTTCTTTTTCTCCTTTCTCTGTTTCCCTCCTTCCCCCTCCTTACCCAGGGGGCGTCCTCGCCTATCATGCCTGGAATCCACACACCGATACACGATTCTGGTTAGGGGGGGGGGCGCCCGCTTGGCCTGCCGCTGTCGAGGCCCACGGTGGTGATGGTGGTGGTGGTAAGAACTATGTACAACCGACAGCAGGCGACGAGACACTCGTCTCACCGTGGCCCCCCGGCGCCACCAATGCAGATTCGAGACCCCCTCCGGAGGACGATTACCATCACCATCAGCATACATCATCTCACCTCCTCCACCTATACACTTACACACCACACCACACCACACACACCACTGGCATGCATGCAACTGCCTGCCGAGATTGTGAATCCTCACCCGAGATCTGGAATGGGGCAGCCTTGCCTGTCGGTCTTGGTGACTTTTACATGGTCAGCATTAGGCTGGCTCTCCTGTGTATCCGTGACTGACTACTCCGTGCATTAGATCTCACCCGCCAGAAGAAAAAAAGGAAACGGGAAATAATAGAATAAAAAAAACTCAAATGCTTCTTTGAATTGCTGCCTGCCGGTTTACCATGCATGCTTCGCTCGCACTTTTGCCCTTCCAAATGCCAAGTAAAAGAGAACACACCACCAACACCACGACTACCACCACAGCCATCCACGCCGGCCTAGAGCCCGAGGCGATGGCACTCTATCTATCTGAACACACACACACACAAAGTATCCGAGCACTTACGCATACTACAAACATGCATATAGACATGACATGAAACACAGCACCACCCGCTCGCTCACCCGCTCACCCACTCACTCACTCCCCGTCCTTGTCCAGCCCAGCCTGCTTGACAAGCGAGTAAAAGATGCCCCTCTGCGCGACGAGCTCCCGGGGCGGGCCGAACTCGGCGACCTCGCCCTTGTCGAGGACGACGACCCTGTCGCTGTCGAGGATGGTGTTGATGCGGTGCGCGACCGTGATGATGGTGCGGTTCGCAAACAGCGGGCTGCGCAGCGTCTGCTGCAGCATCGCGTCCGTCTCGACGTCCACCGCCGCCGTCGCCTCGTCCAGGATCAGGATATTGGACGGCGTGAGCATCGCCCGCGCGAGCGACACCAGCTGCCGCTGGCCCTGCGAGAGGTTCGAGCCTGGGAAGGGGGGGAGGTGGTCAGCCAGCCGTGCGTGCATTGGTCATCACCGTGCCGTCGTAGTAGTTTTCATCGTCACGTGTTCTCGTTTCCCGTGTCTCTCTCTATCTCTCCAAGGGCATGGGCTTTTCTTATGTGTGTGTTGGAATTTCCGCGCGAGTTTTCCCGCTTGGGTTACTCAACCATCGCGTTTGATGATGTAAGACTGCGGAGCGACGGCGGGAATGGGTGGAGGGAGGGGATGAGGCGAAAGGGCGGGCAAGGTCTCGCCGAGCACACATCGTCGGCTAAAGAAAAAAAAATTGGGGCGGTAGTGTTGGTGTTGGTGAGACGTTGCCGGCTGTAATACGAGCCAGATCGAGCATGTCCAACCAGGCGCCCCACGACGTTGGCGTACGACGGATCTTCGTCCAGCCAGGACGTGTGCGACCCAGACATGTGCCACGTGAGGATGCAAAGTATAACAGATAGCGCGGCGGACGATGTGGGCTCGAGTGAGAAAACCGAACGCAACGCGAAGGAGGGGGGCAGGTAAGCCTAGGTGCTTGTGTGGATGGCCACGAGACCAGAGTTTGCTGCATGTAATGGAGATCATGCAGGCACTTCTCTTTTCGGCTCACGAGGACAGCTGTAGCTGAGAGATGACGCCGATTTGCCAGCTAGCCACCGAGCCCAGAGGCTCGTTCCTCGAAGGCGAGGGTCGGGCTGGCCGCCCGCTCTCCACCACCGCCCAGTCCGTAGGTGCTCGTATGCGCCAAACACGGGTGGCGGGCGACCCACGCCGCTGTTACGGGTGATGATGCTGTGCGAGGCAGGATGCACGAGAAAAAAAGGGCCGAAGGAAAGCGAAGGGGGATGTAGCTGTATAGCTCGCACTCACCTGCTTCATGTATCTTGGCTTCGAGGCCACCATCCATCTGGCTAACGTGGGCCTTGAGCCGGGCGTGCTGGCAAGTGAAACGGTCAGTAAACAGGATTGTACAGCCTAGTAGACCGAGTGCGCCACCGCATAAACGTTTTCTGCCATGTGGCAGGGCGATTGGAGAGAGATTGGCTCCTGTGTAACGGCTTACCTCGAGAACGCTCCACAGCTCGGTATCCTGCAGCATCTGAATCAGCTTTCTTGATCTCATGGCCGGAAGAGGGTTGAAAAGTGTCAATCATATTGGGGTGGTTGGTGGTGGTGGTTCCAAATCTGTTCATGGGTGTGGGAGGAGTTGGCCCTTCTGGGCGATGGGGACATCGGAGGACACGAAAGGCGGGATGACTTACATCATGTACGTGACCAGGGTCTAGGTTGTCCCTGACCGTCCCTTCGAAGAGGGCAGCATCTTGTGGTATTATCGCCAAGCGGCGGCGGAGGTCCAGCAGGCCGATGCTAGACGTGTTCAGGTCGTCGATCGATATGTTGCCGTTGGCCGCCTCGATGATGCGGAACAAGGCAAGCGTCAGGCTAGACTTTCCAGCCCCCGTACGACCAACAACACCGATCTTCTCATGTGACTTGATGTCGAGATTGATGTTCTTCAGAACAAGGTCCAGGCCCTCGCGGTACCTTGCACTGTAGTTGTTGAAGGAGATGGTACCGGAGGCCGGCCAGGCAGCCGGTGGTCGCTTGTTCGGGTTGATCTCAGCTGCCTCGCTGGGCAATCTGGCGTACTCCAGCACTCGCTCCACAGACACGATGTTTGTCTCGACCTCGACGGTCTGGCGGACGATCCAGTTGAGTGAGGTCGTGATCTGCAGCGCGTACGACATGGCCAGACCGACCCAGCCGGAGGTCAGCTTGGCACCGGTTGCGACGGCGAGGATGGCGAGCCCCGCTGCTGCGAGGATGACCACGGCGCCGATGAATTCGAGGCGGATGGCCAACCATCTGTTAGCGCTGATGGATGGGAAGAAGGCCTTCAGGTTCGAGTCGACCCGCCACTCGTTCTCACGCTCGAATCGGTTTTGCTGACGATAGGCCCGAATGGTCGAGATGCCCCCCAATGACTCCTGGAAATGAGCATAGATCGGGCTGCGGCTGACGCTATCCAGCCGCTTCAGCTCCCGCGAGGTTCTCAGATAGTACTTCTGAATCCACATATACATGAACCCCATCGGGAGTATCACGGCGACGAACGCAGGCGTTGTGAAAGACACAACAGCCAGCGTGAAACCTGACTTGGCCACATTGACGAAGAGCATGTTGAAGGTCCTTGCCAGCACTTCGTCCACACGGTAGATGTCGGATGAGAATCTGTTCAGAATCCGGCCCGCGGGTGTCGTGTCGAAGAAGGACATGGGGCTTCTGAAGATGGCCTTTGCCATGCGCTCGTGCAATTTCCGTGAGGCCTCGATGGAGCAGAAGATCCACAGGAGCAGAGTCTGGATGACCGTCAAGCTGGCGGAGCCAATCCCAAAGGCAAAGTATATGCCAATGTATTTTCCATAGTCATTGTTTGCGCCAGCACGCGAATTGTTCTCCGACCAATCCTTCAACCAGAAATTGCCTCCAATCGACGCTGTCTGCGCAGCCAGCAACGCGACCAAGTACACAGCAACAGCCAAAGGGTCGTTCATCTTGGCGTATTCGCCGTAGACAGACCATTTCACCTTGCCTTGCTCACTGTGCTCCTTCGCCTGTCGGGTCTTGCTGGGTGCGGCCTCCTCATCGGTCAGCTTGCCCCGAGGACCACGGAAGCTGGCGGTGCTCGCCCTTCTCAGGGTGGCCATGCTGTCGGAGCGTCCAGAGCGTCCATTGGATTTCCCCGGACGTGGACCTGGCCGTATGGCCTGGAGAGAGCCAAGCCCTTCTTGTGCTTCTTCGATCTCGTCCTTCTCGCGGTCGTTCTCGATCGAGGAGATCTCGCTGTCGAACGACTCGTTGCTAGGACTCTCGGCACTGGCGGGTCCCGGCGTTGAGGGGCCCGAGTCTTGGCCAGCGGACTTGTAGATATCGGCGACGAGGCCGCGCATGGCTACCAACTGCTGCAGAGTGCCTTGCTCGGCAACGCGGCCGTCACGTAGCATGACAATGTAGTCGGACTCACTCAACACGGGGATCGCGTTGGTAGCCAAGACCCGTGTCTTGCCCGCCAGCAGACCCTTGGGGCCGAGGACGTTATCGATGATATGACGCCCGACATGGGCATCTACCGCAGACAGGACATCGTCCAAAAGGTAGACGTCGGATCGCGCGTAAACAGCGCGAGCCAGAGCGACACGTGCCTTTTGCCCACCAGACAGAGAAATGCCACGCTCACCGACAACAGTCTCATCCCCATCTGGAAGGACGTTGAAGTCATCAAGCAGTGCGCATGCCTTTATTGTCTTCTCGTAGAAATTCGAGTCGTAGCGGTAGCCAAAGACGATGTTCTCCTTGACCGTGGCATTCATGATCCAAGGTGTCTGAGCCACGTAGGCCACGGCACCGTGGACGGTGACACTGCCCTTGACCTTATACAGATCTCCTATCAGGCTCTGTAGGAACGACGACTTGCCGCTTCCCACCCTGCCCACAACACAGGATAACTCACCCTTGTTGGCGGAGAACGTAATGTCCTTGAGGGCATTCTTATCCGTGTTGTGGCGGTCCCAGGAGAAAGTGCCATCCTTGACCGAGATGGTCTCGTCGCCGTTCTCTTCAACAGCTGGCTTCCATGCGATAGCATCAGGCTGCAGCTCCTCTGCGGTCAGGTAAGAGGTCAATCGACCCACTGCTACGGTAGCTTCAACGATTGAAGATATGACCATGGGGAAGACGGCAAGCGGGAAGGACAGCAGGTTGAAGAGAGCCAGAGCCGGGAAGACGATGTCTGTCGTCAGGGGCTCCTTGTGAGTGAGCACGAACACTGTGAACGTGATGCACGACACGAGGAAAGGCGTGGTGCTCCAAGTGAAGTTGGCAACTGCCTGCGCGGCTCCTATCTTGCGAAGGGTCTTCAGCTCCTGCTCGTTCCGCACATAGTTGAGCTTGTTCATGAACGCGGCTCCCCAGCTGTACAGCTTGATGGACTTCATCATGGCCACTATCTCGGCAATCAGCCGGCTCCTGGTATCCTTGTTCTTCATCTGCTCCTTCTGCAGCGTCTTCATGTAGCGGGCCACGATGCCGTTCAACGGAACCATTGCGAGCATGACACCAACACCAGCCATCATCGACCAGCCTACCAGCTGATACAGCGAGATCATGCAGATGGTGATCTGGAATGGGGCAGACCACACCTGCTGGGCGAACTGTGCCAGGTCCTGCAAACGTTGCGCGTCCACTGCCATGTAGTTCACGATGTCACCCGTCGACTTGGACGCGCGTCCCTCGTTGGAGAGCTTGAGAGCCTTCCGGTAGATCGAGGAGGTCAGACCGGCCTTGATGCGCATGCCCGTGACGAATGTGCCCTGGAAGTATTGGTGAATCATGCTGGTCTGGAAGACGGCGACCGCAAACATGGCCAGTGCGATCGAGGCACCCTTGATCACGGGCTCCGGCTCGTTGCCCTCATACGATGCGACCCAGGTGATTAGGAATCTCAGCAGCTGTGGTTGAACGAACGCGGAGATGTCGTTCATAATCTTGAACACACCGGCGAGCGCATATTGGGCACCATATGCGTGGAACAGCGCAACCCATAGCGATGGCCGCTCGCGGTTCTGCACCTGCTGCTGCCACGCTGACTCGAAGGCTGAGCCCGTCGCCTTGCTCGTGTCGCTCTTCTGCAGCCCCCAAAGGTCGTCCTCCGTCAGGTAGTTGTTGTAGCCAAACTTCATGAGTGGCGTCATCCACGAGAAAGTCAGCCGCGAGAATACTGTCGCGTACTCGGCTGGGCACTCCTCCTCCTCTTCGATGAGCGCCTCGCAGTCATTGAGCTGTTTGGGCGGCCACCACCACTCCACGATGAATGCGACCACTGACACGCCAAAGCCCACGCAGTAGGTCACAAAGTACGCTTTGTTCGAGGCATAGATCTGCTGAGAGACGAGGGATCGCAACTTGACGGCCAGCGCTATGAGTAAGAAGAGCCAGTAGAAGAGGACGACGCCGTTCGCGTTCCGCAGTCTCGCATGTTCGAGCCATTGTATCGAGAATATAACGGCGAGGGATACTATGGTGAGGGCGGTTGTCCATACTCGGAAGTCGCCGAACCATATGCGTGGGTAACTGATGATCTGGATGACGAGCTGGACGACGAAGTCGGCGATTACGAGGGCAAGAAGGCTCTGTCATGCGCAAATGTTGTCAGCACTCTTCCGTTCTTGCAATCCCTCTGATATGCATACCTGCTTGGTCCAAAAATGCCACCCCTTCGCCACCTCTGTCGGCTTCTTCATGCGCAACAGCCACGCTATGGCAAGCAGCCCGAGGACGATACCGAAGACCGCAACAGAGGCGACCCAGACGTCGAGGAAGCATGGTGTGAAGTCGTAGCGGAAGGGGCTCAGGGGGCCCCAGCCCTCTTCGTTACCGCATAGCGGCTGCTTGAAGTCCTCGCCGGCGGTGAGGTAGCCCTGCCCGAGCTCGAGGCGCCACGGCCGGTAGCCAGTGAATGAGCCCGAAGCAAGAAAGGCCTGGCGGGACGCGAAGTCGTCGTCGCTGGCGCCGCCGCCGAGAACGAACTGCATCTCCGCAAGCACGGGTGGGTTCTCGGGTCGTTTGCGCAATGTCACTCGGTGTCTGAGGACATGCTACGTGGGTAACTGCTGTGTGGCCTTCTAGTCGGTGGTGGGGAGGACGCTTGGATTTCTACAGTCGCGTGGTCTTTGTCTAGCCAGACAGACAGACTCGTAGGAAGAGAACAAAAAAAGCTGATCGGTCCCGAGGAATTGGGCTCGCCTCTTTCGGACGGAAGCTGTCGGCCACGGCCTGGTGGAAGCTCGGCGTTGAGAAAGTTGTTAGATCCGAGCCGATGACGTTGACCGTACTCGTCATTCAAAATCGTTGGACTACTTTTCAGAGGGAACTAGCTCCGGCTGGGCCCCTCCACGGCTTTTTATTCCAAAGAACAATTTTCTACTTGTCCAAGGGCTTAGTAGAGAAAAGTCCTCTTGCGGGCGTTGGACCTAAACGCCCGTCCAACAGGCAGTCAATTGAATAATCACTGCCACTGGCCAGGCAGATGCATGCTGCTTTGTAATGCACGCGTCCTTCTTCGCCTTTCTGCCGGCACCAGTCTGAGAGGGTCTCTACAATGGGTCAATTGGCACAGCTCCTCCGGCTATCGGGGGGCGGGACTCCAGGTGTGGATTGCCGCCGTGCCTGATAAGCGGGCCAACCCATGCAACTTAATGCAAGGTCTCGGGAGCCAAGCCATGACGGTGGCTGTCAGGCTGTCTGGCTGTTTGTGCCAGCAACCATCGCGTTCTAGACGATCTATCCACGCACTGTCAGCCTGTATGTCCGCCAAAGATCGTCTTGCATCGCATTGACTTGGGCTCACCACTCCACAACGCTTTGGCTACTCTGGAATGCGGGCTAGACAGGATTTAGGCTATCAGGGCAGTGCACCCTGAGTGGGCCGTGGAGTCGGTCAGCACAGCCGACCAATCCAGCCTTACAGCACTGCCAGTGGATTCTCTCCTAGAGAGAAATGGGACCCTGTCAGCAGCAACATTGACCTTCAGCATTGAGTTTGAACAGATGATAAGGCCAATAATGTGATGCCAAGGTATCTATCTCCATCTTCATTGCGTTGTTCATCAAACAGGACTAACTAACGCTCACAAAACATGCAATGTGCTGTGCATTCAGGTATTACTGCCAGCAAACGGCAGTCGCCCAAAGAAATGCCTGGGGAATCAGTCCCATGCGGTCCCAACGTGCCTTCGTCGTATAACTATACAATGGACTGTGTAGTGGGCGCGACTCTTTTATTTGTTGCATCTTGCGAGGCTCGGATACCGAACCGACAGCCCCGTCTCCCGACCTGTTTCACACTGAACTTGGTTCATCGTAGATCTGTGCTGGGGAAGTAGCGTGGACCTGCGAAGCCCTTCGCAAAGACACCTTGCACGTCGATGTTAGACCTATTGATTCAATACTTGTTAGTGTCTATTCCACGTAGAAGATCCAACAAGCTTGAACGCATCAGGCTGTGCGTGGAGGAGGCGCGGTGATCCTCGACGCCTCGAAACAGATGCAAGAAGAAGACCGGGGCACGTGGGTACATACGTTGGATGGTACATCTTGAGAAGAATATACCTCCCCGAGATTGGAGGGTCAAACTTTATAGTGCACCTGTTTTTGTCCTTCTCGATGTAGAACTTGGCGTGTGGCGCAAGCAGCTCGCCCCCGACCGCCCTCACGGCCTCTTGGGTGGCAAGCTGGGATGCCTCAGCTGCCTCCGCCAGCGTCATGTCGTGAGCATGTCGGCTCGCAGGCGCCGGCGGGGGTGGAGGCGTGCCGTCGTCGTCGTTGAACCCCAAGTCGTCGTTCCACGAAGCAAACCCGTTTTCGCCGTCCTCACTGTCGTCGCTCTCAAATGGCAGTGGCCCAATCCTATTGGGCGGAGGCGGTTGCCGTCTGAGCAGGCGCGGCACCGGCGAATCCTCGCTATCACTGCAGTCTGTGGCCACTGTTACAGGGAAGGGCAGGGGTTCGACCGGGAACACTGCGGCTTTGTGCTCCAGGGCCTCTTCCAGGCGGGTGTTGAGATTAATGCGTCTCTGGCGCGAACGGCTCGTAGCCGATGCCGCTCCATCGTAGTTATGCCGTGCAGATGGTGCCGGGACCCGTTCTGCGGGCGTGTTCGTGTCGTTGCGCGGCACATACTGGACCTGATACTGCGCTGTCCTGTTGAGGACCTCGTCGCATGCCATAGAAACAAATACCATGCCCTCCCGAATCCTGGTCCAGATTAGTCTCCCACAGCTGCATGCAATAGGGTCCAGAGACCTACGGTGACGAATAGTTGGCACTTGGTGCCCTAATCACCAATTCTGTGAGTGTGAAGACGGTGGCACCCTGGTGCTTCAGAACGAGGTTGCAACGGTTTCGCTTCGTACAGTAGACAGATGCATCCCTCTTCAGGATGCTCTCCGGGGGGTTCACGTTGCTGTCGGCATACATTCCACCGTCACAGCTCTCAATCTCCATTTTCAGCTGGCCTGGCTCGATCTGGCCAAATCTGCCATAGCGGAACCCTTGAAAACTGGACCCCGTCCTCTCGAAATCCAGCTTCCGCCGTTTCACCCGACGGTTGTCCTCGGCATGCTCTGGATAGGGAGTATGTGAGTGGGATGTTGGGCTGAGAGGAGATGACATCATGGCGGTGTTTGTGTATTCGAGGAGCGCACGCAGCTGTGAGTTCGCATCGTCCAGGTCGTACTCCAAGTCTTCGAAGCTGCTCGGGTTCGACGTTCGGTTCTCCGAAGTTCGGTATCGATCAAGCCACCTCTCGGCCAGCCGTTGGCGAGGCGGGCGGCCACTCGAGCCGGGGGGCGTGGAAGTTGCAGAGCCTCGCCGAGTGAGAGAGCGTAGAGGTGGGAGGGCTGTGGCAGTCGCGAGGCTCGCGAAGCTGGGCAGGGCTTCCGAGTGGCGGGGTGCAGGCTCTCGTGAGAATCTGCGTTGGAGATCACGTTGATTGCTAGACATGTTTGCAGGAGGAGCAGTCTCCCCGTCGCTGCTAGCCAGGCCTGGACGGGGCCTTGGAATCGCCGTGGCTCCTACTGCGGCGGCCTCGGAAGCGTCTCGCTCGCCGCCAGTGCGTGGCTCTCCGTCAAGATCTCTTCCAATCTCAACCCTCTGCAGTAGACGGCTCCTGTGCAGACGCAGTCGCTCGTGCCGCACTCGATTGATGATTCGTTCGAGTTCGTCTTCGCCTCGTACTTCGGCCTGGGAAAAGTCTAGTAGACGGCGGTTGTCTTGGTACTGAAGTGGCGGTGCCAAGTTAGATAGACCGTGATTGAAGGTGTTATGGGTGGAGTTGGAACCCAGCAGATAGACGCAGGGTATCTCTCACTCACGGGCATTTCCCAGACAAAGATGGCAGTGCAGGCGATACGGCCGCCAATAAAGCGCCGCACCTGCTCCAATCACTCGGTTCGGTGACGTGGGGGGTTCGGCTGCAGGCCGTTTGCTGCACAACGTTGTTGAGTCGTGAGTCAAGGCCGTCCTTCAAGTCCTTCAGGATGCAAAGGGTGATGTGGACTGGGTTCTCAAAAGATGGGACGGCGAGTTTTGGTTTCGTCGGGGTTGCACGGAAGTGTGGCCTTTGGTCGTTGGCTGTTTAGTTGGGAGGGTGAAGTGCGACGTCAAATGCCAACAAGGACTGCTAAATCCGGGTATGCTTAGTACTCCGTAAGTTTTGTACTGACAAGGCGGTAGTAGCCCCTCCATGATCTCTAAGCTGGTCGTCATACGTACGGGCCCTGCCTTGGTCATACAATATGCCCACTGAAATGACCTAGGCAGTTCAGACACACTCTACGTGATCAAGGAGTCAGATGCTTAGGGGGGCTTTCTGCTCCATATCATACAGTAGACTGTCAAGCCTGCGCGATGTAGGTGAACGTCGTCCCGCACGGGTTTGCTTGCTGTTGGAGGGTACCTAGGTAATCTGCAGGACGGGCCCAAGGCGTGTATCAGGTATCAGCGAGCGAGGCGAACAAGGCAAGTGCCCCAGGCTTCTGTAGGATCGCAGCCCGAGCCATTAGAGACCCCTGCTCAGTAGGGCGAGATGCGCGGGCACGGGTCAGCAAACCCACCCAGGAGCCCCACTCCATCGCCTGTCTCCCTACGTAAGTACCTGGCTGGGGTACCCAGGTACCTACCGCAGCACCAGAGTACCTGCGCGCGACGGGGTACGCCATACAATTGAAGAAGCTGCCTACCTATGTAACTAGGTGCCCAGTCGGTTGGTGAGTGGTTGGAAGCTTGCAACACAACGGCCCTGAGCTTCAGACAGCGGCTTAGACATTTCGCGATCTGCCACCTTTCAACCTGGACAGCTCCCACCACAAGTCGGCCGCCCTCACGCTCACCGGGGCAGGACCTACTGCATTCAAGGCGTGCCATCGAGCTCCAGAGTCAAGCTCGGCAGCGACGGGCTCACAGAAAAGAGCAAGTGCGGCGATACGTACCGACAGATTGAACTCGGGATTGTCAACATACCAAACTTCAGCTACACGACTGCGAAAGGGCCACGACTAAGAGCAGGGCGAACGACCAGGAGCCGAATCCTTTCGTCCCACCTGGGCATTATTTCTCTTTCTCGATCATTGGGATTGTTTCGAGGCTTTGATTGAATACGCATGCCCCTTTCAAGCTTCCACGCGTGATCGAGGTCGCAGCACCACTCTTCCCACCTCAGGATGGACCAACCGGCGCAAACGGCCCATGGCCAGGAGGATACCACCTCCACGCAGACAAATCCCCAGCCAGAGGGCCCCAACGCGGCCCACGCTCAACCAGTACCCGATGCCAATGCCAATCCCATGCAGCACGCCGACTTCTCGAATCTCCCAATGCAGCCTGGCATGCCCGCGGACCTGAACATGCTGTCCATGTTGCCACAGGATGGAAGCTTGATGGGAGCAGATGCACTTATGAACATGCCCCACATGCCGATGATGATGCCTATGATGATGCCCGACGGCTCAATGGATGCCAACGGCATGTTAAGCATGCCTCAGAACGGAATCAGCAACGGTAAGCTCGCCACCCCATCACCCAAGCGTGACAGCGCTCACATACGCCTTTGCAGATGAGATCGCGCTGTATGACAGGCAAATACGTCTTTGGGGAATGGCGGCGCAGCAGAAGATCCGCAATGCGAACGTGCTGCTCATCACGATGAAGGGCCTGGCGAATGAGATCGCCAAGAACCTGGTGCTTGCGGGCATAGGGTCCCTGACCATTATCGACCATGAGAATGTCACCGAGGCCGATCTGGGGGCGCAATTCTTCCTCTCTGAGAAGAAGGGCCACCTGGGAAAGAACAGGGCCGAGGCAGCACTCCCTCAAGTTCAGGAACTGAACCCACGTGTCACCGTCATCGCCGACACGGACGATGTGCGATTCAAGGGCGCCAGCTACTTCGCCCTGTTCGACATGGTCATTGCGACCGACCTGGACCCTGATGCCCTGAATATCATCAACACAGCGACGCGCCTGAATATGCGGCCCTTCTACGCAGCTGGTACGCATGGCCTTTACGGCTTCATCTTTGCTGACCTGATCGAGCACACATTTTCGATTGAGCGGGAGAAACCCAACGTGCCCACCGAGTTGAGGGCCGAGACCCGAACTCGAAATATCTTTGCCGTCGACACGAAAAAGGAGAATGGGAAGGTGATGGAGATCGTATCGAAGAAGGAGCTCTACAGCACTTGGTTGCTCTCCAGCGACGGCGCGTTCCTACCTGAAGAGTATACAAAGAGCAAGCGACGCCTCAAAGCGGTCAGCCCTGCCTTGTCGTGCCTTCGGGCGCTGTGGGAGTTCCAGACATCTCACAACGGTCGCAACCCTGGAGCCAACCAGGCCGACCTCGCTGCTTTCACAAAATCGGCCACTCAAAAGCACAAAGACCTACAGTTACCCGGAGAGACTCTGACTGCCGAGTTTCTGCGAAGTTTCCTGCAGAATATCGGGTGCGAGGTCGCACCGGTTACTGCCATTCTTGGTGGCCAATTGGCACAAGACGTGATCAATGTACTGGGCCAGACCCAACAGCCCATCCAAAACACGGTCATCTTCGACGGCAACACCATGGAAGCCAACCTCTACCCTCTCCATCCCGAAGGTGCCCTGGGCGCATCGCTTCTTTCTATGGGCATGGGCAACATAGCAGGAATCCCCGGGATGGGCAATGGAGACATGAACGGGTTGATGGGGGATCCTTCGATGATGTCCATGGGCCTGCCTATGATGGATCACAACTTCAACAGCGCAGCCATGGGTGGGGCTGGCGTGCACCCGCAATTCAACAACTCGGGAGCTGGCGCGGGTGAGACGCAGACGAACTTCGTTGGTGCTGGCGCAGGCCCAAGCACAGGCCCACCTGCGGGAACTGGCACTGGTGAATCACATACGAGCGGCTGATCGTTCTCGCGAGTGATCGCATGTGAGCGATAGAGCTGATGAGGCATGCGCGAGCGAGGCGGTGGTTGGCGAATGCACGAGATGAAGTTGTCTACTAAATGCACTGGAATCATCTTGAGAATCTTGAGAATCTTGAGATGGAGGCATCCTGGGGCATGCATACAAATGGCAAATGGGGGAAAATGTACAGTAAAGTAATAATGCGTCGTGATACCTTTGGGGGGGGGGGCACGTCGGGAATGGCGTTGGATAGATGATGAGGAAACGCACCGGAATGAAACGAAGCATTGGCAACTCGAAGCTGAATGGCTGCATGGCCAGCTGAGCCCCACCGCCCATTCGATGATGCTGTATGACTACAACGCGGGCCTTGCCGTTTTGGGGTCTTGTTCCTCGGAGGGGTGGCAAGGCGGCCAGGCGGCCAGAGCAGCAGCAGCGCCTCTCTTGCTTGACAAGCAGACGAGCTTGACTCACCGGCCATCATATCGATCCATAGTTCGTGGGCCTACCGTCCAGCTGTGCCTGTATTGACCAGGGCTGTATTCCACATGGCATGGTTCAAGCGTTGATAGTGTAGTTGTAGTCATTTATAAGCAAGGCTGTGTGGGAAAAATTGGGGTGCCGCAGTCGAGCTCACCTTGTTGCATCGAATTTCGTCAACCCGAGCCACTGCTTGCTTCCCTGTCGACGATTGCAGATAAAGGTCGACCCTTCCCGGCCGCCCCAAAAATTCTCTATCAGCAACGCCGCAAAGCAACTCTGCAAAGCACTAACCGCCTCTACTTTTCGCCTCTACACATCCCCTACCGCTCCAGGAACTCCTAAAAACAGTAATTAAAAGGGACCATACGAGCAACCACAATCATGGCGGTGCGAGCACAATTTGAGAACTCGAACGAGTAAGCATCTACCCCGCGGCCCCGCGATGCTCGCACGCAATGCACACGCGCTGACCTGGGCACCATGTAAACTGCAGGGTCGGGGTCTTCTCTACCCTCACAAACTCCTACGCACTCACGGCCATCGGCGCGAGCGAGAACTTCTACAGTATCTTCGAGGCCGAGTTGCAAGATGTCATTCCCATCGTCAGAACCACCATCGCCGGCACCCGCATCGTCGGCAGGTTAACAACAGGGTACGTCTTGACACAACGAGTGGTGTGGTCTGGTGCAATCCGGTCCCGGACTTTTGTCCATCTCCGCCGCGAGGAATCTAGACCGGCCAAGACGAGCTGCCCGCTGACTTTGAATATTCCAATAGCAACCGGAAAGGCCTCCTCGTCCCCACCAGCACAACCGACCAAGAACTCCAGCACATCCGAAATGCCCTCCCAGACGAGGTAAAAATCCAGCGGATAGAGGAGCGTCTGTCGGCGCTAGGCAACGTGATTGTCGCAAACGACCACATCGCCCTGGTCCACCCGGACCTGGAGCGTGAGACGGAGGAGATCATCGCAGACGTGCTGGGCGTGGAGGTATTCAGGCAAACGGTGGCAGACAATGTCCTGGTGGGATCCTATATGGCGCTCTCAAATCAGGGCGGCCTGGTGCACCCCAAGACGTCGATAAGCGACCAAGACGAGCTGTCCAGCCTGCTGCAGGTGCCGCTGGTGGCCGGCTCGGTCAACAGAGGTAGCTCTGTGGTGGGCGGTGGCATGGTGGTGAACGACTGGATGGCTGTCACAGGGCTAGACACCACCGCGACGGAGCTCAGTGTCATCGAGAGCGTGTTCAGGCTCGGCGAGGGCGCCGCGCCTGGCAATATCAACACCAACATGAAGGAGACCATGGTGGAGTCGTTCTACTAGAGGCCTAAGCCGGGGGTTGCTTTCCTGGACAAGAGCCTTGGAGTAATTCTTTTGAGGCGGTATAGTCGAGCCTAGTCAGAAAGACCACGGCTCATACCATAGCGATCAAGCTACATTGTCCAAGATGTTGACGGTTACCACCGCTGCTCCGAGATCCCGTGATATGGCAGACATGAATCGTGTCAAATGTTAGGATGGGGGAACGAGAGCATTCCATCTGCGTCGTAATGAGGCTCATCAAGCTCAGGATGATCAATCATTCGGGTCTCAAAACGGTTTGAGCCGGCCTGCCAACGGATGCGCCTCTAAAAGGCTAATTGTGGACCAATGCGGTCTTGGATGCTTGGGAAATGTGAAGGGTGGAATGTGCATAGCGCAGCCGTTGCCATTTGGATGCGAGGCTGGCTGGCAACAAGACATGACGGGATCAGGCTGTTGCTGCACCCAGCGTCATACATACACCTGGGCAGTAGTAGTACAACGGTACAAAGTTGTGGTGGCCGGTGGACCCCTAAAATTCCACGGCAACAGCCCAGCCACCACAACACCCTCACCAGCCGGTGGGAGGACTGCCCGGTGACGACGCCGTTGCATGACCTTGGCAGGACACCGAGTGCGAAAAAAGTATATTTTCCTCTGAAGTCTCCGACCCGTCCGCTGGTTCGGCAGCTGTGGGATATAACTTTGGACTCCTCTCCCCATACCTACTGACCGGAGAAAAAGAGGAGCAGTCTCTTTCCAGCTCTCTTTGCGCTCACTCAGTCGCCCACCACGCTGCACTATTCCAGCTCGGCTGTTCGTTTTTGGACCTGGGCCCTTCCAAGGTTGCAGCGAACCCCACTGTTGCATCGCCTCGATCGCCGCAAAACGCGCATCACTGTGAATTGCAATACAGTTGACAGTCTGGCAGTGTACACTACACTACGGTAATCATCAGAAACGAGAAACACCGCCTACCAGGTCAGGCAGATCCAAGAGCTCAATACGTCACCGAGCATCGTCACCGAGCACAGGCTCAGACAAACAAAAAAGAAAGCCGGAACTGCCGCCAAAGACTGGGGTTGCGGACTATCCACCCAGCCCGCCCATCCTGCCATCCACGCCGAGGTTCTGCGTTCTGTGCGGCAGCAGGTCAGCAGAGAAGAGGCAGCGAGGGAGCGGGAGACACAGCCAAGGGCCACAACCAAGCAAGGGACAGGGAAGAGAAAACAGGGATTGGGCTGCTAAGAGCTGCAGAGCCGGGCAGGCCCAGGCACGCAGGCACGTCAATCCTAATCGGGGTCCTGGAGGGTTTATGCAACTGCTCCGCCTGTGCAGGGCAGCACCCAGATCTCGCTGCACAATACGCTGCCATCCCGCCCGAGTCCCCTGCCGTGGGCCGTGGCCGCCCGCCCGTCGTCACAAGCATCGCATCGTCGAGGCCGGATTGTCCTTGGCTGCTGGATGTTTTAGCCAGGCACACAGGCGCACAACACACGCCCCAGGCACCGCCTGCACTAATAAAACCCCTCGTTGTTCTGTGTCAAAGACGGTGTGCCGCCGCCCAATTTTCCCTTACACAATACAATCACGCCTGGCCCCGCGCCGACAGGGGACACCAGATAAACCGGACGGGTTCTCCTTTAACGGACCCACCTCGTCCCCACGAAACCTATAGCCACCATGCTAACGTCCGCCCTCGATCCCTCTCTCCCAGACCAAACAGGACGGGGCCCTCCCTCACCGCGTTCGCCCTCGCCAACAGAGTTCCGATGCCCCCCTGCTTCTGCCGCTCTACTTGATCTTGATCACCGTCCAGTCGCGGCCAGTTCCAGCTCTCTCGACACGCATCCTCACGCACAAGCCCCCCTTGACCACGTTTCGTTGCCTCGCCCCTTTCAGGAACAAGAATACCACAGCGCCTACTGTGACGCCCACGCGACCGACCGACAAGTGGAACCCGCTCCTCTCACACCTGCTCCAGCAACCCGCACGGGGCACGGTCGAGGCTCATCGCTCACCAGCTTTCTTCCTGCTAGCATCAGGGCGAGGCTGCAGTCACCACCGAAGCCATCCGAGAACCACCCGCCTGTAGACGATCAAGACATGGGTTTCACCGGCGAAGGAAGGAAGACCTTCAGGCAGTCTGCCCCCCTAGGCTATCCCACACCTCAGGCAGCCCACAAAGACCCCGATGATTACCCATCCCCAGAGACTACTCCCAAGAGGCTCGTGAGGAGCCAGACCGCTGGTCCCACGGACAACGCTCCCAAGAACGCCATGGCGGCTGCTCCAGCCCCAGCACCGGCTCCCGCCAAGATGTCTCTGCTCTCCATGTTCTCGTCGAGGAATGCGCCTGTCGTGGTCACGCAGGCCGAGCACGAAGAGCTGCTGAATATGAAGGTGGACGAGGCGCTCTTCCCGGCCGGCTCCCCGACCAGCAAGGACACGTTCTCGCCCGCGGCGTACAAGAACCTGCAACAGCAGGCTTCGGGCCTTTTGACCAAGATGCAGAATGCTTACCGTCAAAAGGCGCAGGCGCTCTCTGAGCTCGAGAGGGAGAGGGAGGCCGACAGGGACGAGCTGGAGGAGGCCGAGACGCGGGCCACGCACCTCAAGCTGCAGCTCGAGGACATGGCGCACAAGGCGGTGGAGCAGGAGCGCCACATGAAGCAGCTGATGGAGGAGCTCGCCGCGGAGCGCCGCGCCAGGGCCGACGACCAGTCCATGCTCAAGAGGCTCCCGACGGGTCTGCAGTCCGAGGCGGGCAGCACGATATCGGAGGACCTGGGCGTTGACGACGCCGACGACATGCAGAAGCGCAAGTGGCGCAAGAGCAACGGCACCGACGTCAGCTTTGAGACAGATGACGACAGTATCAGTTTTGGGGAGGGCGAGAGCGTCTTCTCGCGCCCGCGCAGCCCCTCGGCCTCCACCTTTACCACCACCCGCGGCGGCGCCGACACGGCCAGTGTGGTCGACATGCCGCTGCCCACGCCCACCTCCACCCGCTTCGGCGGTGGCGGCAACGTGAGGTCGTCGGTGGCGTCGTCCAACCGCAAGAGCACCGCCTCGCAGTTGAGCACGTTCCAGAAGCTGATGAAGGGCATCTCGGGCGATGACGGCTGCAAGAACTGCAAGGGCCAGGACGCGAGCGTCGCCTGGGACACGGTCGGCCAGCTGCGGGACGAGAACAAGCACCTCAAGTCGCGGGTCGGCGAGCTGGAGGACTGCCTCGAGGGTGCGCTGGATGCGGTCAACGGCATCGTCTTATGACCGGGTTGCGCCCCCAGCGACGACGACAACAAGGATTTATAACAGCGACATGAGGGGGAAGGGTGCTTCTGGGTGGTGTTCCTACTCGGGACCCTTTCCTCCCTCATCCTCTTGTTTTTGATGCAGCGAGAATCCACAGACCGAACCCCACGGAGTTGAAAGAGCGAGCATTCCCGGCACTTGGCTAAATTGCTTTATTTGTGGCTCAACACCAAACCAAACCAAACCAAACCCTCTTGCATATGACGGCGCTCACGGGCTCATATCTTTTCAAGTATTATTTAACTTCATGTATTTCGATTCTAGGGGAGGTTTCCGATATGCCCTCACATGTTTATTGTGCCTACAAATTAGTTGTATGGAAGAAGGGAGATTCCCAATACCTTGGACATATTTTTTTCTGGCCTGGCGCACCGCCCTCTCTCTCTCTATGTACCGCCACTCTTGTATGCCTTGGCAAGGCTGCTAAGAGGGACTTTCGCCCATGTTTTTTCATACCCCCCCACAGTTTGATAGATTTCAGATACTCTCTCATAGCCGGTCGTGGTGTGGACAATCAATAGCGGCTTGATGCTGCTGGAATTCTCAGATGCCTAGAACACAGCCACTTATTCTCGTGGTCTTTGTGCTGGCGCTACTAACCTGAAATACGGCGTGGTCATCCAGCTTTCACCAGATCACGCGCAAAAGTAGACCACGACGTTGTCGCGGACTACCTCGAATGTCTTGTCAGGACTGCCTGGCGGCAAGGTAGGTTGTTGTTATCGAATGACAACATACTGTGAACTCTCGCCCGAAGACGTAGGCACAACGGCCTTGGCTGGTCGTCCTTTCCACGAAACGAGACGAGTACTCCGTTGAAGCCCATTGACGATCTTTGATCCATCGGGCGGGCGTGCTGTGCCTCGGTACACACGCAATGAGGTCCGCCCCATACATGACACCCGCATTGCTCATCCATCGCGCCCTCCTGGGCTCCCGGGACTCCCGCAACATGTCATTGTCACCCCAAGTCCGAAAGGCTCGTTTTCAGTCATCTCGTGCTAAACCATCACATGCACAACACCGAATATCTTGCAGTCTGCGTAGCTTGATGTGTTTTTTTTTCTTTTCTTTTTCTTCTCGCAGACATGACCTTCTTGTCTAATATGTACACCGGGGCGATCTCGATGTTGCGGCCCAGCCAAGTTTGTCTCCCCACCTCATCCAACCCATCAGTGGTGTCCCTCGCCGTGATGCTCGTCGTGATGCTCGTCCTTCATGAAGGCATACTCGTAGCCGCAGTACCCCGCAAATGCCACCGTCGCAATACCCAGGCCAGGGAAGGCGTTCTTGAACCGGTTGAATCTGCTGAAGAGTCCTGTGTATCGCCAGTTCTCACTGTGAGGTTCCCGCCGTCAGCCGTGCCAGTGGGTCAGATGGGGTGTTTCCTTCGACTGACTATCGCTCCCATGGATCGTAGCGGGGCTTCTCAATGGACTCCTTCAGCTTCTTGATGTCGAAGCCGGTGATGTTTCCCGTCCGGCCGTTGACGGCCCGCAGCACCCTGGGGTACGTTCAGTCAGTCAATTGGACATCTGCAGTCAGATGGGGTTTGCAGGGGCGCACATTGTAGGTCGCAGAAGCATTGTGAACCACTTCAGTCTGTTAGCAGCTGCGCTGGTTGTGTGGGTGAAGAGCGAGGGCGAAGTTGGTCCTGTGAGTTCGGTTCGTCGGACCAAGTAGTGGTTCGAAAGGTCGGAGGCAGGCACGACAGGCCTGTACAGAAGTGCCCGCCCGCCTGGGCAGGTACCTATGTACCCTCCAGGCTAAAGCTAGCTCGGGCCCACCCGGCTCTGCGGCGGCGGCGGCGGGCAGCGACCCGCACTGCCTAGCCGTGGAGCTGTCTGTCAAGTGCTACTGTGAATTGCCCATTTGACATGCTGAACTGCATCCAAGACAGACCTCACACCCCCACGAAGAGGACCACAGCCAATCTCGATCACCAAGAGGCGACAACACTCTTAAACAAACATACTCATACTTACATACTCAACAAGCCGAGGCCGTCGACCACTGCCCGACGAGCATCCCACTCTCGTTCACAGATGCGACCGCGCGCTGTCCATTCTAGACTGAATACGACTGCTCCGCCACGACCAAGACTGCAACTTGAGCCTACAGAGCTGGGCGCGAGTTGACGATGCCTCCCCAGTTGCTGAGGTACCCAAACGGGCCGACCAATGTCGCCCCCTACCAGCACCAGTTCGCCGGTCTGAACCCAGGCCACTCCAACAACTACACTCCACAACTGGGCGGCAATCCCTCCCACCTCAACCCGAACGCCCAGATCCCTTCCTTCGCCACGAACGGCAATGTTCTCGGGCTGGGAGGAGGCATGAACTCGGCCGCCGCGAGCTTTGGCGTAGGGCACGACTCGGGGCTCGGGGGCCAGGCCGCAAGGATGGGATTTCAGAACGCAACGCTCCAGCACCCACAGCATGCCCAACAACACAGTCACTCGATGATGGGGGACCAGCCTGCTCGCAATCCATTGGCTAAGGGCCGGATACGAGAGGTTTGGAAACATAACCTGGAAGACGAAATGGCTGTGCTGCGCGACCTGGTGCAAGACTATCCTTACATCGCTATGGTGAGTCGTCGCATGGTGCTTTCTGCGCTTGGTCAGGAGGGGGTATTGATCTGATCTTCTTTCTTAGGATACCGAGTTCCCTGGCGTGGTTGCGCGGCCGATGGGGGCATTCCGAGGCAAGAGCGACTACCACTACCAATGCTTGCGGGTCAACGTAGACCTTCTCAAGGTCATCCAGATAGGCATATCGCTATTTAACGAGGACGGAGAGACACCAGCGACACGGCCAAACTCAACAAACTCGACAGAAGTCGGCGGCGCAGGGCGGAAAAATGCGAACCAGAATGCGGTCCCACATGCGTGGCAGTTCAACTTTAACTTCTCGCTGAACGACGACATGTACAACGAGCAATCGATCGACTCTCTCAAGCACGCCGGGATCGACTTTGGGCTGTTGGAGCGGGACGGGATTGACCCCAAGAAGTTCGCAGCGCTGCTGATCCCGTCTGGCTTGACACATTTCGAGGAGGTCAAGTGGATATCGTTCCACGGAGGCTACGACTTCGGCTACCTCACAAAGCTCCTGATGTGCGAGCAGATGCCGAACGACGAGCTCGAGTTCACAAAACGCCTGAAGATATACTTCCCGAGCGTCTACGACGTCAAGCACCTTATGAAACACGCCATCAAGCAACACAACTCGGGCCTCCTGACGCCAAGCGACCCGAGCACGACAGAACTGCTGCAGAAGTTCGAACAAAAGTCCGGCCTCGAGAGCATAGCGGAAGCCCTGAAGATTAAGCGCCTCGGGGCGGCTCACCAGGCCGGGTCGGACGGGCTCCTGACCGGGAGGGTCTTCTTCTCTATGCGGGAGAAGGTGTTCAACGGCGACATCCCCACGGAGCAGGTGGGCAAGATCTGGGGGCTGGGCGTCCCGGACATAGGGCCGCCGGCGCAGCAGCAGTCGGCAGCGGACAACACGCCGCCGCAGCAGGGCCAGGGCAACAACGCCCAGGGGACGCCCAGCACGCCGAACCAGGGCAACGCGGGCCTGGTCAACACGCCGGCCGGACAGGCGCAGAACGCGAACGGCGTCGGCAACATGGGGCCCATGACGCCCGGGGGCGGCGGCGGGATATTCGGCCAGTTTAACATCGGCGCCAGGTAGAGAGATGGCCCGGTGCCGGCCCTGCCCGGGGGGCGGGGGTGGGGGTGGGCGCGACGGCAGGGGCACGGCCGCCGCCACCTGCGTCCTCACGCATTGGACCCCCGATCTTGTCCTCGTGTGTACATCAAGGACCGGGCGAGACAAGGGCGGCGGACTCGGAGGGTAGCAGCGCGGGTAAGGTCAGCGGAGGCCGGACCTGTGGCGGCACACCCTTGTGTCAGTTTGAACCCAGAGGCGCCTGTCTTCGAACCACGCGGGCGGTCGCTGAGCGAGCGGTCGCGGAGTGATGACGGATTGTCTTCAACTTCTCCTTCCACAACCAGCGATACAGTAATGAGGCGGCCGGTCATTGCCCCACTATGTTCTCGTGTCCTCACCCCCTCGCCCTCACTTTCTCTCTCACACTCTCTCTCACCCTCGCAACGATGGGAGGGGCGTCGGCGTCCATCTGTTGGCCTCTGCCTGGAACTACCTTGGTTGCTGCGTGCGTCTGTTTAAACTTGTTTGCCTGCCTTCCTTGTCTTCCATTTAAACGGAGTTGGGGAGGGACGGGAACGGGAGGGGGGGTGAGGCGCCACATAAAAAGAAGATCCTCGGGGGGGAAACAACATATCTCTCCCTCTCGGGGCTTTGGGCCAAGGGAATTTGGTCGTTCTTCCTGGTTTGGGGGGAAGGGCAGGGGACCGTCTCCCTGTCTGTCTGTCTGTGTGCCTTGGTGTATTTTTCTGCGAGGGTCATCGTTTTATCTATTTTACATTGTCTTCTTCTTTGTCTCTGCCAAAGGGGTATGGGGGGTGGATACCTGGTAAAGCACAGCGGAATATATGCATTCTCATGAGCAAGAAAGATATTCAACAGTGGAAAGTGAACGTAGGATTCTGTGTGTCCTGTTCCTTGATATGTGACCATTGGCAATAGAAAACCTGATGGTCAGACTCTTATGACTTCTGCTCATCTGTGATGCTATGATGTTACACCGCTGCCTTACAGCTTATCACCTTGTAGGTGTCCCTTATTTGAATTTCCTATTAATGCCAGAAACGCCGACATCACAACCCTCCAAAGGAAAAAGATTCCGTACCGCTATGCTATGAAACAGAGAGAGAGAGAAAAGAAAATGAACGGGGATGGGGTCCCGTGGTCCGATCCGGGTGTGCGCGCCACACACGTCGCTCTTGGACGGCCCCGGTAACTAACTAAACAAGGCTAGGTGATAAACACCTTCTTGAGCTTGTCCTCGGTGTATACATCCCCCGTGCGCAAGTCCTTGACCTTGCCCGGCGGCAGACCGGCCTTGCGCGAGTACTCGTCCAGCTTGGCCTGCCCGTAAACCCTACCGTTGGGCAGCAGCATGAGGTCCGGCTCGACGTGGCTCTGGGTGTGGTGGGCGTAGGGGACGTTGCGGGCGAGCTCGTTGAGCTCGGTGGAGCAGATGGGGCAGACGGAGCTGGTCAGGCTGGTGTGGTGGGACGGGGTGGACGAGGAGCTGGCCTGGGCGCTGTGGCAGGCCGGGGTCTTGAGCGCCGAGAGGCCCGACTGCAGGGCGATGTGCAGCAGGGGGAAGGAGGGGAGGCCCAGCAGGGCGTTGTGCGTCTCGGTGAAGATCTCGGCCAGCTTGTTCCACCGGGACGCGTCGTACATGTCCCTGTGCTGGTCGTCGGCCGCGTCCGGGTGGAAGGCGAGCAGGAGCGCCGCCTGGCCGCACTCGCTCGGGAAGCTCTCCCTGAAGGGGTTGAGGTACTTGCGGGCGAAGTCTATGGCCTGGACGAGCTTGTCGTCCTGGGTGCGCACCAGCTCTATGTACTGCTGGAAGCGGAGCTGGAACTCGAGGTTGCTCTGTCCCCGGGGGGGTTAGCATGGGCGGCTCTTTGGGCATCGGTTGTAAAGGTGCCACATACGTCCATCTTTCTCAGCTCCTTCTTGTTCTCAGTACACCAGTCCAGCGCGTCCTTGACGTTCTTGTTGAGCAGGCTCTGCCTGATGCGGTTCATCTGCTCGAACGTGTCGATATCGACCAAGTCGCCGACGCCCTTGTCCTTGGCGAGGGCCCTCGCGCTCTGGCCGTACCCCTGCCTCATGAGGTAGTCGACCAGCAGCCTGTCGAGCCTCTTGCGTGACCAGTGCTCGTACTTGACGTCCTCGAAGGCGTGCATGTGGCCGAGGTCGGACAGGTGCTTCACCCTGGCGCCGACCTGGCGGTACAGCCTCGACTCCTCCTGGTCGCAGCCCTCGAGCTTCCGCTTGACGCCGCGAACGCGGGCGATCATGGTGTCGAGGTTGCGGAGGACGTCGTCGGGGCTGGCCCCGCCCTTGAGGGCGGCATTGGCGGTGTCCTTGAGCTCTTTCCTTATGAATGTGCCCTGTTTCTCGATGACGAAGTGGGCGGAGCGGAAGTTCTTGTGGAGGAGCTCGTGCGGGAGGCGGAGGAGGGGTTGGTCCTGGCGCGGGGTGGTTCGGTGTTAGCTGTGTATATCCATCTCGTACGGTGATGGCCGCATTTGGGACTGTCGTTGCTCTGCAGAGAGATAGAGGTGGACTTACCAGGAGGAGGTGATTGGCGTGGTCAATCTTGGTGACCGAGTGGTCCCCCATGTTGGGCTCGAATCAGGTCCGTGTATGGTAAGAAATGAATGCTTCAGGGTGAGACTGTATGATCGGGTTTCGAAGGGTAAGATCTCATGTTCCAGGAGTGGACGTGGGCGTGGCCGTGAGCACACAATGACGCTCCCGAGGTTGTCGTTAAGCTGATAAGGCGATAAGAAGCACTGCTTTAGTGCCACGCCAGCTGGGGTGTCCTACGGGCAGGGGTCCTAGTGGGCGGTAATTACCCTGGGCAGACAGATGCTTGTTGAGCTGCGTCTTGTCTCTATCTATTACCCGCTTGGCGCTTGTAATCAATAGATACCGATTATTCAGGTCCGGCATCTTCGGCCGAGAGCAAGAGAAACTACAGCTCTCCCAGATACAGAGTAAGACGGACCATACCGTAGAGTAGACCATTGGGTAGCAAGTAGACGCCATGACAACAGGGCCTTGTCGTCTTCCCATCCCCATTCTCCCCCAGCTACTTACTACTGACAGGTCGGATACCCGGCAGCGAGGGTGGATTGATGGATGCACCTGAGATGAGCATCACACGGAAGTTGCCTAGTACTTCTGAACATTGAATTTCACCACAGTCTGCGGCTAGGTGCTGGAGGGATAGTCCTTCCCAGCTAGGCAGGCTTCACACCATCTCAGTCGATCATGCCCAGGTGTGTATCACTTGACCCGCTTGGCAGACAAAGTGGTTGTGAGCTAGTCATCCACGCTGCCACGGGGCTTGCACGAGGGAGTCTACGTGATCAGCCAGGGGGGCAAGAGTTGAGTCCTAGATGCCCGTCCAGCTGAGACAGGAGCCTTACCACGAGACTCTGGAGCTGTGGAGTCGGCGGCGGCTCATATCAGCGTCAATGCTATAGTCTATGCGGTACGTGTGTGTTGGCGTGTGTGAGAGCATGTATGGGAGTGTGTGTGTGAGTGTGATTGTGAACGTGTACCGGTCTGGCTGTGCCTGTCGCCCCTCAATATCAGAACAGTCAGCCAGCCGAAACAATCAACAGCCATCGGCCAGGGACCAACAGCACGCACGCTGGCTCGCTGTGATTATGAGCTGTTGCGTCCTGTCTCGTCATATGAATAAAGCACCATGCAGCCAGTATCTCACCGGTCCCGTTGACATTTGCAGGTCGTGTACCAGGCGTGCATTACAAGACTACGCCTGGACGCCTGCGACGACGGAAATGCATCTCGAGTGCAAATGCTGGTGGGGTTGCAGCACAGCAGGGTGGGGTGCGTCCAAGCTACTCTGGAGCTGAGGTCGGGAGTGGATGATTCAGGCTGGCATGACCGCCTGTGACTGGCCAGCCCAGCTGCGAGTTGTGGGGCCTGGCGCACGCCCCCGTCTCCCCTGTCCCCCGTCGGCCCCCGTCCAAAGAGCAGTCAAGTCACTCGTGCTCAGAGCTTGCCTGCTTGGTGGTCTGCCTGGCCGCTGCCCACTCTGCCACTCTGCCACTCTGCCACTGCGCGCTGCTGGGCTGCTCGAGTGTGAGGTTGCCAGGTTGCTTGGCCTGAGGCCTTTGACGGCGCGCTCCACGGCTCCCCCCCTCCACCCTTCAAAAGGCAGCCTGGTTCCCTCCCAGACCAATCCTCCAGCTCACGTGAATCTGGACTTGTTGGTCACGAGCATCCACCCCCCTCCAACGCGACGAGCCCGCCCGACAATACAGGTATGCATTCATCGCCATCTGCATTTTTATCCTCGGACTTGGTCGAATCTGACCCTCAAGAAGCAGACACAGCCCCCGATACCATTTGGTCCCCATCAACACCCTGCAGTCCTTATTCCGACCGCGTTTTTTTGCTCGCCCGCCGCCGCCCAGGTTCCCGCCCCTCTGCCTTTCCCTATCAAACCGCAATCAGCACCTGACTTGCCACATGACAAGAAGCCGATCGTGTAAGTAAAGGCGGTCTCGACCTTCACCCCCCATGCTGTCAAATCAGACCTCTGCCGTTGCGCCTCAAGGTGGATCCCCCAGATCTCCAGATCCCTACAACCGTATCACCATTTCATATCCCACCCATCTTTGCTTGCTTTCCATCTTGAGCCTGCCTCTCCTCCCTGTCGCCCAGCATGCCAGCATGCCAGCATGCGACGGCCCGGCCTGTCTGTCCTCAACCTTGACAAGCTCGGGCCAGCCTGACAGCTTGCACCTCGCTCCGTCTGAGACACACGGCCCAAGCAGGCGTGCCGTACGAGCTTGAGTGAGCCCGACGCGACGTCGACGAGAGCCTCAGCATGTAGACCAACAAGACTCGAGTGGCCTTGTTGCATCCACCTCGTCCTGACCTGACCGTGCCTGTGCCTGTGCCTGTGCCACTCATCTCAACGTGATGTGTGAACCACACACAAGACAGCACCCCAGTGCCCGTCGTCATCATGTGCTCTAAGCCCGCCTGCGTTGTGTTCCTTCCCTCGATGGTCTAAATGGAAAATGCATGCTTTACGTTACGCTACGTTCCTTCCCCTTCAACGGTCTAACTGAAGCGGTCAGACACCCGGCCTTGAGGAGCCCTGCAACGCAATGTCTTCAGAACTAGCTGCGCTGGTGATGGCGCACGTTGCAAACCCGGAGCCCGACCTCTCAGCCCTCACCAGCTCCCCGCCTCAAAAACGAAAGCGCCCTGGTGAGACCTCACCAGACGTGCGCCGTTCCAAGCGAAACAACATGGCCAGCCCTGACCCGACGGACGCATACACCAATAATGCGATGGACACTGCCCAGGCCGCGGCTGCCGGCGTCAACGTGTCCGACTTCAACGCCCTCCAGCAGGCTGCGGCTGGTGGTGATCACACCGATGCCGCTGACCCGGCCAACGCGTCAAGCACCGCCGCTGCTGCCTTGGTCTATCCTACTATTCACGCCCCGCAGCCATCCGAAGAGAACTTCGCTGCGCAGGTCACTGGGGATGAAGGGGACCAGCACAATATGGATTTAGTCCCCTATACACACGATGCGTCCCAGCCCGACGGCCTGCCGATGGACCATCAGGCACTAGGCACTGTTGCAGCCGTCCACAACCCGCCAGATCCGAGCCTGCGCCAGATGGATGACATGCCAGGAGCCAGGTACTCCACGACGCCGAACCCGAAACCAGCCGTGGGCTCAGAGGAGTGGCACAAAATGCGCAAGGACAACCACAAAGAAGGTGAGTTCCCACGTGACCCCGATGCCAGGCAGCTAGCCAGCTTGACGAGATGTGTGCTGACATTGCCTAGTGGAACGACGTCGACGGGAGACTATCAACGAAGGCATCAACGAACTTGCAAAGATAGTGCCCGGCTGCGAGAAGAACAAAGGATCGATACTTCAGAATGCCGTGCGCTACATCACCAAACTGAAGGAGGATGAGCAGCAGGCAGTTGAGAAGTGGACCCTGGAAAAGCTCCTCACCGAGCAAGCCATCGCCGAGCTCAGCTCTTCAAACGACAAGTTGAAGCACGAATGTGACCGTCTGTACCAGGAGCTCGAGATGTGGAAGCGGCTCGCCCAGGGTGCGGGTCTGTCCCTAGATGGCAACCAGAACGGGGACAGTGCTGAGCAGAGCAACGAGCCCAAGCCATAGGACTGCCGGTACTACTCTGGGCGGCCGTGATGAACGCATTTTATCTTTGCTTCTTGTGCTATTGTTAGGTATACCCTCGTGGTGGTGCAACCGTCACCACCTTCTATTCAACCAACGGAGTCGTCGCGTTCATCTGATTTTGGCAGGGTATGGCATTGTAGGACGAGCTGGTTTCACTTCGAGTACAGGGCGTAAGGGATCTTGGGAGCACACTCAGGACACATGTGCTTGTTTCCCTATAATCTTTGACAATTGCATGGGCGCGCTGATTGCCCTGGCATGGCAACCGTTTGTCTGCGGCGCTGGGGCGACTAATTATAAGCCGATTCGCCCGAGGCATGGCGGTTTGCTTCCTTGTGTAGTCTTCTAGGCATTGGCGTTCAGGTGAAGTATGGCAGCGCCGACGTTGCCAATAGGGAGTACATGAAGATATCGAGTGGCCGTTTTTGGTTTTGATCCGGGGACAGGCGATGGCTATAAACAGACATTGCTCTTTTCAATACCGGCGGGTTTCTGTTGAGTAAGTAGAAAGTAGCCAGAGATAAGTGGCCGTGCTACGGAGCAGCGATAGACGGTCCAAAGTACTCGAGACTTTGAGCCCCCAAACCCATGAATCTGACCATGTCTTACTGCTTCGGGCATGTGTAACCTTCATCGCAGGGCATTGAGATCACCTGCACAGGAGTGATTAAAACGACGATTCGCTCGGCCGCATGGACATTCCCCTTTGGGCGACCACGAGTGTGTAACAAGATCTCGGAGGACGGGTGGTGGTGGTGGGCTGAGGCGAGATCTGGGCCGCTGACCGACCCCGGACCTCGGGGGGCCCACCGACTCGAGAGACGGGCCGGGTGTGCATGTCCAGTATGGGGAGGAGATGGGATTGACAAAGCAAAACTACAACTTGTAATAATATTGTAAGCCATCGCGCAAGAAAGAAGAGAGACGGGGCCGGACCGGTCCAGAGGGCACGAGGTCGAGGGCCCGGGTCTTCGCCGGCTGGACATGCCTGAAGCGGAAAGGCGTCGACAGGGGACCTGCGAAAGCTTGGCCTCCGCCTTTTGTTAGTGACCGTTTGAGACGTTGTCGACAGGATGAATGTGAGAGCTCTTGGGGATTTTCCCAGAATTAATTGTACAATATTGAGGCCAGATGCACGTACAAAAGTGGCTTCAAATTGATCAGAGAAAATATACAATACTATACAGCCTTTGGTATCACCAAAGAGGTGCACCTCGACAGAGGCCATTTCTACCTGGAGCTGTCGCCGGAGAAGTCAATTGGAGCTGCAGGTCGCCACCCCACTGATAAGCCGGTAGTAGCCCACCCCGCGATAGGTCATAGGTCTGTGCGAACTGGGAAACCCAGCCCCGGGAAGCTCCCCTCGTCACTGTCGTGCCGCCTCGTGCCGCCGCCGTCAACGGCCGAGTGAGGGAGAGACGTAAATACTCCCATTTCCCACCCTCCTTTCTCTGCCAGCGTGCCTTGCTTGTACTTGCGACATCGTGGTGTACTGTACGGATCCAATTGATCAAGTTTTTCCCCTCTAGTTTGTTTTCTTGACACAGGATCATTCCCTGCAGGTCGTCATCCAGCCCATATCTCAGTGTTTCGGCGAGATACCGCTCTCGCCCCCCTCCCCTCCACACCTTCACACCCCGACTAGCAGCAGAGACTCTCGACGGACAAAAAGTATAAGATAGCCCGCCATGTCCGCCCTCCGGACGCTGTCACGGCGCACTGCGTCAAGCTCTGCCCGGCTCATCTCCTCGCGCCTCGCCCCAGTGTCTCCTCTGTCCAGCAGGTCATTCTCAGTCTCCGCCAGCAACATGGGCCGCTTCGATGGTCTCGAGCCCAGCGCTCCCTCGGTCAAGACGGCCATCCCTGGTCCAAAGGCCAAGGAGCAGACCGCCGACCTGGACAAGGTCTTCGACACCAGGAGCTTGAACATGCTCACAGACTACAAGTCCAGCATTGGCAACTACATTGCCGACCCGGATGGGAACATCCTGCTTGATGTGTAAGTGCCTCACCGGTGTGATGGTGATGATGTGTTGAGGGTGTGTAGGACGTGGGCTAACGCGGTGTGACCTCGGCGTGTAGTTATGCTCAGATCGCATCCATCCCCGTGGGATACAACAACCCTCACCTGATCGAGACCATGAAGAGCGACGCCGTGGTCAGCTCCCTGGTCAACCGGCCCGCCCTGGGCAACTTCCCCCCCAACGACTGGGCCGAGATCCTGCGGTCCGGTATCCTCAAGGTCGCCCCCAAGGGCCTGGACCAGGTGTTCACGGCCATGGCTGGGTCGGACGCCAACGAGACGGCTTACAAGGCGGCCTTCATGTGGAAGAGGCAGCAGCAGCGCGGCGGCGCCCACGTCGAGTTCACCGAGGAGGAGCTCAACTCGTCCATGAACAACCAGTCGCCCGGCGCCTCCGAGCTGTCCATCATGTCCTTCAAGACCGCCTTCCACGGCCGCCTGTTCGGCTCGCTGTCCACCACCCGCTCCAAGCCCATCCACAAGCTCGACATCCCCGCCTTCGACTGGCCCCAGGCCACCTTCCCCATCCTCAAGTACCCGCTCGAGGAGCACGTCGAGGAGAACCGCAAGGCCGAGCAGGACGCGCTGGCCGAGGTCGAGCACCTCATCACCACCTGGCACCTGCCGCCCTGCGCCGTCATCGTCGAGCCCATCCAGTCCGAGGGCGGCGACAACCACGCCTCGCCGGCCTTCTTCCAGGGCCTGCGCGACGTGACCAAGAAGCACGGCGTGCTCCTGATCGTGGACGAGGTGCAGACGGGCGTCGGCGCGACGGGCAAGTTCTGGGCGTACGAGCACTGGAACCTGACGTCGCCCCCGGACATGGTGACCTTCTCCAAGAAGGCGCAGACGGCGGGCTACTACTTTGGCAACCCGGAGCTGCGGCCCAACAAGCCGTACCGCCAGTTCAACACGTGGATGGGCGACCCCGTGCGGGCGATCCTGTTCCGGGCCATCATCGAGGAGGTGGAGAAGCACGGGCTGGTGGAGCAGACGGCGCGCGTCGGCGACTACCTCTACGGCAAGATCCAGCAGCTGGGCGACAAGTACCCGGGCCAGTTCGCCAACCTGCGCGGCAAGGGCCAGGGCACCTTCATCGCCTTTGACAACCCCAAGCGCGACGAGTTCCTCAAGGTGGCCAAGACGCTCGGCATCAACATCGGCGGGTCCGGGGCCAGCGCCGTGCGGCTCAGGCCGATGCTGACGTTTGAGGAGAAGCACGCCGACATCCTGGTCGAGGCCCTGGAGAAGATCGTTACGTCACTGCAGTAGATGCCAACGGGGGTCATCCAAAACAAAGGGGTTTGTTAATATCCGATTTTTTTGTTATTACCATGGCCGAGAATGACGGCAACGGTGACGGTTGACGCAGGAACGGGTGGATTTAAGGTTTATGAGTTGTTCAGCAGCAGGCATGACCCGGGTTCGGCGAGACGATCGATGTCTGTTCCCTTTCTTTTTTGCTTTCTATCATGTTTCCCTAAACTGGAGTTCAGTGCGGGTGCAAGACCATCATCAAGGGGGTTCGCCAAGGGGGGGAAGTGGGTGTTGACAGCATATCGCCTGCATTTTTTGGTTTTTGTGTTGTTGTCTTTGTTTGGTCTGTAGGGATACTACTACTCATCCTAGCTGCGGGTTATCCCTGCGTCGGGCAATTATTTTACCAAGAGTATCACGGCCGAGCATCTATCTATCTAGGACCGAATACCGATGGGCTGGAATCCGGCGATCTCGCGCGCGGGCACCATGTTTCACGCTGCCGTCAGCTGTGCGTAGCGCAAGTATCGGGGGTGTGGTGATGCGTATGCCCAGTGAAGTGTACATGTGTGTATGACCTCTTCGGGCCTTGGAAAGCAAATATGTCTCCCGCGGCGCGTAGGGCCAAGGGCGGCGCAGGCAGGCAGGCATGATCATGACGGCGAGGTAAATAACCTGGGCCCCCGAGAGCCAATGGTTCTATCTATTTTCCCCAGACCGCGGAGAATAAAAAAATAAGAAACCTGTGACACAGGCACCTCGGCGGGACCTGCTGCGTGACCCAACCCAGAGTTATGCAAAGGCACGGCATTGTTGAGTTGTCGCGGGCTGGGCTGGAGGCATGATCCCGCCGTGGTGGTGCGGCAGAGGAGTGCGTTTAGAAGGGCCGGCTGGCAGAGCAGCGCAGCCTCGCGCACCCAAGCCGTTTGTTGTGTGGCGTCATCCCGCCCTGATAAAGTTTGCCGGCGCGGTCCTGGGTTGGGTTTCCCCTTCTGGCCCTTGGCAGCTTGCTCCCGACTCGCGCCTGATTCTGCGGTGTAGACTACGGAGGCAGGGCAGGCAGGCGACCTAGGCGCGGTGCCGGTGTACGGAGTGGTGTACGGAGTATACATTGATTGGATGGTCTCAATCCGTTGCTGACTTGTGCTGCGCTGCCCTAGAATACTTTGTAAGCGACACCGCCTAGCGGTTTAGTACAAGTAGCATTGCCAGGTAGGCGGTCTTTATGCGTTGGAGATTTCCAAGGCTGAAGATATTGACTCGTTGGACCCGGGCCCATGGCTCGCCTGTGGGTCTCTTTGTTTTGGTGTTATCTATCGTGTACTGGGCGTGTGCTGCCCCGATGGGATCGGAGACACAAGCAGATCGACGATGGATGGATGGCTCCGGGAGGGTTGATCGCGAGGCAGTCTGTTTTGTGATAGGAGGAGCCGCATGCTGGCCCCCCTTCCCAAGTCAACAAGACACAATGCCAGATCTACGGTATTGCAGGCCTGCCGCTGTCTGGCCTGTGCCACGACAGCGGGCGGCCAGGCCCGGATGCTGCGAATGTCCCTGCTCGGCTCGGTGTGTGGGAGTTGGTGCCACATGGGAGATGGAGAGAGCCAGACAAAGAGGCCGTGTGGCACAGCACACCGCAGATTGCAACCACGCTGAACCAACACTTGTGTTTCTCATTGCGATTATCGGATTATGTGAGCATCTAGCCCATCCTGCCGGAGCTAGACCAAAGGCCTCCCAAGCCAGTGTGTGTGATTGTGATTTGGGTGGCAGGGCGGGATGAACGGAACCAGGGGGGCTGAAATTGGATTATCACAGACGACATGTGTTGCGCTGATTTTTGAGTGCCATTGCCGAACCAACAGGGACGAAAAAGTAAGCGGCTAATAATAATAAGCAGCAGTCGGGCTGCATTCATCAGGTCAGGTAAGCAGCGCATTGAGGATTTCCAATCTCCAGGGCCCGCCAAGCCTAGCAAGCTTTGAACGAACTATCCCACCAGCAGGTAAGGAGTAGTCAGGCAGCCAGTTATGAGCAGGGACGTCCCGAATAAAACATCCCGGGGCGAGTGAAGTGTCCGCGCCCGTCCCATGTCGCCGGCGTGCCCAGCAGCGTGCCTAGCACAAGGAACCATTGTCGTGGGCCGCCCTGCCGCCGTCTTGGGCCATGCGCAAACAGCACAGTAGTCATGCCTGCGGGTTTTGTTTTCGTTTGTTCTGGAAGGCATGATGGAAGAAGGGACAGGCCGGGCGGGCGAGGCGAGGCTGGCGGGCGATGATGTCGATGGCCCGGGGTGCATGGCATAACAACAGGTGCTGAAGTTGTGAAGGTCTCTGTACCGAGTAGGGTTGATCCTCTCTCTCCCACGGCGCCGGCGCGGAGAATTCTATGCAGGGCTGCAGGGCTGCCGGGCAGACACCGCCGGCTCGCGCCCTTCCAATGTTATGCCTGAAGCATAGCGTGGCTGTTCAGCTGTTCCAACGGCCGGTGACGTTTGAAGTTGACGTTGCGGTTGCTGGTTCGCGATCACGACGGCCTTGTCTGGGACCAGTGCCGATCGCGATGAGCCCAAATCGTGACTTGTCCATTGTCGACCGGGGCGACTGGGGACTGGCGACGGCTCTCGTTGTGGTTACATGCCGGGTCGTCCGGATGCGCTTGTTAGCGCCAGGGGACCCGTTCTGTGGGAGTCGCTAAGAAAAGCGGGTAGTGTAGGGGAGCGAAGAGAAAAAAAATAGAGGGCCCCTCGGCAGGAGAGAGGGAAGGAGAGAGAGAGAGAGAGACTCACTCTGTGAGCTGGCTTGTTGGCTTGCTTGCTGGTTGGTCCTTCGCCTCGCGTGCTCTGTCTTTTAGGCCGAGCCCGTCATCTCAAGATTGATATGAAGGTCCCAATCTCGTTCGCTTAATAAAGCTGTGCCGTCCCGTCTCGTCTCGCACCCTCCCACACCCTTCTTATCATAGCCGACTCTTGGTTTTCTGCCCTGCCAGCAGCCTGCCAGCAGCCCGTGTGTCTGATCTCCCAAACGGCAGGCGTCTCGACGGCAAGCAAGCTGCTCCTGCCCCTGCTCCTGCTTCTGTTCCTGCTGCTCCCAGAGTTTCCCCGGATTCACGCACCGTCGAGTTCCGCACACAGTCTCCCAGTGCCCCTTTCGGCTCCCGCAAAAAAGGGTAAAAGGATCGCCGATCAGGTCGCGCCTCCCAGGCCCTGTCGCCCTGTCGCCCTGGTCCTATCTTGCCCCAAAGCTTGCACACACCCCCCCTGCCTCCCAGCCCAAGCTGCATGAACGCCCCAACCCCGGTGAGCCGCGACCTGTCAGTCGATTCCTATTAATTGGAACCACCGCCCTGCCCGGACCAGTGCGAGACAAGAGGGCGCAGAAATCAACACAAATTTCATCCCTCCCGCCCTCGCCCACCAAACACCATTGGGCCACAGACAACTCCCAGCCAACCTGCCGTGCAGCCGTACAGCAATTGTTGTGCACAGGCAGTCACCACCGGCAGCAGTCATCTCCACAAGGTGAGTCGCAACCGGACCGCCCAGGCACGACTTGGGGGCTTAGCTCTCGCGTCGCCACACGATCCTTCCGCCAATCCCACATAAGCTAAAATATGACAGCTACAATCAAACCCACACGCCAACTCACCCTCGACGACTTTTTATCAACTCACCGCTGCCCAACCGTCAGTCCCCTATAGTATCAGCTTCATCACAGGACGAGAGACGCGCTGTCCGGCGTCAGTTTCTTCACCGACAACTCCGAGATGCCCACCAAGCTGTCCAACCCCTTCTCAGCACTTGCCAATATGACCCCCCACGAGAAGCTTGGGGATCGTAGGCTCTCCCAGTCTCGTACGAACCGCCTGAGCCAGCTCTTCTCCTCGTCCCCCAAGAACAAGGAGCAGCTTTCTGCCCAGCAGTCCTTGTTGGCCGTGCAGCAGGGCGCCAACAACGCTCAGATCACCGCTCCCTCACTATCATTGCCCAAGATCTCCCTATCCACCGCGACCGCCGGCGAGCTCAACGACGATGAGCCATCAACCACCCTGTTTGAGCCCCCCTCGGAGGCCGAGAACAGGACCAAGAAGCGCGGAGAGGCCCAATTCGGCCCTCTCCTGCACCCAAGTCACAGATACGTCAGCAAACACCGCGGCGGCACTCTGGACCCCCCAATCGAGGATGAGCCTCCTTACTACTACGTCCTCACCACCTACATTAGCTACCTGCTCCTGATTTTCTTCGGCCACGCCCGTGACTTCTTCGGCAAGCGCTTCGGCGATAAGAAGCGTTACAGCAGTATCCTCAGCGGCAATGGCTACGCTCCCCTCACCGATGATTTCGACAGCTTCTACATCCGCAGGCTCAAGAGGAGGATCGATGACTGCTTCTCCCGGCCCACCGTCGGCGTTCCCGGGCGCTACATCACTCTGGTCGATCGCATGTCGACTGACTACAACCAGAGCTACACCTTCACCGGCACCTACACCGAGACCCTGAACATGAGCTCCTACAACTACCTTGGATTCGCCCAGTCTGAGGGTCCTTGCGCAGACATGGCCGAGGACGTCGTCCGCAAGTACGGCATGGCCACCTGCAGCTCCCGCGCCGATGCCGGCACATCCGATCTGACCATGGAGGTCGAGCGGGAGATCGCTCAGTTCGTCGGAAAGCCCGCTGCCATGGTCTTCTCCATGGGCTATGTCACCAACGCCGGTACCTTCCCGGCTCTCGTCTCAAAGGGCTGCCTGATCATCTCTGACGAGCTGAACCACGCCTCCATCCGCGTGGGTGCCCGTCTGTCTGGCGCCATCATCAAGTCATTTAAGCACAACGACATGGTCGACCTGGAGAAGAAGCTTCGTGACGCCATCTCTCAGGGCCAGCCCCGCACGCACCGCCCTTGGAAGAAGATTCTCGTCGCAGTCGAGGGTCTTTACTCGATGGAGGGTAACATGGTGGATCTCCCCGGTGTTATTGCCCTGAAGAGAAAGTACGGCTTCTACCTCTACGTCGACGAGGCGCACAGTATCGGTGCTCTCGGCCCCCGGGGACGTGGCGTGTGCGACTACTACAAGATCGACCCCAACGAGGTGGACATTCTCATGGGTACCCTGACCAAGTCTTTCGGTGCCAACGGTGGTTACGTTGCTGCAGAGAAGCCCATCATCGACAAGCTCCGGAGCGTCAACGCTGCGACCCTGTACGGAGAGTCACCAGCCCCCGCCGTCCTGGCGCAGATTCTGTCCTCCCTGAAGATCATCGACGGCGACCTGGCACCAGGGCAAGGAGACGAGCGACTGCAACGAATCACCTTCAACTCGCGCTACCTCCGGCTGGGACTCAAGCGACTCGGTTTCATCGTCTACGGCCACGACGACTCTCCCATCATCCCCATCATGCTCTACAACCCGGCCAAGATGGCAGCATTCAGCCACGAGATGCTGAAGCGCAAGATCTCGATCGTCGTCGTGGGATATCCTGGCACACCCCTGATCAGCTCACGAGCAAGATTCTGTGTCTCGTCGGCACACAACAAGGACGACCTGGACCGTGTGCTAGCCGCCTGCGACGAGGTCGGCGATATCCTGCAGGTCAAGTTCTCGTCAGGTATTGCCGGAGGCAGTGACGAGCCCCTGCCCGAGGGCGTCTCGGCGGAGAACGAGAAGGAGTGGCGGAGGGCCAACGGACGGGAGGTTGTCAAGCCCCCGCGCTGGAAGTTGGAGGATGTGATTGCCTGTGGCGCGCGTGATACCCAGTTGCCTCTGCGATAGGTTCCATTCAGGAACGTTATGTGCGGGCACTACTTAATGTCTATTATTGCTTAGACGATACCATCTTGTGTTGTTGTTCATGAAGAAAGAAGAGGAAGGAAACAAACAAACGGAAAACCCCAAACGAGGACGGGCAAAAGGGCCCCCTCGGCATCATGACGGCGTTTCTTGTTTTTTTTTTCTATCTTGGTGTATACATATATGAGAACCGTTTTCTTCACTTCTACCATGGCTGAGATGTTTTGTATGAAGAGGGCCAGAGAGAGCCCGTTCCGTCGTTCCGGTTCCTGTGCACAGGTTCAATACATTGTTATTTGTGCCACCGCTACGCCTTCAAGAATTGAACGTGTCATATGGATGATCATGTGGCTTATTTGCTACTTATACTCACCTAGGTACCTAGTTCTAGATGGCCAGCCACACTCCCAAGGGTGGGTCTTCTGCGGTACGTGACGCCATAGGAGAGTGTCCAATAGGAGGGTGTCCCATAGGACCATATGAAGATGTCCTATGGGAAATCGAGCTGTAGGATGATATCCCGTAAGAGGTCATCTATAGAATGTGATTATGCAGGAGGGATTTCGTAGGGAGTTGTCTAGGTTGGTAGACAACATTAAAACTTTTGACCAGGTTCGAAGCGATCCCAGCGTGCTCACCCTGAGAGATCATTCCTTCCATGTGAGCTGCAGGCAAGTCACAGCCACAGACTTATGGAAGCAGGCAAATGCGGTCATCATCCATGTACCTCCCCGAACAAGAAGGGTACCTAGGTATGAACAGAACTTGAGGGTGGCCCGTGCGCCCGCCCTTGCACTCACGCGCTTTCACGACCTAAATTGCCCCTCAACGCGTCTCCCGCTCACGGAGGCGGTAGCCGATTAAAACTACTGCAGTTTTACGAGTGACTACTCCACACGATGGAATAACTTGAAGCATCATTCTTTCTTGACGTGCCTCCAGAGACTTTCAGTAATTTAATTTCTTGGCGCGCTGCTGCCTGACAAGCTGGTCTCCCCATCGCTGCAACCTCTTACGGTATCACCTCGCTAGTGCGCCCAAGTGACTGGAGCGATCAGTCCTCACGACATCATCGAAGTGATCACTTGGATACACACTACCAGCAGCCGTTTCGGAGCAGCTGTTCTTATGCGCAACAAATTTAGTCTCTCATCAAAATCCCACCAGTTTGTCTTGAGATGAACTCGTCTAAACGACGCCGTCAGCAGCAGCAAAGGCTCACTTTTGAGGCCGTCCCTCAAAGCGAGTTTTCGCCACCCTTCGACAAAGGGCCCTCGCCTGCGAGGGTCAGGTTCCAGTCGCCCAGGGACGGTAGTCCTCACAGCACTCGTGCGGTGAGACCGCTCAGGATGGCGCGCTCCAAGAGGCCGAGGCAGCAGACCCTGGATGCATCGCTCAGTATGTGTGTCCTACCACCCGTTACGGCTTGCCCTCAGATACGTTACATCACTCGTGCTATGGATGAATTTGTACATTTTTGGCTCTCTGCGGACCTGTACTATGGAATATTGTGCGAGGCTAATCGGAACTTTTAGGCAAAGGCAGAACAAAACGCCAGACCAACCAGCCGGAAGGTTCGGAAGGCGAGGATGACAATGTGCCCATCACACTGGGGCAGGATGTGAAGGTTCGACGAGGTCAGTCTCCTGTTCCTTCTCCCTGGTCGTCCGTGTCAAAATCCACAAGAGCACGCCACCATGTTGTGGATAGCGACACAGACACCCCCGTGGAAGAGGACGGGGAGCTGGATGACACGGACGGCGAAGGCCCCTCGACACACGAGATCACCCGAAGGCGTCTCAGTCGCCCAGCCAAGCGAAGCAACGCACCTGTCATCAACTTGGAAGACAGCGACGACGGAGAAGAAGACGAGCCCAACGCCCGCTCGTCCCAGTCCCTACCGAACCAGGCAGCCGTCAGTGACGACTCTGACGAAGCGCCGCTGGTGACTCCACGATCGAGCGTGCGCAAGAAGAGCCGAGTCGTCTTGGCTGAGGATGAAGATGAGGATGAGGACGAGGACGGAGAGGACGAGGAAGACGTGCAGAGCCCCACCAAACGCCGGAGGCTCACCCGCAACACCCGCGCCGTGAGCCTTGTGGACAGCGACGACGGCTCAGACTCACAGCTGAGCCAGCCCGGCCTGGCGGCCGCTACTTCCCCAAGCAAGGACTCTGCCTCCGCGCAAGCCTGGACCCGTAAGATGCGGTCGAGCGCGCGCAGGGGCCACCGCTCCGACAAGGAGAAGAAGATGGAGCTGCTGCGGCGCAGGCGGGCCGGGGAGAAGGATCTCACGATGGAAGACCTCGACACGTCCGAGGAGGAAGTCGCGGGGGATCAGGGTGCGCTGTATGATACGGACTCGGACCACCAGGCCCTCGACGTGTTCGACGACGAATCTGACGACGCGGGACCCGCGGAGGAGCAGCCTGCAGCGGCTGCCAAGAAGGCGAAGAAGAACAAAAAGAAGCAGAAGGGTCAGGGGAAGGGCAAAGGGCAAGATGCTGCGAATGACGGCGGGGAGGAGGGCTCGGAAGACAGCGAGGGCAACCTGGACGGCTTCATCGACGAGGATGACGACACGCTCGGGGTGCCGGACGACGCGCTGCATCTGATGCCGCTCGAGTTCACGCGGGCCTCGCGCAAGCCCCTCAAGGCGCACTTCCGTGACGCAGTGGAGTGGCTGGTCCACCGCCGCATCAATCCCGGGTTCGAGAGGGATGACGAGGTGTACAGGACGGCGTGGACGCGGCTCAACGACGAGGTGATGGGCCTGGCCAACTCCAAGTGGGTCTCGTCCTCCTGGAGGCCGGACTTTTACCGGGTCCTCAGGGCGAGACCGTATATCGAGCAGGCTGAGCTTGGGTACGGTCACCTCGGTACTGATGTGGACAAGTGTCAGGCGGTAAGCAGTTTCATCCATCCCCCATACAGCTTTGGCTTTCTTTGTCCTCTGTTTTTTTTACGGCGCGAATCTAGAAAGATTCCATGTCCACCGCAACAATCATGCACAAATACCTTCTCATACAGAGCCCGACTTGCTAACTCGATATGCTACAAGTGTGGCCGCTCCAACCACCCGGCGACGTGGGCTATCAACTTTACGGGAAAACCATACGACAGCACGACATTGGATGAGCTGGAGGACGAGGCATCCACCGACTCAGAGAACGAGTCCTCCTCCGGCGACGCCGGGCCGGGGGAGCAGAAGCAGAAGAAGGACCACCCAGACCGCGACGCGAACGGCCACGCCCTGCCGCCCGAGGACAAGCAGTTCTTTGTCGGCACGGTGTGCAACAGCAACGCGGAGATGGCGCACAACCTGCTGCACTGGAAGCCCGCGCTGCGGGACTGGGTCAACAACGCGCTGGAGCGGGAGGGCTGGCTGGCGGCCGAGAGGCTGGTCGAGCTGGACCGGATGAAGCGCAAGAAGCGGCGCAGGGTGGCCGACGAGGTCGTCCAGGGCTGGGACGACAGCGGCGTCATCAAGCGGCTCTTTGCCGACTTCAAGGAGAACATCCGCCGCGCCGAGGAGCGGGACACCACCAAGTCGTCGAGGGGCGGGCGGAGCTACAGGCGGTAGGTCTCGGCTGTGTGGCTCTTGACTCCGCCGTCTGACTGAACTATGGAGCTGGGGGTGGGATTGGGGGGGGGGGTGTGGTTTCTTGGACAATCTGTCGCTGGTTGCTCTGGCTTGATGACACTCATTCCACCATAGGAGGCAGAGACCAGGGGGGGCACTCCTTAGCTGTTTGACTCTGCTCGCTGTCGTGTCATTCGTCGACAAGCGGGAGTCTGGTGGTTGATTTCTTGGACTTCTGGAAACTGGTCTATCTGGCTTGACTGTGGCTGGAGCTGCCACATCTGAGCTTGCTGCCCGTGCGACTGGGGGAATCGAATCACGGTCTACTGATTCTTGTTGAGATGGAACGCCCTCATGTTGGACAAGGGGAACGCAAGGCCCTGCTCACCCGGAAATAAGGATATGCTGGCGAGCAAGTCAGAGGCCATTTTCTTTGCGTGGCGGATTGATTGATTGATCCATGGGCGACTGGTTACAAGACGAATAGATCTGCAGGCTCACACGAGCGGGCTGGGCCGTCTGTCCTCGGGGGCCCGGGGGACGAGAGACCCCATTATTAGAAGTTATCGTCATGACAGCGACAATGATACCAAATATTGGCAACCTCAGCACACATGTGATTGCGTATGTAGAAGCAGCAAGATCACCCACATAGTGCCATCCAAGCAAGTCTCCGGCGCAGGCTGCTTGCTACAATGATACTCGCGAGACGGCTGGCCGTCTGATGCTTTCAGCAGTGATCACCCACCCACCCACCCCACTCCATGAGACGGCGATCTCGCGCAAGCACGTGAGCATCCGGCTGCCCCTTTGAGTATGAGGAGCCCTCGTCGCCGCTCCTTTCCCTCGGAGGGCTACGTGCCGCTGGCCGGGCCGGCTCCTGGGGCGTGGTGGTTGGTACACGGCGGATGGATGCTATGGGCACTGTCACTGTTCTTTTGGGCGTCCTTTCTTTTTGTTGTCTTGAGAGGTGTGTGTGTGTGTGTGTGTGTGTGTGTGTGTTTCCCTGTCCCCCGTCCATCCATCCCTCTAGTTCGGCTCCGTGACCCCGTCCAGATACATATACAGGCGTGTATGTGTGTGCGTGTGTGGCCTTATACCCGCCCTGGATCCGCCCGCTAGCTGCACGACGCATTATTTTCCCCGCGGAGAGGGCACGCAATCACTTTTGCTCGCCTCCCTTGTTGATGGATAATTCCCGTCCGTCCGTCTGTCTGTCTATCTATCTGTCCGTGTTGATCGATCCGACGTGCGTTCTCGCGTACGTATGGGTAATGATTCTCATCGCTGATCCATGAACGCCGGCGACGGCATAGCGGGTGCGTGCGTGTAGGACTGGCAAGGCAAGCAGGGGGGTGAAGAACATGATAGCATATTGCTGGGGGAAAGACAGGGAGAAAGGGAGAAAGAAAAGAAGATATCGAGAGGACAGTCCGACCGACCCGGATGTATCAATCCGGACCGGACCGACTGGCTGTATACACACACACCTCACACACGTAGGATCACTGGAAGGGCCGTCCGTCTCCGCCGCCGCCATCCATGATACCCAGTCAACCCTCCCCGTCACCGGTGAAATGTTTCCGGCACGGGGTCAGAGCACACTGGGGTTCTTTCTGACTTGATACTCGGGCCGCCGGCCCAGCCCAGCCGTCTGTCTGTCTGTTCGCGTTAACCTTCGTCACCCGCCCGTCCGTCCGCACCGTATCTGTCGCCCGCCACGGCGTGAGAGAAAGTATATGTGTATGTAGTTCGTGGTGAGGTGAGTGTGGGGAGGGAGTCCGCTGGGTGTAGGACCCACACACGTATGTATGTATGTATGTATGTGTGTGCACGTGTTTCATCCCGTATGCTCTATGCAACGCCGCCCTCTGTCCATCCCGGCTTGGGCCCCCGTGAAGAGGAGGGGGAGGGGATAACGAGAGGAGGCCCTTGCGGCCGGACGACGCAACAAACATCGTACGACGCCCGGCGGCGCCCGGGTGCGATCCTGCGGTGTGAATGTGTGTGCCTTTGGGCTCACTGGTGAGCATGGCCTACTCACTTGCCTTGTTGTGCCTGTATGTGTATGTGCGAACGGTATGGACGGACAAAAAAGCCATCTTGGTGTGTGAGCGGAAACACGCTGGTGGGTGGGTGGGTGAGAACGGGTGTGTAATTTTTGTCCCAGAGAATCGAGAGAAACAATCCAGAAGAGATCCCCGCCATATCGCGGGGAGGGGATCTGATCCGCTATATCGAAGACAATTGTTGTAGTTCCCAGCCATATCAAAAGCCACAAGCCCCCCTTCCGTTCATTCACCCGTCCATGAGTCCGTCCATCCAGATGCGACCGCGTCCCACCACCCCCGAGATCATGTCCAAAACGTCGTCCGTCCATCCGCCCGCCCGTCCATCCTTTGTGCCACCTTGCCTTCATTTACCAAGATCTCCCTCACCCTAGACCATTGGTCTCACGCTCCCCCGTAATTCCCGCCCATGGATTCCATACATGCGCGGACGGGGGAAATCTCCTATGTGAATATACAGTAGTCGGTAGGATGCCGCTCAGCGCAAGAGCCTTTTCCCGCCCGACCGATGCCCTCGCATTGACAAAACTGCCCCATTCATTATATCAGACATCGCGGCAATCAGCCTCATATGATGCCACCCGGTGGGTCGTAGCCACCTCTGGTCGATGCCGCCGATCCCAGGCCGGCGCTTCCGGGAGCCTCCCCTACCACGTCGGACTGGGCATTGTTGGTCTTCCTCAGCATAAACATGGGCTTCTTGCCCTCCTTGTCCAGCTGCTTGAAGAGGATCAGCGGTTTCTCCTCCAGCCCGAGGCACCGCTCCTGATCCCCGTATACGATATAGAGGGCATACTGGTCCCATGGTGCGTTGATTTGGTATTTCTTGAGGGCGGCCGGTAGGACCTTGTAGCATGGGTCATCCAGGCTCACCCTGAACGACTTGAATATTTCGACGGATGCGTTGCTCGAGCTCGGCGTGTCCGGGGCCGGCGTCTGGCCTCTTCTTGGTGCGGCGTTCTGTTTGTCGCGCGGGTCGTACCCGTGCTCGTTCTCACGGAAGGTGGATCGGCTGGACGGGGTCGGCTGGTCGGCGCGGTAGGATCTGGAGCCAAGGGTTGTCCCGCCTATGCTTGGGGGCGACGTGGGTGAGGGTATATTTGGTGATGGGTATGATGGTGAAGTTGCGGTAGGACCGCCGGATCCGTTCATGGCTGCCAGGTGTGACGACGACATGACGGCCCTCTCAGCGGCGCTCGAAGGGTCTACTGTCTGTTCGATGATGCTCCGGTCGTGGCTTGTCTGTAGATGCGATGGGGAGGTGGTCTTGGGTGTTGTGCCGAGGACGATCCGCTTGGTCGAGTATTGGCGCTTAAGGCTGGCAGACTGGCTGCCAAGAGTGGACGGGGTCGGGGCCGGAGGTGACACCGTCGTGTCGTAGCTGTATGTTGCGTGTTGTCCGTTGCTCACGTTTGGCAAGGGCTGTTGGGCATCCTTGGCCAGGCGCAGAGCGGGCAGCATGTCCTCCCGTAGCCTCCGGAAGTCGTCAGCTAGTTTCCTAAAGTCTTGCTCGAACAAGTTCATCCGCTCGTCCCGTAGCCTCAGCTGCTCCACCAAATGTCTGATGTCTTTCAGCGTCGCGGTGGCATACTGGGCCTCGGCGTCGGCAGCTGGAGAAGAGGTGTGTCAGCGTGACCTGCAAAGACACGGGATGGGATGATGACCACCGGAGGCGGCGATTGGGCTCAACGTACATAGTGGTACATAGTGGTCATTTTCTATAGGCACATCCTGTGCCTTCTTGACGTCGTAGACGCTCTTGAGGACGGTCAGCCTGTGGCCGACACTGGTGATGCCCATGGACTTGAGGTCATCATGTAACAGAGCAACCAGGGCCTCTCCGACGATTTCGTTTTCTGTTGAGGCGGCGCATGTCAGTCTAGGCGGCATCCTGGAAGAGCACATGAAGACGCACCAATGAATCGGTCCGAGTATTGTTGCAGGCCGATTGTCGCGATGAAGTCGGCGACCTCGTCGACGCTCCATTCTGATATGATGGTCTCGGGCAGGCGATCGGCGCTGGAGCGATAGCCGTATGTGGTCGGGGTGTGTTCGTTGGAGGGAGGGTCGGAGTCGGTGGGCGAGATGGAAGCGTCGGTGGCGTCTATCGGGGAGCTCTCGTGGAGGTCCCGCTCGTACTCATCGTCGGCATCAGACTCGGCGTATGCCGTGCCCGTGTTGAAGCTCATGGTCGGGATCTGATGCCGGCCTGGGCTGGATGGGGCCTGGCTGATTTTTTGGGATCGGGGGCCGCCAAGGCTGGGTCGGTCTTGAGACAGGCAGGTGGAGGTGGTGGATGGGGAGAAGTGTCGCTGAGGATGGATGGAGGGGGAGGCAGGGGAGGGGAGGGCAGTGCCGGGCGAGGCGAGACGAGGCGATTGGATTCGATTCGAGTCGAGTCGAGTCGCGACGCGGATTGTCGAGTGCAGATTAGGATTTGGCGACAGGTAAGGACAAGGTGGAACTGTCGTGCGGTATGGCACGGGTAGGAATGTACGTAGGTAGACTACTGGGGTATCTCTCGTCAGGCGGAGGGCGGTAGTGGGTTTGGGCTCGGGAGCTGTTCCATGAGTTTAGTTTGAGGAGGCTTAGCTCGTCACCATCGAGGTGCAGCAGCCAGCAGCCAGCAGCCAGCAGCCAGCAGCCCAGCAGCCAGCAAGATCCACAACCCACAGCCCACACAGCCCAGTGGTGTCGCACACGGTGCTGGTGGGAGCGGGCCTTGTCTTCTTTTTTTGCCTTGTTGGCTGGATGCAGAGGCGGAATGAGGGTGTGTGGGTGGACGGCAGATAGTGTTGGGACTGGGTCGGATGCGAGATGCAAAGATGCGCCCGTGGGTCGTGTGTCGTGTGGTGTGCAGCCTCGTACGGAGAGAGTGCTCTCTCTCTCGTCCCTGTCTGGATAGGCAGGCCCTTGTCGGCTTGAATTGAGCAGCAGCAGCAGCAGCAGCAGCAGAGGAGGAGGAGGAGGAGGGCTCGAGAGAAGGACAATAGATAGATAGGTACGGACGGACAGGCACAGTGCAGGCGCGGGGAGCACGGTGCAGGGTTTGGGCGCAGGATGGACGAGTTCGGTTCAGCAATAGTAATAGTATTGCAGCAATCAGGGAACAGCCAGGTCAGTCCCGTCGGGGAAAGGCTGGGACAATATGCTGGTGGGGACGGCGTGAATCGTGGGAGTGGATTGGCCCGACTGTGACGGCGGAGAGTCAATGGCCGGGTGCTGCTACCGGAAAGAGAGGGTTCCTACTGTGCAACTGTGCAGTACTTTCTTTTTGCGGCCTGCGACCCGTCAAAGGTGCTCCGTACCCAGGTACACGGCCGTTGGCCCTCAGCGCGGTTGACCCACTGTCACGGTATTACGGAGTACTATCGACAGCAGCCGCCAAAGATTTGGATCGTCGGACAGTACCTGGACTACCGCCACACCTGCAACCGTGGTCCAGGTACCGCTGTACAAGCCTGCCCTGCCCTGGGCCGGTGGGGGAAGGAGGGATCTGAGCAAGGTCAGGCAGGCCAGGCAGGTCAGCCAGTCAGCCCAGTTCACGTCTCTCTCAACCCTCATCAACCTGCGACCTTGACTGATTTGACAGACACGGCCAGACACAGCCAGACAGCACCTCGCACCGCCAATACCACCCACAGCATTGACGCCAGCGCCCTGCCACGGGCGCCCCTGGCCATTCCATCAAATGATCAATGGACGAGTCCGTTTCCTCTTCCCCCGCTTGGCGCACAGCCTTGACACTGGCGGGCGGCTAGTCTCGTCATTGGACATGCTCGTGGCGTGCCCCTCCTATCAACGGCTGCCAGGACGTCCAAGCCCGTCCAAGCCGTCCTCTCTTCATCCCCATCTGTACGTACACGCCGCCGTCGTTGTCGTCGTCGTCGTCGTCTCCGTCTTCGCCGCCGCCCAACTCGTCGCTGCTCGGTCGGGATCGAGGCTTATTCTTGCAGAGTTTCACGTTGCTGGCAAGGCAGACGAGCCATGGCCCCTTGCTTGGTCCCGAGGCCTCGACGGCGAGACACCTCGCCCGCCTATTTCTGATCACATCTCGGTCACCCGTTATCCTTCGAGCCTAACGATTTGACCTTGGCCAGAGTCCCGCGGCATTGAACCCGCCCGCAAGAAGCTCGGCCCCTGGTGCTGATCAGTGGTCACCACTGCTCCGTATTCCAAATCTACTGGCCCGTCCGCCCCAGGGGGACTCGTAATCAGTACTAACCACCCTCGTGCCCATCGCCTGCACTCCAGTCTCGGGCGCACAAGCCAAGCCTTGTCCGCCATCATCCCGCACTTCGCCCAAGGGCGCCACAGCTCTCCCGGCCCGAGTGGCTTCTGCCTCGCCCACGCCATTCATTCCCCGGTGCCGCCATGTCAGTCACGCAGTCATGTAGTGGACGTGCGTTACAACGCCCCGAATCCATCTGGTATGGCGGCCCAGCTGCCTAGTCGCCAGGTCGCCCGGCATACCCCTGGGCCCTGCAGCGAAACCGTAGCCCATGTCCAGCCCTACGCGCGTACCAACGACTTACACATATTTGTTCACATCGTTTACTGCAGTCTACGTTTTCATGTGACTACATGACCGCGTTTATTATCCTTCCCGCCGGCGTGAGAGGTGGGCACTATTCCCCCCCTCTCCTTCACATGCTGCTCTATATCCCCGTCATCCATACTATGACTTGCCCGAACCCGCATAGTAAGCTACTGCCTTAGCTTCGCTCCCGGAAGTATAAAACAGTGGGCACCGGCCTATCTGCGGGTCGACCGCGCCTAAACATCCCCATTCGTAGTCCGAACGCTTCTGTGTTACTCGCCAGCCTGTACCATACATGGGCGGTTTGTTGGGCCTTGCTTGCCCTGCATGGTGGCGATAGGCCGCGAGTCCGGTCTCAGATGGCAAAAAAAATTAATCACTGTAAATGGAGATTTTAAGACACAAGGTTCAGACTAACACCCATGCCGCTTTTATAAGAATTGGACTATATCCCGCATCGGCTTTGGCAGACGGCAGTCCATGACAGCAGCCCGTCCCACCTCTCAGCCTTGCGGCTGCCTCACAACCCCACAAGGCCCACGAGATGGGTCTGCGTAATGAAGACGGGCAAGGCTGTCTCCTTTGGCAGGTCATATGCTGACCTAGCCTGGTGGATATGGGAGCATTCCGAGTCAGCGGACCTTCCAGACCCCCTTGGAGAGTCTTGGTAGACCGGGGACTACGACATTATTAGACTGATACGGGTTTTCGAGAGTGCCCGAACGCGTTGTTGACTGTAGATCTGTCGAAATAGGAGGGATATTTAAACGGACATCATCACCTCTTCCAGGCTTTCGTCTTTCTTGAGCAGCACTTTTATCCTCGCTCACGATCACTATCTGAATTATAAGCTGCCCGAGTCATCCGGTCATTTTGACAAGACCCCCCAAGCAAGGATGGCGTCCTGGCAGAGAGCACGAGGCGAGACGCTGGACCGAGGGGCTAACAACCACTTGCACAGAGCCTTGCCTCGTCCACACATCGAATCCACCGAAAAGAGAAAAAATATTCCGTCGGCCGACAATGCAAGCCTACGCCATCGTCCTCACCATCCTCGGCCTGGCCGCAGGCGATCAGGCAGAATGTGGCGCCAGGAACGAATTCACAGTCAAGTGCGGCTCGACGTGCTCTAGTTGTCAACAAGCCGTCGAGTGCAATACTTTTATCGTAGGACAGCCTATGTGTGAATCGGGCTAGGCTCACGTGGGCATATATGGTGGGTGGGGGGCACATCGGCGTGGTATAAGTCCCAGCCGCCTCACGGCCAGTGAGGATCGGGACCGACGCAAGGCTGCGTGTGTATAGAACCTGCGGAACTCCGCGAGGCTACAGATAATAATAATATGACATAAAGGGGCCGCTTGTTTGAATACAGTAAATACATGCATGCATGGAATCCTCAGTATTTCTCGAACCCACCTGGCGCATTCCCTCGATTGCCCAGTTCTTAGAGCCGTGAGCCCAATTCAAGTTGTTCCAGCCTGGTGGTGGTCGCATCTCACAACGCGAATACGAACGAAAGCTTGAGGCGAGACCCTGACACAATCTTGGGCCGTGGATCATCCGCGGATAGGTCGAAGCCTAAACAACGACTATTTTTTCCTTCCAATAGCCCCTCCTGGAAGTGACTTAAGAAGAAGAAGAAAAAAATAACAGAAGGCCGCTCGGAACTCGCTCCCCTTCTCTTTCTCCATGAAGCCGAGGAAGAGTCTTTCCCACCACAGAGAGCGAGCACATGCAGACTGACACTTACACACACAGTAATAAGTCAGCCAGTCACTAACAAACTCACAACAAGAGTCGATGAAACGCCCGGGCCAAAAATCAACCCGCCAACCCTGCGGGTTTCACCACGGCTCTCACCACCACCACCACCCCGGCCCGGAAGGGCACACGGGAGCAAGCGTGTACCCACATCGAGTCGGTTTTGTAGTCAGGCTTGCGAAGGGGGGCGGGGAGCGCGGGGACGAGACAGGCGCGCGGATGGTGACGGGCTGGGCTCGCCCAAAGAGGCAGGGCATGCGCGCTTGGGCAGAGATATTAGGAAAAGGGGGGGGGGGAGGCCGAGCCTCGGGGGGGCGCCCAGCTTTGCCTGGTTCGCTACTTATCATCAGCGACGGGATTCATGACTGACTGATGATGGTGATGATGATGGGATGATGGGATGTCCAAGGTTCGACGGGACTCTGGTCGAAGGGCACATTTATGACAAGACTTGTTCTTTCCCCTGCCACTTGGCCGAGAATGGACAAGACAGAGCCTCCCCCCGGATGATCCCCCACCAAACTCACCATCGGACGACGGGACATCCGACCCGGCTACACACTCCAATCCACATGACATGAAAAACGTCGGACCCAAAAAAAAGGAGTCTCGAAATTCTCTCGTCGAGGAAAAAAAAAAAAAAAAACGACGAAAGGAGCACCAGAAAAAGGAAACCTCCGCCGAGCGCAGCCACGGCGCGGAGACCGGCAGCATGCGCCAGAAACACACCCCCAACGGGAACCGACATGCAAGGCTTGCACACATACACACAAATGGAACAGGGAGAAAGAAAAGATGACTGGCCGGCTTTACAAGCTAATAACACCCGCCGCATATAACACCGTGCATCCACACGGCCCGAAGCAGGGGCCTGGCCCGGAAGCTGCGCCGGGCTCGCTGCGCCATGTAGATTAAAGACAACGGCCGGGTCGAGAAGCAAAGCAAAGCAAAGCAAAAGCATGGGAGAGCACCGCGCCGCGACGTCCAGGCTGGCCGGGCGCAGCTCTTGAACGGACCGATTATGATCCCCATCATCTACTATAGAGCTATTATCAATATTACTAATGGGCAGCTAAGTGCCCGTGGTGCCGTCCCGCAACAAGGAGAAACAACTACAGGGGTGTGCCACCTCGCCTATATTGCTCCTTACCATGGAACTCCCTTCAAAGGTTCGTCTTCGCTCGCCTTTACTGGGACTCTGACAGGGGGGAGAGGGGGAGGACGGAGCTCTCAGAGCGCCGGTTTCCTCCCGCTGAAGGTGCCTGCTGACTGACAATGCGGCACGCATGGGGGAAGAAGAGGCGGAAGCAAGTCCCGGGTAATGATTGATTCTTTTGCATTGTTCTCCATCATGTGAATGTGTCTGGACACGCTCCCTGGAAGGACGAAAATGTCCAAGGAGGTGGAAATAAAATAAACCATGCATGCTTCTTGGGGGTTGAGGGCTGCTCAGGCCGGGCCCCCCAATGCTTTCCTAATATCTCTGCTCTCCGGGGAATCAGTCCCCTTGGTAGAGAAGCCACTGGTAATTATACAAAGTTTTTGGATATGTTGCCTGCGACGCCAGGTAACAGTAGAAATGACGCCTGAACGGTTGAAAGCGCAAATAAAGATAAAAAGAACCAGAACCAATTGAGAGATAATTAGCCCACACCTTGAAAGCCCGCCTTTCCTGCCTTGCCCAATACAGCGAGCGACCCCTGACCCTTTTTCTACCTCACCACCGATTTTGAATCTTCGTCTCAGTTGGTCTCATCGCCCCGCCGCGCAGGCCCCCAAGGTGCCTCGGTCCGCTCAATGCCTGCTGCTGCCGCTGTAGTACTCCCTAGCTCGCTCGTCGTTCAGCTCCTGGCTTGACAGCCCCACGCCCTGCATCTCCTCGATGTCCGAGATCGTGTCGTTGAAGATCTTGACCAGCTGGTTGAGGACCTTCATACGGTTCCACTCATGCCTGGACAGCCAGATATGGTCCATCAGCTCGCGGTTGATCTGCTCCAGCTGCTCGATCGTGCACCCGGACGTGCGCTCGGTCAGGTCGTTGAGGAACTGCTGCACCTGCCCGTCGTGCACCACCGGCATATGCTGTGACGACGATGACGAACCGCCCGAGTTGCGCATGGACGGGTTGTCGGACACGGACACGGGATCGTTGAGGAGGTTAGGAAGGCCGATTCTAGAGGCCCGTCGGTCGGTTGGGACCTGCGAGGAAGTCGGGCTGGTCTGCACATTCGACGCACCGTACCCCACGTTGCTTAGCTTGCCATGCGCGAGGGCGTCAGCTTGGGAGTGCATCCAAGGTGAGTGGCTGGAGCCTGTGTGCTGACTCGGCCCAGATGCGTGGTCCCCAGGTGGCTGTGTGTCAGGCAGCTGCGAAGTGTTCTCCGCCTCGCCATGGAACCCATTCGTTGCCTGAGTGCTCCAGTTACTCGAAGACTTGTTTGTCGTCGACTGGTCGTTGGTCGTTGAGGCTTCGTTAAGCGCAGCAGAAGGCGAAACGCCTTGTGGCAGTGATGTCAGTGCCGACACCTGCGACAATTGCGACACCTGCGACACCTGTGATACTTGTGTCTCTCCCGTGATATTCTTAATCGCAAGAGTTGTGCTCGTGCGCTGATGCACCACAGGTGGCGGCCCCATCTGTGAGAATGGTTGTGTCGCTTCATCGCCGCCGCCCTCTTCCGGTAAGCGGGAGGGCACCGAGTTGCCGTTGCTCATGTGAGTATCTCCGGCCGCATCACGTTCTTCAGGGCTCATCACCCTGAACCGTGCCATCGTTGTGCTCTCAGGTGGCACAGGGGCGCCGATCATAATGGGGCCGACAGTTTCGCTGTCTTCGACCATGCCAATGGCGTTGCGCATCGCCGCCTTCTTCTTGGCCTTCTCGGCAGCTTCGGCAGCACGACGGAGCTGCCTCTCGTGAAGCGCCTCCCAGGGGCCCGGTCCGCCGAGGGCATTTTCAATCTCGCCCATGTCGACATCCACGTTGCTCTCCATTTCATTCGATTTGAGGATCTTGTCTTTATCGCCAACGTTCTTCGAGTCATGGACCAGCGTCTTGATGTCCCTGTAGAAGTCCTTGGGCCGGGCATAGTACCCGTTGGAAAGTCGCTCCTCGATGGTGATTAGCTCGAGATTGTAGTAGAACTTCCCAGTCTCGACTTCAAGCAGTCCTTCTGTCCCGTGGCTGTCTTTGGAGATTATGTATGGTCTGTGTTGTGGTACGTCGGGGCTGACATAGTTGGGGTCGGCCTCTTCAAAGAGATACCTGATTTTGTCGTACGGAATCATCGGCTTGTAAAACACGCGGTATTTCCCCTTCTTCAGCTGGTCCATGACAGGCTGCAGCCTCATCTTCAGGTGGTTCAGCAGTTGCCGGTCCCTCTTCAGCTCACTCTTAATTTCAGCCTTGGATTTGGGTTTCGGCGGCGGCGGCGGAGCCACGGGTAGTTCTTCGAGTACCCTCTTCTTCCTCGTAGACGGGTCGGGGAACTCGGAAGGCGACTTCTTGACATGCATAGCCATGTTGGAGAAGAACTCCATGCGATTTTCCTAGCCGGCCAGTCAGTCGTGCTGAGGGTAGGAAGTGAACGAGGAGAGCGACTTACGCTGTTGGGACGGGCAATTTCTACCCTATTCTTCCTTGAGAATGGGAACAAGGCCCTCAAGATGTCCCGGTCAAGCTCGCTCGCTTCACAATCTGCAGTGCCAAACAAAAGGACAGGCTCATACGGAGGTATATCCATGAGCATTGTCGTCAGGACCTTGAGAGCCGTGGCGCCCAGAGTCGCATACCATGTGTCTACGTGGGGTAGGTAAACCACGCTGGGCTTGTGGCGTTTCACCTCTGAGAACATTCCAGTTATGACCTGCTCAGGCGGCTGTGTCAAAGGCGTTAGCTTAGTGTCCACAAGGAGGGACCAGAATTATGACATACCCTTCCGTCACCAAGAATGGTCGCCAAATCGCAACGTTGTACATGCACCCTCTCAAAGTGGTGTAGGATCGCAGACGCAATGTAGTTTTGACCCATGCCGGGCTGGCCAGCAATCAGTAGCCTGGGCCTGAACAGACGCGAACGATCGAAGTCCTGTTGCAAGTTCTCTCGGCCAAAGCCATGGTCAGAATCCTCGTAAGGTTCGAACATGGCCTCTTCCAGAGCAGTGACCTTTGGCTTCAACGGCAGTATCGTCTTGACCGTCTCCTCGATCGCCGCGAACTGGTCGCGGAGAAGAGGTGCCACGGACTTTGGGAGGGGTGCTGCGCCTGATGACGCAGATCGTTCAGACGAAGGGACCATTTTCTTAATAGAGATCATAAAGTCCGTCGCGTGGATGCTGATCTTGCTGGGGTCCACTACAAGCTTCTGCTCGGAGGAGTATATCTGAGGATACGTCCTTTGGATAGCGTTGAGTGCGGCCTCAGTGCAGAGTGCCCGGAGATCAGCACCGCCGTACCCTTTGGTGTTTTCTGCCAGGCTCTTCTTGAAATCGGGTGAGAGACCCCAATCCTTTGTGTGAATATCAAGAATTGCCTTTCGGCCGTCCACATCGGGCAAGGGGAAGTAGAACTCTCGGTCGAACCGACCCGGTCGCCTGAGCGCAGGATCAATATTGTCCGGTCGATTAGTGGCACCAATGACGATGACTTGGCCACGTCCGTCCATACCGTCCATCAGGGCGAGCAGGGTTGATACAATCGAGGCGTGGATCTGTTCTTGCTTACTAGACCGAACAGGTGCCAGGCCATCGATTTCATCAAAGAAGATGATGCTTGGTTGGGTCTTCCTCGCCTCCTCGAAGAGCAGACGCAACTGCTTTTCGGCCTCACCCACCCACTTGCTGAGAGCATCGGCTCCTTTGCGCATATAGAATGTGATCTTCCGACCGCCGCTACCGATCGAGTTCGCAAGGGCTCTTGCGAGCAGAGTTTTACCCGTACCAGGCGGTCCATGAAACAGAACACCTCTGGGGGGCGTGACATGAAATTGCTGAAAGACCTCTGGGTAAAGCAGCGGCAGCTGCACCATCTCCTTGAGCTGGTTGATGTGGTTTGCTAGACCGCCCACCTGGTTGAAGTCCACATTCATGTCGACTCCGAGTGGGTCAGCATCTGCAAGTGCTTTCTGATTCTTGACCTTGCCCACATTCGGCGTCGCGCCGATTCCGAGGTTCTCCAGGTGGGTATTCGCCGCTCCTTGTGGCAGTCCCGGACCGGCAGCCGCTGTTGGAGTCACACCCACAGCACCGGGGACACCGTACCTAGCGCCCATCTCGTCGTCGCTGCTGTCAGAGTCGACACCTCCCGCAGCACCGGTGCCCCAGGGCCCTCCCAGCAGAGAGCCCAAGCCACCGGCTCCACCGAACGGGCCGTAGGTCGTGTTAAGGTACCGGTCCGAAGCCCCGCCATTACCGCGCTTCCGCCGGCCCGGTGTGGCAGCTGCAGGTGCTGGTTCTTCCTCCTCCTGTTCAACGTCCATCTGTTGGAACGGTCTTATCGTATAATCAACTTTGTTGCGTTTTCTCTTGGAGGGGACCTCATACGTAATGGGCGTAGATTGGCGCCGCCGGGCGGCACGAGTCTGGGAGCGAGATGTTCGGCGGAGATCGTCGGCCTCCTCAGCCAACTCGTCAGGATCAAGCATCTCGTCGTCAGTCTCTCGGGCCCTGCCCCGCTTTTGACTTCCGGAGGCTGCCCGTCTCCCACGCGACGGTCTACCGCTAGAGTACTCCCCGTCTTCGTCGTCGTCGTCATCTTCGGCGTTGGCGCCTTTTTCGGATCCGGAACCTTCACCACCAGACTCTTCTGGCTCAAAGTCACTGCTTTGGTCCTGGCTGGTCTTCTTCCCCTGGTCACTTCCCTTTCTCCTTAAACGATTTGTGCGCCGCTGCTGCGGACGTACGTCGGATTCGTCCTCACCGTCTTCAGCTGGAGGGGCACTGTTGCCTTGGCGGGAGGACCGGGTCATCCTACGCCCGATTTGGACGTCATCTGAGTCTTCCTCTGCTGCTTGCTCTTGTGGTACGGCGTCGTCCGCCCCATCCATGGCGACATCGCCTTTGACAGCTGTCGCTCCATCCTCACCCTCGTCCTGGTTGGACGGTGGCTCGGGAGCGGAGTCCTCCACCACGTCTGCATCGGCGTCGGCCTCCTCGACGGGTTCCTCTTGAGGTTGGAAACTAGTCTCATGGGATGCCTCCTCAATAGGCTCTGCAACGGGTTGTTTGATGCCCTTTGCTGCCCGAGAGTTGCGAGTGGCGCGGCTCAGCGTCTCCGGGCTCTTGCTCCTCGAGGCTGCCCGAGCTGCCTGCTGATGTCTCCCCGACGTCGTGAGTTCGACGAGCTCATCGCCTTCCTCTGTCGTCGCTCGGGTCCTACGAGTTGATGGAGCGGGTGGCAATGGTTCCTTTGCGCTTCGTCGGCTGGCCTGGTTGAGCTTCAGGGTGACGATCCTTCCCCTCAGCTTCGGCTTTGGTGTTTCCTCTTCATCGCCATCCGTGTTGACCACGGACTCGTTGACGATCTCATCGTCGCTCTCCTCCCGGTAGCTCGGATGATGGACGGCAGCCTTTCTTGCACGGCGGCCGGAGGCGTTGACGGGAACTTCATCGTCCTCGTCCTCCTCAGACTCGCCTCCGAAGGAATCCTCTCCCACACTATCAGAGAGTTCCTCGTCATCTTCGTCGATGTCTGAGCCACGATATCTGTTTGAGCGGGTTCGGCCGCCGCCGGACTTGCGGGATGCGCGAAGGGCCTTCTTTTGTCGTCTCGGGCGGGCCTCGGATGGATCGAAGTTCTCGTCCTCGGGGTCGGACTGATTTGGATCGAAGCCCTCGAGGGGATCCCTCTTCCTCTTACCCGGCGCCATGCTGTGCGAGTGAGCAAGGTCGGTGCGCGGCAGAGGAGGCAGAAGCACAGAAGCTGTTGTTTGGACCGGGGTTGAACAGCGCAGGATTTACAGGACTTTGCTGAGAATTAAACCCGCTTGGAGAGTACAATGCATGGAGATCTAAGGGCAGCTATGACTGCATCAGGAAAAGAGTTAGCACCTCGCATGCGCCATCACCGTGTTAGAGGGGCGGGAAGCTATTGTGGACAGTAAATGATCTGGAAAATGGATTGTGTGTGTGTGTGTGTGTGTGATGCAGGGTGGTATATGGTGGGTTGCGACATGGGCGGAAAGAGGTCGGGAAACTGTCAAGAGTCCAAAGTCAGGGGCACACACATTGCGATCCAGATGTGATATCTGCAATCAGTGGTTGATGGCAGGTGGTGTTGCTCGTGGGTGGCCGGCGTGCTGCCTAGCTGGTCGCCAGCGCGTCTCGGCTGCACTCACTGCACTGCACGTCGCACGCACGTCGCTGGGCAGCGCTTGGGTCGGGGACGGGTGCGGGACGGGGGCAGCGCTGCGAGTTGAGGTTGGGGAACGAGTGGGTGGGAATGGACTAGGGTGATGACCGGCGCATTGTGTGTGCACCGTCGAGAAATGAAACGATGCTGGAATGAGCATGCAGATGAGATGGATGAAGTGCAAAAGTTTGCTGTGATCGAGGAATGATGAGCGAGCAGCACTGCCTAGGCCTGACGGGAAGGTTGCAGCGGGCAGCGGGCAGTGGGTAGAGGGCAGTAGCAACAGGCAGTCTGCCTTCACGTCCACCCCTGCGAGTGGCCAAGCGGGACAGTAGCTGGACGCGTTCCCGGCGAAAAGCGGGTCTCGCACAGCCCCTCGCCCAATCACAAGCTGCAGGGACCTCGCCTCCGCTCGTAGCTCACTCACGTCCCGTGAATCACCAACTCCTGAGGCCTTGACGACAGAAACCACACACGAGCTGCAACGGCCGGCCAGGACAGCCACGATTACGGTGGATCATGTATGATGCACTGGTGACGATGCATCCTGATGCAGCGTGGTCAAATCTGAGGCCAATTGAGCGCATTTGCGCGATAATCGGAGGTATGGGTGTTGGCGACACCACGATGGCTTCGAAAAAAAAGAAAACAGACTACTGGAATGGGAAAGTTGTTTTGGCATGTGTCGTCACGTCATCTGCTGCTAGGTTTTCTGGGGTAGGGTGCCGCGCTGTCGGGACCACTCCACATGGGAGATGGGGATGGATGGGGATGGGCATGAGGCTCAACAGCTTCCGACGTGGGCCGCTCGCTGCTGAGGGGTCAGGGTCGGTCAGGATCTGGCAGATAGATCGGCCTCGGCTCTGCCCGACGCCCTCGATGCCCGATGCGAGATGTCCAGGCGCCACACGTCCCCGACCAAGGGCGACTGGCTGACGGGGCCCTCGCGGATGGAAACGAGACAGGAGAGCAAGGGCTGTCCAGGCTTGCCCGTACGCGACGTCTGGGCAGCAGAGGGTCGGCCTTGGCTGCCTGGCTGGCCCCCTTGCGGCCGGCCCCCCGTTCGCCCTCGACGAGTCCGCTGGCACGCCGGTCCGTTTTCAGAGAACCGTGTCCGGACTTTGCCGTGGAGTGCCAGCCCATCGACGTCCACATCTGACCTCAGTGAGCCTTGCCTGCTCGATACCATGGCAGGAAATCGGCCTGCTCCTTCTTTGTGTAAAATGTGCGTAGCAGAGAGTCGGTGGACAACCGGGAATGTCATGTAGATGTGAGGTTTTGCGTGATGCTTGTGGTGTGGACATCCGGACCCGTCGTGTCAAGGACCCCGCTTGCAGCTAATTTCGGGCCGTAAGAGCAGCAGTCCGTGGCACTCGAAAACCTCAGATTGGTCGACCCGGACAGTGGCCAAAACAGTCCCAGAGCTCGGGGCTGTCGTGTCTTCAACAGTACCTCCAGGTGGTGTTTCTGGAGTTTGGAGGGAAGGCCACAACAGCCTGCTGATATGCGGTTTCCCTGTCGATCTATGAGGTGCATTTTAGTTGGATATAAATTGCATGTTAGCAGGAACGGGTGGCGGTGCGGGTTAAACCCTGAACGTGTGTCTACCCCCCTCCCCAAGGGGGGTTCTAAGAGCGGCTATTCACTGCAGCCTTTGTCTATTATATTGCCATACATGCTTTATTTATATGCCTAATGGCTGCCAGGGACCAACAGCCATGATTGAGACCAGAATTATAGAGATAGGTCTTGTAATATACTGAATCCAAGAACCCCGGAACTGGCCTGGGATAGAATGCCGCTTTGCACTTGCGTGTCCGTTCCTTTTTGGCGACGATTGAGCAGACAGACTTGCACGTGGAAGCATGAGAGTAAGTGAGCAAGCAGTTCGCCCGTGTCTCGATTCCGTTTGAGAGCTAGCTTTGGCCTGAATGACATGGCTTCACCCACCTACTGGTGGTGGATGTTTCACCAAATGCTATGATGGAGTGCCCTCCTGCGTAGTTGATATGCAATTTTCCCAACCAGCCGTATGCCGCACCGCAAATGCCACAGGAATATCGGCCCCCGGCCACACACTGGATTGTTTTCGCCCAGCCCCTATCTACCGCCTCATCTGCCTGATCTTGGGAAACTCAAGCGGCAGCTTGAGCCGCGCGATGCAGTCCATCCTCCCCTCGGCCTTGACCCGCTTGATGGTGGCGCCGATCTCGTTGAAGTACTGGCTCATCTGCTTCTGGTCGAGGTGCAGGTCCTCCTTAAGGTCCCACGTGTTCGTCTCGAAGTTGTCGATGATGGACGCGAAGGCGCAGCAGTGCGTGACCAGCAGGTCGATGTGCTGCTTGCGCATGATGCCGTTGTCCGAGAACCTGCGGCGGACGGCCTCGACCACGGGCGGCGGCGCCGGGGCGAACTCCTCGCTGAGCTTGTCCTTCTTGAGCACCTCCCTGGTGCCCCTCTCCCTGCCCTTCTTGGCCGTCACGTACAGCAGCAGCAGGAAGTAGAGGTACCGCAGCACCCGCAGGCGCAGCACCGACTGCTCGCCCGACCCGACGCGGTTGATCCGGTGCGCCACGAACCGCGACCGCAGCTGGACGTCTTCGTTGTTCTTGACCGCCTCGGCCCAGTCGTTCACCTGTATCAGCTCCAGTATGTCCCTCCCGATCAGCTGCTCCGGCTTGTAGACGTCCTGGATCTCCTCCGCGTCGTAGTTGCCCCGCGGCACCGGCTTGGCAGCGTCCATCGCGTTCTGCAGCTCTTCCTTTGTGGCCACGCTCAGCGTGACGTCCTTGATGGAGGCCATGAGGGCCTTGTCCGAGGCGTCGAGTGTCTGAGGTGCGTCGCCGCCCTGCGCCTTGCGCGGGGAGATGGCGTTTTCCGTGATCGCTGCGAGCGCCTTCTTCGCCTTCTTGGTACCGAAGGTCTGACCTAGATCCGCCTTCAGGTTCATCATCGTCTGCGACAGGTCAGCTACGGTGCGAGCAATGGTGGATCGGGCACGCTGTACCTGTTTCAGCTTCCGCGACTGCATGTCCTCCTCAGGTGCCTGCTGAGCGCGGACAGAGCCCCTTATTGCCATCTTCTTCGCCTCGACCAGCTGCAATTGACCGCTGGCCGGGTCGTATACCCCTATGTAATGTTTCAGAAGCGGCTGCCCTGCCCCGACTGCTGGCTTGTCCTCCCGCGCTGTGTAGTCGACAGTCCTGTGGCTCGTGGAGTGGAGGAGGAGATCGTTCGTGCCATTTTTGGATCGTTTCGTGGATGGTCGAGAGTATGTGTTGTACTTGGTATCTTTCGAGACCGAAATACCCGTGGCCGTGGCAACTACTGGGGGAGACGCTTTCGGTTGAATGACGGAGCTGACTTTGATGGCGCTCTTTTTTGACTGAGACTTCTCAGATTCTGTGGCGACCTTCTTCTTCTTCTGCTTGGTCTCAGCGCCAGCATCGTCCCTGTGCTTCCTCTTCTTGCCGCTGTCCGCCATTGCGAAATTGGGAGCGGGCTTCCAGGAATTTGCTTGAATTTTTGGATGATACGGGGAAAGGGTCACGGCTCCGGAATTATGGTGGCCGTCTTATTCCCCGATCGATCGGTGGAAGCCGGGCTATTCAAAGAAAAGTACAGGCGGCATCTGGAACTCGGATGTGGAAATCTTTGGATGGATGCGAGATACTGCAGATAGAGACGGCCTACACTTTTTTTTCTGCCGCTTACCACCTTCCTAGCGCGTAAAGCTTTAGTCTAGGCCCCACTTCTCGCACATTTACATCATCGCAATAATGGTCGCATGCACACAGCCAACTTTTCGAGTTGAGGCTGATGAACAGCGAGCAGTAGACGTTGGGCTGTTGAAATGCATCATTCATGCCTTAAAGCGCACCACATCTGCCCGGAAAGATTTGCACTAGGCTGACGGGCACTACTGCGTGCACACGTAGGGCCTGCGGGCAGCTTGTTGCTCGAAGCGAGCAGGACGTTTACGAGTAATGTTGGGTCGCATCACAAAGCGCAGGAAAAGGCAAAATTGAAGCGAGCTTCTTTTTTTTTGATTGTCAATGTCTCTCTCAGTCTCAGTCTCACGAAGAGTTCCGTGAGCATATCAAGCTAGCGAGTTGGTTGGCAGTCTGTGTCGCAAACACTGGACCGTTGTCGACCTCCAATTGACGTAGTCAGCTCTCCCAGAGTGCATCAAAGGCCAGCACTGGGCGTCCTTCAAAAGTCCCTCCAAACTCCAGTCCTCCACAAAAACTTGGGTCCAGGAATCTCAGGAGATCCGATCCTCCCCAACACAGGCGAGTGGTGACCAGGCGGCGTGGCTTGAGGCGAGTGAGTGCTCAGGTGCTGATGATTTGTGGTTGTCATGATGATTCTGTGTGATGCTCAAGCTGGCGTGAGGTCGAGTGGTGCGAGTTGTTTACTTGCTGTGATGGGTGTTAGTGGCATGATGCAGGATAACAGCGAGATTCTGTCGGTTGGCTTGACTTACGACCTGGCCCTCATCTTTCTTCTCTTGCGCTTAAGGCGCCTCACGCGCTTCTTCCTCCACTTGGCTCTCATCGTGAACGATTTGGGCTGTTGGTGGGGTTAGCTTGCCGTTTGCATCAAGTGACGTCGGTTGCAGCAGGCCCGACGAGTGCCGTCGCAGGAGAATTAATCAGTTCAATTAAGATCAACTGATCAATTGCTCAAGCGGACGGCCGCAGTCACCGTGGCCTGGTTGTGGTACAACTTACTTGGTTCGTTGATGAGATGGCGTTGGATGGTCGGGAGAGAAAGTTCAAGAGGGGAAAGCTGCGACGCGCAGCTTTTTGAGTTGTGGACTGGCGGCAGCTCGAGCGGCCAGGGTCACGTGAGGGATTATGTAATCGCTCGCAAGGATCAGGCCTCCCAGGTCGGCGACGACCACGTCGGACGGCAGACTGAGACGGGCCCCGTTCATGTTTTGCCTGTTTTGCTTCTGAAAGGGACTTCTTTTCTCAGTCAAGAATCTCTGAGCTTCGATCATCAAAAAACATGAGTGCGGCGTCCTCAGAGACCGCGATGCTGCCGCTAGAGCTCACACTCGTCCTCGCAGCCACCCGGGACATGGGCATTGGCCTGCGAGGGACCCTCCCATGGACCGGGCTGAGAAAAGAGATGGCTTACTTTGCCCGGGTTACAAAACGTCTGCCTCCTTCTGTACGTCGGCAATTTTCGCTCGCATAAAGTATCCAGCCGCATGTCTACCTGCAAGTCTCACTTACACATGCGCAGGTCGAACCCCCTGTCATGAACGCTGTGATCATGGGCCGCAAGACGTGGGAGAGTATACCACCCAAATTTAGGCCGCTAAAGGGAAGACTCAACGTCGTCATCAGCCGGTCATTTGGTTCTCCTGCTGAAGAGCCGGCAAGTGTGGAGACAGAACCAGTCAAGGCTTCGTCCCTGGAGCAAGCCATCGCGTATCTGCAAGGGAAGCCCCAAGGAAGCTTGGGACGAGTATTTGTGATTGGCGGTGGTCAGATCTATACTGCCGCCCTGGAGTTGAAGGAAGCAAAGAGAGTCTTGTTGACAAAGGTCATGTCTGACTTTGAATGCGATACATTCTTCAGTCTCAAGTTGAACGATGAGGGAGAGTGCTCCCCAGGGTGGGTCAAGAGATCCAAGGAGGAATTGGACACATGGACTGGAGAAGTGGTCCCTGAGGGTACTCAGATTGAAAATGACACCTCTTATGAGTTTCAGATGTGGGAGAGGACGGGTTGATACCTCGTGATACCAAGATAATAATACATGATCAAGCCAACTCCAATGTGCAGTCCCTTTCCCTTTATGCAGCCTATCTTACTAGTTCTTACAAATTGGCCAGCGAGATTGAACGTCATTGACTACAATCTCACTTGAAACGGCTACTAGGCTTCGCCTGGGCCGGCTTGTCCCCAGACGCAGCCCCCTGGGTGGTCTGCCCGAGCAAGGCTGGCTCATCCACCAATTTCAGCTCAGCAGTAGGCTGCGTCTTAAATACGCTGCCACCGTGGTACAGCAGCGCCGGGTCGAGCATCTTGTCCAGAGACAGTGAGATCGACCTCATCCAGCTGACGATGGCCGCAACGTGCCTCATGTCGACGTTCTCGTCCGCCTTGAAGATGTTCCTCCACACCGCCGACGCCATCACGGCGTCGCCCTTGACCAGACCCTCGTCGTACGCCAGTATCACGCCCCTCCACGTCTGGAATAGGTTCTGCAGGTGCCGCTGGCGGATCATGCGCGACGACATGCCGTGGTTCACCTCCATGACGTCCTCGGCGTTGTGGAAGAAGTGGTTCACCAGCTGGTTCTGCCACGCCTGCCACTGGTTTTTCTCGAGGCACCGTAATCGCACGACTATGAGGTACAGGTGCAGCATGGTCACTTGCGACCATGTGCTGAACGTCGGGGGGAGACCAAACTCTGTGGGGCAGTCTGGTCAGCAATCGCAATTCGGCCTGAGGCTAAGCAGCAGGGGGCACATTGTACCATCATGCCAGACACCACCTCCAACACCAAGCTCCTCCCCATCCTCGGTCATCGGCACCTCCTCCTTCTTCCTCAGCTCCGGCGAGATCTTGTAGTTGGCTGGCGCAGCACACGCCTTGTAGATGCTCTCGGTGGCGCCGAAAATCTGGTATGGCTGAACCGCTTTCGAAGGCAGGATCTTACTTGCGATGCCCAGCAAGGTCTGCGCGATTCCCGGTTGCTTCTCTGGCTGGGGTGAGCCCTGCGATCGGCTCGGCGCGGTCTGGTGGAACTGTCGTGTTGACGACCTCGCGATCTCTGCGACAGCCGCCCGCTGGCCGACGGAGGGGCGATTGAGGTCGCGCAAGAGCCGTAGCTGGCGCCGCGCGACGTCGCGGCATGGCCTGCAAAGTCGGTCTGCCATCGTGTATTGAAAGGCGCGTGAAGAGGAAGGGGATTTCAAGAGGTAGCGAGTTGGCTGACCTGGTTGCTCCTCAAGTCTGGATTATAGATGTCATTGACGCTTAGCGCCTCGCCGTCAAAAATATTGCTGCAGCTAATCCTTGTAAACGCACTGCCGAGCCGGCACCGAACTGCAGACGGACGAGATATCCGTTGATTTCAATGGGACGTCACGTCTGTACATTCCACCCGTGGTGCTGTTTTTGGCTTTTTGGATTGGCCCGTTTCGAAAGAGAGTAATGATTTTACATTCTGGCAGGGCCACAATCCCTTACTTTGGCGGACTTTTGGAAATGCGTGGACCATCAGTGACCTACTGACTGCGCAAGATGCCACCCCACCAGCACCAGACCCTCTACCACAAAGGCATTCGATGACAAGGCACATGAACTTATGATGTGGAGTGATATTTGGCGCAAGAAAGGCTTTTCTAACAAGGACACAGCGATTTTATATATTTCGCCTAGAATCCGCCGCAGTTTTAGTTGTGACCTGGTATAATGGGATGGTAGAGTTCTGTCAGAGCTGAGACATGCCCGCCATCCCAAGAATCCACTAGACCATTTCCTGGGCCTGCGAGGGTGTCATTTATAGATAGTTCAAGCAGGCCAGCTAGGCATGATTCTAGAATGCAAATGAGTAATGTACAATTTCTCACTGGACTCCGGGTGCAGTTGCAATTCAAAGACTGTAATTTCCCAGCGACACCGGTCACCATCGATATAACGTGTGTGAATGTTAGTCGTACTGGTCAATTACCTGTAACGTGAAAAGACCAGGGACGCATTGGTCCCACCAAACCCGAAAGAATTCGAGACAGCAACATCAACATGCTTGTCTTGCGACTGGAGAGGTACAAAGTTGAATCCTGTGCCGACGTTTGGATTGTGCAGGTTCAACGTCGGAGGGACAGCGTTCTGTAATCGAGTCAGCAACAGGCGTGGCAGTGAAAGCATTCCGAGGCATCTTCTCACATCAGCGATGGCAAGCACACAAAATAGAGCCTCGATCGCACCAGCTGCACCGAGCAAATGGCCAACCGCACCTTTGGTGCTGCTGACGGTGACCTGGCTTTCCTTCTCGAGGCCATCCTCGCCCATCATCAGGGTGCGGACCGCCCTAGCCTCCGCCGCATCTCCAATGGGGGTGCTCGTTGCATGAGCGTTGATGTAGTCGACCTGGCGCGGCCTGATGTCTGCATTCCTCAGGGCCCGTTTCATGGCCAGCATGGCCCCCGAGCCGTCGTCCCGGGGCGCTGTCATGTGATGGGCATCGCCACTGCAGCCGTAGCCAGCCAGCTCGGCCAGAATGTTTGCACCTCTGGCCTTGGCGTGCTCAAGCTCTTCCAGAACGAGAACAGCGGCACCCTCTGCGACGACGAAGCCGTCGCGGTCCTTATCGAAGGGGCGGCAGCTGGAGCTGGGATCATGGTTGAAGGAGGTAGATAGGGACCTCGACCTTCCGAAACCAGCGAAAGTCAGGGGGTGCAGGCAAGACTCCGCACCACCGGCGATCATGACATCTGCATCGCCAAAGGCAATGAAGCGGGAAGCGTCCCCAACTGAGTGGGCGCCGGTTGTGCAGGCGGTGGTGGCAGAGTGATTGGGCCCCTGAAAGCCATACTTCATGGAAATATGACCGGCCGCGAGGTTGATGAGGATCTTGGGAACAAACAACGGAGAGACCTTCTTGTAACCCTACCTATAGTCTTAGCTTTTTCTTTCTCTTCCCGGCCGAGATGCGGTCCAGGAGTCCAGGCTCACATCTTTATCGAAGACGACGCTAGTCGAGTACATCTCGTCCAGGTTGCCTATTCCACTCCCGAGACAGACTCCGGTAGCCTCCAGGTCGGCCTGCCTGGAGGGTCTCCAGCCAGCATGGTCGAGAGCCATGCTGGTAGCAGCGACGGCATACTGGGCGAATCTTGACATGCGCCTCTGCTCCCCAGCATCAAGCCAGTCTGAGGGGTTCCACATGCCATCTGTTTTGCTGGTGTTGCCACTGGGCACGACTCCGGCGACAGTGCTGGGAAGGCCTTTCCACCGGGTCTGAGGCTCGAACCCAGAGACGTCAACGATGCCTGACCCCCCAGCCAAGAGGCGCTGCCACGTCGTGGTGGCGCCAACCCCCAGAGGGCTGATGGCGCCGAGACCTGTCACGACAACTCGTCGCATGCTTCCATCGCCCAGGCAGAGTCCCGTTCCTGGCTTGGTGCTTGGTGTGCTTGGTGTGTGGCACGTGGAAGGCCCAAGACTTCTAGATCGAAACAGTGGCTGGCAGCAAGTGGGTTTTTGTTTGAGACGAGGAAGCTTGGATGAGTTCAGACGGGATGCCGTGGGGTATGGAGAACCAGATGTTTAAGTTCTGGTGAAACTGGCGAGCCGGAGTTCACGTCCAGTTGCCAAATTGATGCTGGTGCTGGCTCCCGCTTGCTGGCTGGCAGTTTAGACGCCCCGACTCGGTATACTCCCGTCCGTACCGGGACTAGTAGTGCCTCTTTCTCCAGAGCACGCACCTGACAAGTCCGCAAGGGGCAGGCGGTGAGACCTGCTGGGCGTTTGGTGTTTCTAAATCTAGACCTGAATAGGCGCGGCCCAGGCCCAGAGGCCGTGGTCAGGGGTGGGGCCTTGCGTTAGTACTCGGTACGACCTGGACCCTGACGACGACAAAGACGACGCAAGTCCCACTGTTGTACGTACCCCTGGCCTGTCTGAGGCGAAGGGGCTCCTTCCCCAGATTTCCCACGACAGGTGTTTCCTCGAGTCTGTCTGTCTGCCTGTCAGTCTGTCGGCCACGGTGGATCTTGCTTCTTACCTTACCTACCTGACTTACCTGAACTCTTCGGATGCTGCATTTGAGGCGTTTGTTCCCCCATCTCGTGCTTCGTTCCTTGTGCTCCTTATCACCGCCGCCGGGTAAGCACTTATCTGGCCTTCCTTCCTTCGCATCTCCTACGAATCCTCGTGAGATCAACGGCCGTCGGCACTCGATTGTTTCTGTTTCACATGCACTGCATTCTCCAGCGCGCAACCAACCTCGAAAAAGCTTCGCATTGAGTAGAGATCACATCTGCCCGTATCTGCCCGGCCCCCATTGGTGACGGCGCATTGGCGGCATCTGGAGAGTTGGACCTATCGCAAGGGTGCATTCAGACTTCAGACAAGAACCATCTTGACCGCGCCGGCTTCTTGCAGCGTAGTATCGCTCTCCCGATCTGCTGTAACGACGAACCATCCAATATTTCCTGCAGTAATCACGCCTGCGGTACAGCACAAACACCCGGCATCACCAGTTTATGCAATCTGTGCTTGCCGCAAGTCGGTTTCAGCCTGCCCAGATTCCGTTTCTGGCCCCTTGTCGGACGGTGGCCACAAGCAATCACAAGCCCTGCGGCTGTCCTTGCCCCAAGCCTAGCGACAGGGAAACACCACCACCACAATCTGGAATTCTGCCTTTGCATGAATCCACTGCCACGTACCTAATCGGCAGTGTGCCTTCCCATGAGCACGCGCGCTTTCGGTGCTCTGCAGACTCGCCATCCACCGGCCGTCTCTGTCCTCCCACAACCCGCATCTTTAGTCCAACACTAGGTTTCAGCGTCTCAGTCAACCGTCCCCTACCTCCATCCCGAGGATCACGCGTGGCAACCTCCAACTGACAAGCCTCCCCGGCTTGCGATCTGCCGCTGTTGCTCAAGCATTCCCGGCACTCTGGCTCCTGAGAGACTAGCCACAGGCCAGGACATCGGTTGAAGCCCCGGGAAACAAGCTTTCCTGAGCGGACGGCGAATCCCAACGCAGCTTCTTATCTGGCAGCATACTTTGGCGTTCTTGCGTGACGCTTCATGTCCGTCTGGGATTGACCGAGACTGGGATCGACCGAACCGCAGCCTCTGAGCCGCACGTCGTACCAGTACCGTCAAGGCGATAATACTTGTTGGACAGCCAGACATCCCCTATATAGCACCCACCCCTCTACTCACATCCACCCCTGGGCCCGATCAACTTGCCTCGCTCTCCCTGTTCTCGGCCCCTACAACATGGGCCAACCATATAGTGACAAGCCGTCTGGTACGGCATCAAAGTCAGATATGGCAGGAAGCGATAGCAACTCGAGCTCAAAGGTTGATGTGGTGGAGGTCAGTGGGAGGGAGGCGGAGGCATCAGGGTCAACATTCGACACCCCTCTGGGCCGTCGGATGAGTCCTGTCGATGACCTCAAGCACCGCCTCTCGCTATGGGGTGAGTCTAACCTCCAACCAGAAGACAGTGACGAGGAAGGATCAGAATACGAACTTCTCTTAGATCCCAACCTTCCCGAGGAGTATACACGGCCGACAGTAGGCCTCCCCCGTGCCTCGTTGGCCTCGCAATACTCCGACGAGGAGAAGATCCCGAACCTCAACAAGGAGGGAGAAGAGGACTCGCCCTACCCCGAGGTCAGGGCTGCCGTCCGGAACTATGATGTTGACGCACCTTGCAACACCGTGAGTATACCTGGTCATCACAACGCAGCATGTTCACTGACCACAACCAACAGATCCGTGCTTGGACAATAGGGCTTATTCTTGTCGTCGTTGGCGCCTCCATGAATACCTTGTTCTCTCTCCGAAACCCTGCCATCGGACTCGGTGCCTTGATTGCCCAGATTATTGCGTGGCCCATGGGCCACGGATGGGCCAAGGTCATGCCTACTCGGAAATTCAACACCTTCGGGCTGCGGTGGTCGCTGAACCCGGGACCTTTCAACGTCAAGGAGCACTCTATCATCGTGGTCATGGCCAGCGTCTCGTTCTCCGTTGCCTATGCGACTGATATCATCCTTGCTCAGAAAGTGTTTTACAAACAGGATTTCGGAATACCCTGGCAGCTCATGCTGACCATCTCGACCCAGTCACTCGGGTATGGCATCGCTGGCATCATGAGGAAGTTCCTCGGTAAGCATTGCCCCCACAGAATGGCTCTCACGTAAACTAACAAGGACCAAGTCTACCCTGCGGCGATGATATGGCCTGGAAACCTGGTCTCTGTGACATTGATGAATGCCATGTACGAGGGCAATGAGAGTCCTGACCCCACCGTGCTTGGTGGAAAGATGCCCCGTTATAGGTGGTTCGCATACGTTACCCTCGGCGCCTTCATCTATTATTTCATCCCTGGCTACCTGGCTCAGTTTCTAAGTACCTTTGCGTTCGCCACTTGGATCGCCCCGCAGAACCCAGTCGTCAATCAGCTCTTTGGCTACACGACTGGCTTGTCCCTGGTTCCCATCACTTTCGACTGGTCCCAGATCGCAGGTTTCGTCGGCTCACCTCTGATCCCACCTTTCCACGCCATTGCCAACACCCTCATTGGCGTCGTCCTCTTCTTCATAATCGGAGCGTCAACCTTCCACTACACGGGTGTTTGGTTCGCCGAATTCTTGCCCATGAGCGACTCTTCCACCTACGACAACACGGGCTCGCCCTACAACACGTCCCGGATCTTGACCAAGGACTTCACCCTGAATCAACAGGCATACGAGGAGTACTCGCCTCTCTTCATCAGCACGACCTTCGCCATGTCTTACGGCCTGTCTTTTGCTGCCATCGCTTCCCTCATCGTGTACACGTATCTACACCACGGAAAGATGATTTGGAATCAGTGGAAGAACTCCAAGACTGAGGACGATGACATCCACATGAAGCTGATGAGGAAGTATCCCGAGGCTCCAACCTGGTGGTACATGAGCTTGTTCGTCCTGGTAAGTCTGTCCTGCCCCGATGTGAGAGACAGCCCAATCTTACGATTGAATTTCAGATGTTGGCCATCGGCTTCGTGGCCGTGCTCGCGTTCCCCACAAACCTCACGTGGTGGGCGTTCTTGCTCGCTGTCGGCATCTCCTTCTGCTTCTCTTTGCCCATCGGAATCATCCAAGCCATCACGAACAACCAAATCGGCCTGAACGTCCTGACCGAATTCGTGTTCGGCTACATCCAGCCTGGACGCCCCCTTGCCCTCATGATTTTCAAAACATTCGGTTATATCACAATGAGTCAGGCGCTCAGTTTTGTGGGAGACTTGAAGTTTGGACATTACATGAAGATCCCACCACGGACTATGTTCATGTCCCAGGTGGTGGCAACAACGTTCTCGTGTTTCATCCAGATCGCGGTCCTCAACTCTGCACTGACGGCCATCCCGGAGGTCTGCACGACGACTCAGCGCGAACACTTTACCTGCCCAGGCGGCAAGGTCTTCTTTTCGGGTAAGAGGATGCCCCCGTCGATATGACGATATGTCAGAGGTACTAACTGCGTTCCAGCCTCGGTCATTTGGGGTCTTATTGGGCCTGCCCGCATATTCTCGCCTGGCCAGATCTACTCAGGCCTCTTCATCTTCTTTGGCGTCGGTGCAATCGTGCCTGTCATCATCTTTTTTGCCTCCAAGAAGTGGCCCAAGTCCCCTATCAAGTACCTGATGGCGCCGCTCATCTTCGGTGGCGCGGGTAGTATCCCGCCAGCCACGCCACTCAACTACCTGACATGGGGCATAGTGGGCTTCGTGTTCCAGTACTACATCCGCAAGCGCTATTTTGCCTGGTGGAGCCGCCTCAACTTCCTGACGTCCTCCGGTCTCGACCTCGGCCTCGCCCTCAGCACCCTCACCATCTTCTTCGCATTCACTCTGAATAACATCGACCCTCCCAACTGGTGGGGAAACAACGTCATCACCACCACGATGGACTTCACCGACACGGCTATTCAGACCGTGCTCCCAGAAGGGCAGACATTTGGCCCGGCGAAGTGGTCGTGATGGATGAATCCTAGATAGAAGCTCACTGTATATTTTTCTCTATCCGGTGCACATGGGGGCTCCCTCGCGGGAGCGGCAAGGAGTTTTGGGTAATGGGTGGGTGCGCTTTCGTCTACAAGGTGTTTGGGTACACATCATGGTGTATGAAGGTGGTTCACGGCGCCTGATGGTATGAGGTTCAAATTAGTTTTCTTACCCTAATACGAACTTAACGTCTCTGAAATGTGTTTGTCCTTTTTGCGTCAATGTATTCTGCCTCGGGAGGCTCATCACAGCAGCACCGTCGACTCCGAGTCGTATCCGGGTCGTCACTCCCTGCCTCTCTATCTCCCCCATGGAATCACACCAAAAATAGCTACAGATTTGAGATGTCTCTCCCCCTTCTTGCGCCCCTGAAGGGTATAGGCAAGAAGGTGGAGATGCCCCCCCTCCTTGCGCCCCTAAAGGGTATAGGCAAGGAGGAGGAGAGATTTTATTCTTGCCCTTCGTCTGACCGTGCCTGCAAGGAATCGAGAGTCCATGTGACGGAGCGGTCAGAGCATGAGGCATAGTATCTGATCAGTTCGGTATCTCAGAGATACAAAAATTGGGTTTGGTCTTGGCCCCGGGGGGTGATGAGTTGTCTCCTAAGAGACATGAAAGAACAGTGTTACGACTTTTGCCCCCGGGGCTTGTGGTGGTATGGAGCAAAAGGGAGTTTCGTTGTGGTCATGGCACAAAATCTTTTTATATTTCAAGAATTTCGCATTTGTGACTTGGACTGGCGCTTGTCAGTCTCGTTCGACCCATGGCTCGCTGGATTTACTGGTACGATTATAAGTCATCGATGGGCGCTCTTGATATTCTTTAGCATATTTTAGTGCGACCTATCATGTGTGACGATAATGTACTGTATGTACTCATGGACTGACTGGTTGGAAGGTCTAATCAGACATCTGGAAGTACTGATTTTACTGCTTTTCCCCCAATTCACTGCTCACTTTTTGGTTGTCCCTTCGCGATGGAAAAGCATCTCATAGGATGCAGCACTCCATGCAGTAGCTTTTGACGACTACTACATACACTTGTCTGGTGTTAGTTTTGTTAGTTTACGGAGTATTGCTCTTTTGTTCGGGCAAATTAGAGGGCCTGCTTGTAGTACGTGCCACGGTAACAGCGAGCTAGGGGAGCTCTGGAGCTTGAGCTGGTCCAGACCCCTGTCCCCTGTCGGGCAAGGCTCATCAATTGGGGAGACCCGGACACCGATCGGTTCCCAACGGGATCTTGGTAGGGCCAAATTATTTCTCGCAGTCCCGCGACAGCACTGGAGACTTCCCTCCGCCCTCGCACCCGCCCACCACGTCGCCTCGCGCCCGCCTCGCCCCTGCAAACATCGCCAGCTCGCCTGCACTCCCCATATCGAGGGGTCGCCTGTCACGAGTTACCGACGATGGCTTCCCTCGCCTCTGCTTGCCGCCTGTCCGCCAGGCTGGCGCGGTCCAAATTGCCTCACGAGGCAGCTGCTCGGGGTCCGTAATCAGCCATGATTCCCCTCCCCGGACATCACACCACCACATGCAATGAGCCTCCATACTGATCCCACTTGTCGTCGCGCGCAGGCTTCCGGACATCGGCCTCCTCCCTCGCCGCCCAGAACTTCACAATGCCTGCATTGTCCCCCACCATGACCGAGGGCAACATCGCGACCTGGAAGGTCAAGGACGGCGACAAGTTCTCCGCTGGTGACGTCCTCCTGGAGATCGAGACCGACAAGGCGACGATGGACGTGGAGGCTCAGGACGACGGTATCATGATGAAGGTCCTGACGGGCGACGGCGCCAAGGGCGTGCAGGTCGGAACACGGATTGCCGTGATCGCCGAGGAGGGCGACGACATCAGCTCACTCGAGATCCCGCCCGAGGACACCCCGAAGCAAGCGTCTGCCCCCAAGGCACCAGAGAAGAGTTCCGAGCCCGCGCCAGTACCACAAGAGGAGAGGACTGCATCAGAGCCTGCCAAGCACGGCGCCAGAGGCGGCGGAAAGGCCCAGAAGCAGACCTACCCTCTGTTCCCCTCGATCATCCAGCTGCTCCACCAGAACGGCATCGACGAGTCCAAGATCCACGAGATTCCTGCGACGGGGCCTAAAGGCCGTCTGCTGAAGGGTGATGTGCTGGTCTATCTTGGCAAGGCCAAGGCCGACTCCGCCTCTAATGTGGAAGAGATATACAACAAGCTGTCACACCTGGATCTTAGCAATATCAAGGTGGCCGAGAAGAAGGTAGAGAAGAAGGGCGCGGAGAAGCCAGCCAAGCCGGCTGCGCCTGTGGTCGAGGACCTGCAGGTGACCCTGCCCATCTCTCTGGCGCAGGTCATCGAGGTACAGACCAAGGTGCAGGACACCCTCGGCGCGTTCCTGCCGCTGTCGGCCTTCATTGCGCGCGCCACCGAGGTCGCCAACGACGAGCTGCCCCTGGCCGCTGACTACAAGCCGTCTGCGGACGAGCTGTTCAACCAGGTCCTTGGCCTGGACACAGTGAGCCCCCAGGGCTCCAAGGGCCACTACCTCCCCCAGATCTCCGCCCTGCCACCACCACCATCCCTCTCCCAGAAGACTTTCGCCACAGCCAAGCCGGACATATATGACATCCTCACAGCGGGCCCCGTCAGCAAGAAGGCGCCCGCCCCATCCAGCCGGCCGGCTGGCCTCTCTACGGGGGTGAACGTGTTTTCCCTCAAGGTGCCCAAGGCCGAGGAGCAGAGGGCAAAGGTGTTCCTCGAGCGGGTCAAGATGGTCCTGGAGAACGAGCCCGGCCGGCTGGTCCTGTGACAGCCATAATACAGCACACAGAAAGCCGGGGCGATACTAACATGCGCACACATTGTACGAATACCAATTTGCATTGAATAGACATCGTGGCAAGCGTTCATGCACGGAGGCATCAGATCAAGATTTTGGCCAAGAGTGATTGTGGCATATTGTAATGGCCTCTTCTCGTTCCAAGTCTACTGGACTCGTAGTTGATTGAATCAACGCCCCGGTGACACCTTGTGCGCATTATCATCAGCTGAGCGTCACCCTGGGGCGGGCCAATCGGCTCTCGACTCCGGAGTCCGGACTCGGGAGATAGCTAATCGGGCAGGAGGCCGGATGTCGCCGTAGATATAGGCTTTCAGAGCGCATCCCGGTTCGGCATGCCCAGCTGCAGGCAATGTCCACCAACGGTCCCACCGTAAGTAAGAATCCCTACAAATAGACGTGCAGACGGCCTTTGCACACCCTGCACATGGATGGCAAACCGATGCGGCTCTTTCGCCAAGGGAGCATTGCCCCTGCTCTAGATAAGACATCACGACGTCCTCTCATAACAGCCTCCGATATAGGGGCAACGAAGGAGTGGCCAAAAATTAAGAGTGTTCATATATTGTATGATCTTGTTGCTCACATGGTTCGCTCAAAGGCGCACACATAATCAGGGCCCCTTCGGCCAGGTATCTCCGTCTCTCCAGCTTACCAGGCCAGCACGCCCGCCCAACTGTACGGGGTTGCTCGCCTCATCGAATGTTGCCTGCTCGCCAGCCTCACAGCCAGACAGCCGTGGCCGCCGTGGCCGCCTCGCCGCCGTCGCGCACCAGCCTCGTCGAGGCGACCTCCCTGAACCTCGACCCGTCAAAGGCGAGGATGACCACGAGCCCCTCCTCGCTGTCCGTCAGGGCGATGAACTCGTCGCTGCCGTCCGAGACGAGCGGGCCCGGCGCGGGCTCGATGGCGTTGGCCAGCCCGCCGCTCGTGCGCGTCTCGAAGATGTCGACCGCGGGGCCGGCGATGCCGCCGTCCGCGTCCAGCTCGTAGGCCGCGACGTACCCCTTGGTGCCGGGCTCGAGCCCCCGCGTCGAGGCGTACAGGTACCGCGGCGCGTTGTTGTTGGTGGTGTGGTGGGCGTTGCTGACCCGCACCTCGTCGGCCCAGAAGTCCTCGCACCGCTGGCCCTCGGGCAGGATGGTGAAGCCCTGCATGTGCTCGAGCGTGACGCCGTCGGCGGCCACGCGGAAGGCGTCCACCATGCCGCTGTGCTCCTGCACGCAGTACAGCACGCGGCCGCTCGGGTGCGGCCAGGTGTGGCGGGGCCCGTCGTTGGGCCGCGGGGAGATGTGCTTGGTGCCGAGGGTCAGGGGCCCCGACGTGGTCGTCGCCGCCTTCGTCTTCTCGCTGGTGCCGTTGGTTGTGCCGTTGGTGGTGGCGGCAGCAGCAGCAGCAGCACTGGGCCCGGACTCGTCGACCGAGTACGTCCAGATGCAGTTGTGGCCAATGTCGGCGACGTACAGGCTCTTGCCGTCGGGCGAGAGGTCGACCGAGTGCGAGCCGTGGCGCAGGCCGCCGAAGCTGCCGTGGGCGACGCCGTCCCGCCTGCCGTCGTCGAGCTCCTCGGCCCTCCGGAACGACACCTCCTGCGCCAGGTCCCCGATGCTCCCGTCGGGGGCCAGGCTGAACACCTCGCCCGAGGGGCCCCCGGCCGAGTACAGGTACCTGTCCGAGACGGCGACGTAGCCGCTCAGGGCGCGGACGGGCTTCGTGTTCAGCAGCTCGACCGAGGCGTCGTCGCGGATGCGGTACGACGCCACCGAGGGCGGGTCCGTCCAGCACGTCGCGTACAGCCGCGTCTTGTCCGCCGACAGGGCCAGCCACGAGTGGCCGCCCACGGCCTTGGACCTCTTCGCGACTGTCAGGGAGGCGTCGTCCTTGCCCGGCCGGCTGGGTGGCTTGAACAGCAGGGTGTAGACGTCGGGCGTCCTGAAGGTGCCGACTAGCAGCAGGTGACCATCTTGGACCATCGTCTAAGGGGTTGACAGGGTCGTGTGTGTGTGGGCGTCTTGTGCCAGGAGAGGTAGAGGAGGGGTCACAACGCCCGCACCATATATGTACCTAGGTATGTATGTACGTATGTATGCACCGTATTTGTGGACTAACACGGGTTGGACCCACTGCCGCCGGGTCGGATATCAGAGGTGCGTGTAAATGGTTGTGTAACCTGTTTAACCGGGACACAAGCGACGAGGGAGGTCTTTAAGTTGCGCACAAGATGAGTTATGATAGAAATTAAAAAGCAAGATCGATGAATAGACGGCGGTATGTGGTCGATCAACAACCCGAGTGTATATCTTTAATATAATTTGGGGAATGGTTGCTCCGATACTTTTGCGGGAATGTGGTGCCAGGTGGAATTCTGGGTCTACATCATTATGTGACAAGGCCGGATAAGGGGCAGAGGCTGCGCATCAACGGGCTTCGTCATAGAACAGGCGGTATCACACGAGCGGAGAGAAGGGCCGACCCGGTAGAGGAGAGACAATTCAACAACCAATTGTGAGTTATTCAAGGATAAAGTCTCAACGGAAGATCGTCTCATGTCCTGCAGGCGCCAGTTGGGGAGAAAAAGGAGGGTATATCAGCAATCATTCAGCAAGTCGGCCATGGTGAGACGTTGGGTTTGTTAGCCGCCACTGCTCCGTTTCACGCATTCCGTAACACGCCTGTAGTAGAGCAATGGCGGGGCCATGGTGCCGGTATGCCAGTGCACATCATGGCTTCGGTGCTAAAACTAGCGTGGCCTGTACGGCACTTCATTTGGGTCTGTGGTTTCTCCATTAACACGACTGTGATAATCGTGAGTCGTGACGGCAGCTGGTGAAAGGCAATCGATCGGATGTCGGGTCTTGGGTGCGCCTTCCGACGCCGTTTCTTTTTCTTCTTCGGCACATTTGACGCGCCCACGGTCCCGCTGTCCCGCCGCAGCAGCAAGCAAGGTTTGGTATTCGCTCCGATTCCGACTCGCCAGGTTCGATGCTTGCTTTACACTACACAATAGCTCCTTGTCAAGCTTCCGTACACGTGGTGGCCTCATCGTCCGATGTTCCGGTTGGGAGATTCCCGCAGCTATCACCGGAAACCTACGTTGCGTGATGACGTCCAAACTCTCAATTACCTAAATGTATATCCGGCCTTGGCACCTCATCAGCACACCCCCCTTCACTCCCCCGGTGCCCGTCCTCACCAGGTCCTAACCCTCTCAGACATGTTTCGAGAGCTCGAGGTTACAATCAAGACTCAATTCGTCCATGCTACTACAGTAGTATGCAGCATCTCCATAATCACGTATGCAGTCAGCCCGGCAACTGGGCATCGTTATCAAGAACCTATCACAACAACACTCGTTGTTAATCCCCGCACTTTTGTGCCAGTTGATACGGCATGACAAGACACGGCGGTATCAGCTGGGCATGGGTGACGATATGCGCCACGTCCCAAGATGGGTGCTCGGATATATAGCCCGTCGTCAGCCTGGGCGACGAGGGTGAGTGTTGCAAGACTAATTGTCACGGTCTTTGACTGTGAATGGAGCCATTGACACCGTCTGGCACTACTCTGTAATCATGGGAGGGCAGGATCTGACCGATGAAGCGGCATGGCCTCCCGGGACCGTCCGCCTCGAGAGGTTGCTCGCAGGCAGCGGGCAAGCCTCCCAGGACGAGATCATCCTGCTGCCGCGCCCGAGCAGTGACCCAAACGACCCTTTGACGTGGCCAAAATGGAGGAAGTACCTCAACTTTGGCCTTGCGACCTTCTACGCCATGATGGCGTATGGCCAGATCAATGCGACCACGCCCACATGGGGCCCAATGATGGACGAGCTTGGCTTTGATGCTGTTTTGATGTGAGTTCCCACAGCCATCAGTTGGAATTGTCCTCTGTTCCTTTATTCTCCATATTTTATTAGTTCTGGTGCTTTGGACCGGCTTTTTCGACGACGCTGCAGGAGCATCCCATGCTAATTGTGAACGCAGGAACAATACGTATGCCATTGGGTGCGCGACCCTCGCATTAGGAAGCTTGATGCTCATCCCGTTCGCCCTCAAGTACGGCCTGCGTCCAATCTACATTCTCAGCAGTGCCGCCCAGATGGCCATTATGATCTGGGCCGCCCGTACCGTAACCGGGGCCGACTGGTGGGGGGTCAACGCGCTGCAGTGCTGGGTGGGCTCGCTCGCCGAGACCATGGTCCAGATGACTGTCGCCGACGTCTTCTTCGTCCACCAGAGGGGCTTGATGAACTCCATTTACGTGTGGGCGAGTAATTTTGGCACCAGCCTGGCGCCTGTTGCTGCCGGGTTCGTCACAGCCTCCATGGGATGGAGGTGGGTGTGGTGGTGGTTCGCCATCTTCTTTGGGGTCGTCCTGGTTGCATTCATAGTTGGTTTCGAGGAATCGAAATTTGACTGGACCGCAGCTGTCGTCCATGGCGTCGTTCCGTCGTCGAACGAGGCCGGCACCATGAGCAGCTCCGAAGTTCAGGCCGACAGCAAGGGGCCGGCTTCAGACCCTGAGAAGGAGGCTGTCTCTGAACTGGTGCCGGGCGGGGGCTCTCTCACGGCTGTGCAGATCGATCCGTCTGTACCTCGTAAAACGTACCTGCAGAGACTCAGTTTTACGACCAAAACACCAGGGCCATTCAAGTTATTCGCCAGACACGCGTATCAGCCTTTCCAGATACTCTTTACCATTCCCGGAGTGGCATACATGTCCCTGGTCTATGCTGTGCTCTTGGCTTGGTCGACGGTCATGGCTGCTGCCCTCGCCACGTACATGATCCTGCCGCCCTATAACTTCAACTCGACCCAGATCGGACTCATGAACCTGGCCCCTTTCATTGGCAACACGCTGGGGTCCTTGATCTGCGGGCCCATGAGCGACTGGGCCATCCTGCGGCTGGCAAAGAGGAATCACGGTGTCTATGAGCCCGAGATGCGACTCTGGATATTCGTGCCGTTCATCCCGTTCCAGGTGGCGGGTGCCTTCTGGTTCGGTAAGAAACCCCTCCCCGGTGTGGCCGTGCCTTGTTCCTGCATATGCAGCCTGCCACGCAGGGCCGGTCCGCAGGCTGGCATCTAGGCAAGAGGCCCCTGAGAGAGGCCGCTTGGCCTGCTGTGACCACCATCCCAAGCCATGGGAGCCAATAAATCTACGCGAAAGGCAATTTCGCCTCTCAGATACGGATCAGGATCAGGCTGCACTCAATTGTTCCTTTCGTGTGGGGTAAATCGTACTGACGGCATGAGCAGGTCACGCCCTGCAGGACGGTCAGCCTTGGGTGGCCGTGGCTGTCGCGCACGGGATGACCAACCTGGGGTCTGCTCCGATCTCGAGCATCGCCCTGACCTACATGACGGATGCCTACAATGAGGTAAGCAACAGCATCTGTCTCACGTGGCTCGGAAGGACGGTGCTGACAGAGGCATGACCAGATCATCGGCGACGCCCTGGTGGCTCTCACATTCTCGCGGAACACGATGAGCACCATCTTTGTCTTCGCCATGACCCCGTGGATTGAGCGTGTGGGCATGGGCAATGTGTTCAACACGATCGGGGCTATCGGGCTGGCTGTCCTGTTGTTCGCCTTTGCTTTCCTGTGGAAGGGCAAATTGTGGCGGTCTCGGAACGCGAGGCGCTACAAAAGGTACGCCGCGAAGCAGTTCGATCCTCGGCCCATAGACAACCACATCTAGCATTTTGCCCTTTGCCCACGCGAAATGCCTGGCCGGATCGGGAAACAGGTGGTCGGCGCCACGTGCGTTTGTTGCAATGTACCTAGGTGCCTAGGTACTGGTTCCAACCTGGAGATTGCATGTTGCAGGACAGGATCGTTGAGGCCTGGGCTCACCGACAAAAAGTGGCATGGTCTCTTCGCAATACTCGGTAAAAGGGGCAATGGTAACTCTCCGAACGCAAGACAAATATTTTTCAGCTCGCCAACCTCGAGTGGGTTCTGTTTGGTCTGTTGGTACACGTAGGCCCGGTGTGTTCGTCGCCTAGTGGCAGGCGTCCTGGCGTTGTGCATCCACAATTTTGAAGTCCCGAGTCGCACCGCCGCAAAGGGACCCAACACCCACACCAACGCACACCAACACGCCCAAACACACCCACACAAGGACCGGTCAAATGCGACCTCAGCCGTGAACGCAGAGCAGATCTGCACCTGGCCAGTGGGTCAGCCAGAGCTAGGTGCAGCTGCTGCACCTAAAAGTAAATTGTTGGTGATCCTGCCTGCGAGCATGTCGATCCTGCTGACTCCGCCGCCCCAGAAGGAGCGTGGTCGCCTTGCGGCGCGGCTGCACCAAGGCTGCACCAACACCGCAACTCTCAGCCCCCAACCGCACCAAAACCCCTCGCAGGGTGCCATTCGTGTTGGTAGCACAGCGCTTTGCGCCTCAGTCAGCATTGTGCGGCAAGACACGCACCCACGCACCCACGCACCCACGCACCCACGCACCCACGCACCCACGCACCCACGCACCATGGACTTACATAAAGTCGGCATGCGCCGCACGAGGCTGTCCTCGCACAGGAAGGATTCAACGGTGCTGACCTCCTCTGCCTCTGCCTCCTTCCTTTCCCCGGCCTCGAGATAGCATTGGCTGCACTTGTTGTCTTCGAAACATGCATCTCCAAAAGCCACTGGCGATCTCAGTCGCCGCCCTGCTCTCCGTCCAGAGTGCTGCCGGCGCTGTGGTCCGGACTGACAGGGCCAGGAGGAACGAGTCCGCCCCCGTCAAGTACTCGCTGCCACGGGACTCGAGCGACCCTTCAGCACGAGCATCATCGCTTGATGCCACACGGTCCGCAGTGCAGTATGGGCCTCCCGTAGCTGGCGGGCCCTTTTATCCCGCCGGGTCGACAGGGTCTGTCTTGGGCGCGGCAGACCTGGCATCCCTCCAGGCCGACCTTGCAGCTCAGGAACAGCTCGTGCAGATTGACGTGGCGCACGCCAATGCGTCAGCAGCAGCCGGCAAGGTACGCAGACATGGTCAAGCCTCGAGGCGGTATCGCTCTTACTAACTTGGTTCATCAGTTCAACGGCTTGCAGACTGTGGAGGACTATGAGCGGTTGTACGATGGCGAGTGGACCCACGCACTGCCAAAGGGCCCTATCCCGGGCATTCTCACCAACTACACCCAAGACCTGTTGTTCTCGATGGAGCGGTTGTCGACGAGCCCGTACGCCATCAGGAGGCTCACCCCTGGGACCGACTGGATCCCCTTCTGGGTCGACGACTCGGTCACTCTCAAACTCGCGGGCTGCCCCCTGTGGGTTCTGTTCTTGGAAGGCCGTCTCTTCTATGCGGATCACTCGGACCAGGCGAACCTCCCCAGGACCGACAGGTACGCGGCGGCGAGCGATGCCTTGTTCTTCATCGACAAGGCCTCGGGCGACTTCCTCCCCTTGGCCATCCGGACTGGCGTCGGCCAGAGCACCATTTATACGCCCCAAGACGACCCCGCCGACTGGCTGCTGGCAAAGATCATATACAATGCGAATGACTTCTGGTTTGCCCAGTGGCACCACCTTGCTGCCACCCACCAGGTGCTGCAGATCACCTGGCTGTCGGCCATCAGGTCGCTGAGCGTGGAGCATCCCGTCTACGCTCTTCTCAGTCGCCGTAAGCACCACCTGTTAATCTGTACTCCATGCCTGTGCTTGTACTGACCTCTCATTGTAGTCACGTTCCAGGCCTTTGCCGTGCAGCCGCTCGCTTCTGCCATCCTGTTCGAACCTGGCGGTGCGGTGGACCGGGTCTTCGGCTTCACCGGGCAGGCGGCGCAGGATTATGCCTCGAATCTCTACTACACCGGCAGCGGTGACTTCCAGGCCAACTACTTTATGACCAACCTGAAGAAGAGGGGCCTGGTCAACTGCAAGTTCGGGCCTCCACTGGCCAAGTTCCCATTCCTCGACGACGCCACCGTGATATACGACGCGACCAGGAAGTTCATGACCTCGTTCGTGGACTCGTACTACGCCTCCGACGCGGACGTCAAGGCCGACACCGAGCTCCAGGCGTGGGCGAAGGAGGCCAACGGCCCGGCCGAGGCCAAGGACTTCCCGTCCACCATCGCGACCAAGAAGACCATCATCGACGTCCTCACGCACGTGGCGCACCTCGGCTCGACGGCGCACCACGCCGTCAACACCAACGAGCTGTTGTCCGCGTCGTCGACGCTGCCCTTCCACCCGCCGGCCATCTACGCGCCGATCCCGGACACCAAGGGCGACAAGGACCTCAACGTGGTGGACTGGCTCCCGCCGTTCGGGCAGGTGCTCGTGCAGCTCAACTTCGCGGGGCTCTTCGCGCGGCCGCTGCTGGAGTACTCGAACCGCAGCCTGACGCACATGTTTGACGACCCGGAGATGCTGGCGAGGATGAACCCGGCCACGGCGGACGCGGCCGCCGTGTTCAAGAGCACCATGGAGGCGTTCAGCGATGTCGTGGCCGCGCGGGGGTTCGACTCGCAGGGGCTCAGCCAGGGCATGCCTTTTGTGTGGCAGGCGCTCGACCCGCGGGTTGCGCCGTACTCGGTTACAATCTGAGATGTGACCCAGCTGGGGCATACATATAACATCTAGATTAATGCTGGGGAGATATCTTTTTAATGCTATCTAATGTAATGTTGAGACTGGGTTTCATCCTGCCCTTTTATAATTCACATCTCCACAACGCGACGTCTGAAGAAGGGCTAGGGCGTTTCTGCAGCCATGTGCCATGTGCCATGTGGGCTCTAGATCGATCTGACAGGCAGGGGTGGGTGTAATATCCGGTGATGGCCAAAAGTGGGCATTCCACCGGCAATTGCACCCAGGCAAACACCAGCAGACCAGGAAAAGCAGAATCACCCGGGCAGGTTGAAGGTCTAAGAGACCCTTACTGCTGTCAAAAGCAACGCAACGCGCTACGAGGAGGTATTTCTTTATTACAATGCTTAAAGCTTAAACTACCTAACGTAAGCATGCCTAGGTAGCAATGCAACTATTTAAGACTATGCCTAGGTAGTACCGAACTCTCTGTGCGCCTTGCTCAATCTATCCCTGGTCCGTCGGCCTATCTAGACCGCATGTGAGCCAAGATCGACAGCCTTGCCACATCACACTGGCTGCTGCACGACACGGCGCCTTCTATCGATCGAGATGGCGTCGATGGCACAATACACGCAGAACACACAGGGGCAGGGCCGGCCGAAACGGGACCCCTTGTAAGTCAGGCACGAAGCTGGCACGGCGGGTTGGTTGGGAGGTTGCATTCCTCAGCGGGAGGAGAGGTTCCAGCCAGCCACGGGCCAAGCAGCGAGTCAGCCCTCGTGGTAAGAAGACGCTGGCAGAAGGATTACAGCAGAGACTTCCGGGCTCCCGCGCCGCCACTTGGGCTTTCTTTGTTTTTGATACGTCTTGGGCCCCTCGCCCGGCAGAAAAAAAAAGGGGGAACTGGGCGAACAGCACCCACGAGACGAAAGCTGCTGTTGGTCGGCCCCAGGGACCGGGTTCCTACTAGCCTGTCTCTTTTTTGTCACGACCCAGAGTCGAGACACAAGAGAGGGTGTGCGTGCGTGCCTCGGTAGCAACAAAGGCCTTGATCCAATATGGTGATTGGAGGGGGAGACGGGGTGGAAGAGGAGCAGCCTTGAGCCTAACGCACGAACAATCAATCAATCAATCGTCAATCAATCAGTCAATCAACCAACAGCGTAGCACCCACCCGTGCCCTCTCCCTCTCTCCCTCTCTCTACTACATCCTAGTGCAGACTGACATTCCGGCCCAGCCGCCCCAGCCCAGCCTGCCTCCCGCAGCGGGCAAACCCAATTTCTTAAGCTCGCAGCTTTTAGCTTTTTGTGGTCCCCTACATAGTACGTACGTACATGCACTGCATACTTACACGGCGGACCCGCCCCTCTTCCGACGAGAGCTTGAACCCTCTTCGCGGGCGACTGCTATTCCCTCACTTTCTCGTGCCCACGCGCGCCAGCCTCACCCGCCGTTCTCCGCATTCCTCGGCCGGTCGCAAAACTCAGTTTTTTCTGGAGAGAAGCAAGCCCGCTGCCGCCTGCCTCGCCGTCCGCCGATCGAGCCGAACCACACACACAGCTCTACCCCCTCCACCCCTAGCTCGCTGCACACTAGGCCGACCCCACTCCACTCATCAAACCAAGCTTTCGCAGCTTGTGGATGAGACACGGCCAGACAGGCGGGCAACACCACCCAGAGCCAGGGCGACTGACGACGACGAGACCACGCAGCAGCAGCCACGAGACACATTGAGTTCGAGGTTTCTACCCGCTCAGGGGACGTAGCCTGTCGCCCACCACCGGCATCTTCCGTTCCCCCGGAGTTTATCTGACGCGGGAGAGCGACAGACGCTCATCGAGCACGCACACTCGGGGGCCTTAGCCGACCGACCGACCCTGCAGACTGACTGACTGACTGAACTGGCCGACCGACCGACCGACTGACTGGCAGACAGACTGCTGGCTACCTCCGTCTCCAAGGGCCGAGACCACCGGCACTCTGCCCGGATCCACCTCATATTAACCCCGTCCACTGCCGGGGTCCTGGAGGAAACCAGCCCTTCGCAGGTCGTCGGGCCGCCCCATGGCGGGCGCCGAACCCTGTTGCCCATCCCCACCGTCCGGCCGCTGCACCTTGCTCACCCGCCTCCGTGGCTGCCGCCGCCGTCTGCCTGCTGTCGCTTGTGTTGACTTGACTAGCGGTCGTGTTCCTGATCCGCGGCCAAGCCTGTCGCCATGACAAGGCCCAAGGTCCCCGATGACAAGAGGATACGTACCGCCCAGGCCTGCGAGTCTTGCAAGCGCCGGAAGCAAAAGGTGAGCCGCCTGCCTTTTTTTTCCTCTGCTTCTTGTTTGCTTCTTCTCCATATATATAATCATGGTCATGGTCATGGCCATGGTCATGTCAGCTTTCTAGACCCCGGCCAATCACACCCTGTCACTGTCAGTGCTGGCTAGCCCAAGCTCTTCCTTGCCCTACTGTCATCCCTGGCATGACTATCGTCATCGTGATGTGTTCGTCCCCCAATGTCATGACTATGCCTCTCTCCTGTTCCTCAGCCTCGCCATCAGCCTCAGCCTCAGCCTCAGCCTTGTTGCCAGGGACGGCCCCCGTGCAGTAAGATGCGCCAGTGTTGGGATGAGATCTTCCACTTCTGTCCTTTTCACAAGCACACACACACATACATGCTCGTGTGCTGTGTGGCTTTGGGATATATCACCACCTCTGCTAGACCCCCACACACTGCACTGCCCAACTCGCGACGTGTGAAACTGGTCAAACACATGCATAAAAGTGCCGCTGCTAACAATTGGCCTGGAATCTAAAAGTGCAACGGGTTGAAGCCATGCAACACATGCACGAAGCGCAACCTAGTCTGCGACTACCTGTCAGGCCACGGGCACGCCCACAGCCAGTCGACAACGCCCACCCATGGCGGCCGGGGTGAGATCGTGGTGTCCGGCTCGTCCCCGAACAAGCGTCGGAAGTCGACGCCGGACACGATGGGCTCGGACGACGGGGCAGCCCCCAAGAGGGCGAGGTTCGGCGGCGGTGACGTCCGGACGGGGCCCCCCTCGCAGCAACAGCAGCAGGCCGCCGACAGCACCGAGCCCTCGAGGCTCCTGGGCCTCCCGACGCCGGTGCCTGGGCCTCCCGTGCCCGGCCAGCCCGGCCGGGGGGCTGATCGGGATGACGAGCCTGACCATGACATCCAGTCGAGGCAGAGCACCGTGAGCGGGGCTGACGAGGTCGCCGAGGTGTACACCGAGACGCGCATGCTTCAGGACCCCACCGGGAGGCTATGTACGTGACAGCCGGACCCCCATGCGAGACTGGCTTGCTGACGATGGGAACTAGTGTACCTGGGTGATTCCGCCACGCTCTCGTACCTGCAATTCATCCGCATGATAGTCGAGAGTGTAGATGGGCCCTCACAGTTCACCATGGACCCCAGCCGCCACCGGCTGATGGAGCTGACGACGAGCCTCCCGCCCGACACCCGCACATCGCTCTTGCTCCCGGACCGGGGGACAGCGGATGTTCTCATCAGATCATACCTTACTAATGTGAGTCTCATGCGGGTTATCGTCATCCGTCCCATACAGTACATAACCTGTCGGATCTCTACATACCTCGCCATGTAGCGCCCCGGCCACTGGGGTATTCCACCGGACGAAAGCTAACACACAGCAGACCAACGGCCTGATCGAGGTCTTCGACAGGAAAGTCTTCAACCAGCGGCTCGAAGTCTGCTACCAAGACCCGCTGGCAGCCGAGCCCACGTTCCTATGCCTGCTCTACCTCGTCTTTGCCATCGGCCTGGTGCTCGCCACGCCGGCCCCAGGTAGCCACGACGACACCGTGATCAAGAACCTACAGACGACCACCGCGGACCGTGCGGAGATGTTCTTCATGAACGCCAAGTGCTTGTGCGACCCGACGTCCGGCTTCGAGGACGCCGACTTCTGGAGCGTCCAGGCGCTCCTGCTCATGTCGCTCTTCAAGCTGGCGAGGACAAAACGCAATGCTGCGTATGCCTATCACGGTATGATTGTTGTGATAATCACGCAGGGTCTCGTCTCGGTACTAACTGTTTGAAAGGCATGGCGGTAAGGTCTGGGTTCGCCCTCGGGCTCCACAGGCAGGAGACGATGGTGATCTTCCCCGTCCCGGATCGCATTGTGAGGCGGAACGTGTGGAGGAGCCTTTACGTCCTGGACCGGTTCCTCGCAGCCGCCCTGGGCAGGCCGACATCCATCTCGGAAGACGACTGTTCAGCAGAGGCGCTTGTCACGCCGGAGAGATACCTCGGGCAGGAGAAATACCTCGCCGACACAAACACCGACGCGTCGTCGTCCAGCGGCCTGAATGCCGCGGTGCGGAGCTGTCAGGTCATCGGCATAATCCTGAAGAAGATCTACGCGCAGCGCAAGATCTCGACCAAGCTGGCCCAGGAGATCTCGGAGCAGTGCAAGGGCGGTCCTCAGAAATACCACGCTGCCCTGCACTGGCGGCAGGCCATGAACACGGGCATCGACCCGGCCCACGGCATGGCGGTCATCCACGTCAACCTGCTCTACTGCCACGCTGTCATCCTGCTGACCAGGCCCTTCTTTCTCTTCCTGATGAACAGGATGCAGCAGGAGAGGCTCGGGGTGCCACGAGCGGCGATTCGGCCCGGGTCCAAGATGGAGAAGTTCTCTGAGGCCTGTGTAAATGCCGCGTACCACACCGTGGCCCTGGTGCAGATGGGCCACGAGGGCAACTACCTGCCGCAGCGCGACCCTTTCATAATGTGAGTATTCTCCCCTTGGTCGGCATTGCAGTCTTGTTACAGCAGGACTTGTCTGACCGTCAGACAGCCACTTCCTCTTCGCCGCGACCCTGGTGGTGCAGAGCAACGAGTTCGCCTCCCTCCACAAGAACCCCTCGTACGGCGAGACGTACCAACACGCCCTCGCCATCATGACCTACTGCGCCAAGACGGACCCCCAGGCCAGCAGGCTCGTCTACATCATGACAACCTTCCACAACGTCATCGTGTCCCGCGCGCCGGCGTCCTCGTCGCTGCGCGACCCGTCCTCCATCCCAAACACCCCCTCGGGCGGCGGCGCCCTCGTCAGCACCCCAGACCCGATGGCCAACTTCTTCCTCTCGCACTCGACGCCGACCCCCACGGCGACCCTGCCCCCGCCAGCAGCGCCCACCAGCGCGCCCGTCGCGGCGCCCGCCTCCAGCAGCACCTTCGACCCGGCCCTGACGTCCATGCCGCCCCTCCACAACCACAACCACCACCAACACCCCGCCCCGCACCACCCGCACCCCCAGGCGGCCGCCCCGGGCCTGCACAGGCGCGACTCGGGGAACGCGAACGCGGGCCCGGCCGCGGGCGGGCCCTCCCCGTCCCCGGGGGTGATGCCCCCCGCCGCCCTGACGCCCACGACCTCGTCCGCGGGGGGCGACCCGCTGATCGACGCGGAGTGGTTCCACTTCGACACGCTGTGGGAGAACTGGGCCGCCACGCCGCAGCCGCACGGGGGGGCACCACCACCGCCGCCCCCTCCGTCGGGCGGTGCAGCACAGGCCCGCCAGCAACAGCAACAGCAACAGCCGCTGGCGGACCCGGCGCTGTTCGGTGATCCGGCGGCCCTGGGTGGGTTCGATGCCGCTGGTGGTGGTGCCGGGGGCGGCGGCCCCGGGTCTGCGTTTGCTACGCCGCCGCTGCCTGGGGCGCAGGGCGGGAACGCGGGGATGAACGTGCCGCTTTATCCGATGCTGAGGTTTGCCGAGTGAGTGGGTGGGTGGGTGAGTGGTAGGGGTGTTGTGCTGATGTGAGGAGGGTCGGGATACATAGATGGTGAAGACGTGGGGGGGTCTGGGTTGCTTGCTAGCTGAGGCGTTGATGGGTCAATGTAAGCTGATGGGTGGATGGTGCGGTGGATAATAAGCGAGGCGTCGGGCGGCGACGGAGAACCCCCGGTACAATCAATCAATGTATGTGTGCAACGTGTGTGTGTGTGTGTGTGTGTGTGTGTATTTACTACGTCATTGGGACAAATAACAAGGGAGCAAGGAGGAGGAAACGCAGCATGGCGCTGGGTGCTGGCCGATTTCGAGTTTATGTTGTTTTCTCGGGATGTAAAAAAAAGTTCTTGGGGGTGAGCCGGCGCAGGACAAGGAGGGGGGCCGGGGGGATGTGTGCTCGGGATACACGGTGGGGTTAGGGAACTTGTTGTACAAATTCAATTGGAGGAGGGAGCCCTCGATGGTGGCCTAGTCTAATCTGTACTGGATCCCCTTTACCGGTCGTTTTTCTTGTCTGTGAAGAAGCAGGTTCTCAAGCGGAACACGGAGTGAGGCATGATGGAGGCGTGTGGCTCGTTATAGATTGGGTCCGATCAAGTCACCGAGGTTGTCTGTAATAGCATTAATACTGCGGCTTATAAGCTGATGCTCTAATATCTAACGGAGACACAACCAAAAAAGAATGAGACTCGTGATAAGCCTGCTAGCCCTTGAGTGGTGATCCTGTCCCTCGGTACGGTATCTGCGCACCTGTGTTTGCCCCCGTTCGGAGCACATCAACTCGACAAGAAACTTCAATAGCCCCAAAAAGGCAGTAGCTCGTCCTGAGTTGCTCCAAGGCCATAGGTTCGATCCCTTTGGTTCAGTACCTCGCTGTCCTTCGTCGCTTGGATCATGAAGCATTTCAGTTTGTACGGCGATAACCTATCAGTATACAAAATCATATCGTGAGTGAAGAGTTAGAAAAGTCAAGAATTCACCATCCAGTTCATTTCAAGCCATATTTACCGCACCATGACTGGCGACTACTCAAGCTATGCCTTGACACCTTGACGCGTGTGCAGTGCTGGTTGTGCCACCTGTAGAACAAAACAATAACACTCACTGATTCATTGGGGCTGGCGGAGAAGGAAGTCCCGAACTCATATGGATTTCCTCGAGCATTTCTCGATTATTTTAAGGGGGTGGAAGGTTTAGCTAGGCCCTAACAAAGGGAGTCGAAGATTGTTGCAGATTCATGATGTCTCGAGCAAAAGAACATGAAAAAAAAAAAGGGTTGAGATATCTGTTCGATCAATCCAGTCAGCACAAATCCCAACTGATTTGATTTTGGCCTCATCAAGACTTTTATAATAATCAGAAGGAATTCAGTCAGAATGCTTTCATACTCATGGGAGGCTACTTATGCCAACTCAAATGTTGATACAAGGTGATGGATCTGTCATCATGATGGGTGGTAGGGGAGAGGCAAAGGATTTCAAACTTACAAGCCGGGCGCTCTAGCCACTGCGCCACGTTGGAGTTTCGACTCGCTGGAGACGGTCAGACAATGAAATTATAAAGCTTTCCCAGCCCTTGTTCTTGCTGTTGCTGCAAGTGGAGGCCCAGCTCAAACCCGAACAATGTCTGGAAGGTGGAAGGTGGGGTGAGGGGCAAAGGAAGTTGGGAAGGTACGACTCCACGGAAATGGTGGTTGCTGGTAGTGATGTTTCGATTGACCCATACAATCGATTTAATTGTCTTTCTGGTTGTTCTAATTTTACGCCCTGGGCTCCCCAATGGAGATATCGACGTGGCTGTACCTACTTTAAGCAACCAACCAATTCTGTTCGAAACATCGCTGTTGTGTCTGAAAGGGCCACCACTTTCCAACACACTACCAAAACCGAGAATGAGTAACCCTTAAAGTACTAGCATTGAAGAGTCTCATAAAGCTGGCTTTGACCTCTTCAACGTGTCCATAAATGGCCACTGGTTGGAATTTTGGCACCTATAGGTAATTCAAACAAGCCATACCTAATTTATATACAACCTCCAAGAATCCCAGGTCATATGTCACGATTCTAAGGGCTCATGGGCCTTATATAAGAGGCTTACTTCAGTCCTGAGATATATGTGCAGTGGAAAGGCTGATTTATGAGACTCTTCACCATTTTCTTCACTAGAATTGAAGTGGACAGGCGATTAGGAATTTATGGATAATTACTCCCAGCCCTGGAAATAGAAAAAAAGCCCGTGTTACTGCAAAGAGGAGGACCTAAGATGTCATGCAGTATGTACCTACGGAGGTACTACCGGCCCCGCTTGCCGCAATTGGCCAATCAATGCAACCCCAACGCCGACGCCCAGATCCCTGTCGCCGGCCGATGATTTTTGGGAGCTCGGCGCATTTCGACCTCACATGAACCCAGCCTGTCCCACTTACAGCTCGACGTCCGCAGCAGCCATTCTCTTTCTTCTTGCTTTCTGCCCTGTACAATAACTGCTTTTTCTTGTTTCTCAGCTTCTACAGCTCCAATACACCAGATGGCCTCGTGCTCGAGGGGCTACGGCCTGCGCCGTGACATGCTCCTCCTGATCCCCCGATCCGCCAGCAGCCGCAGCTGTTTGCAACCATGCGCGGCACAGATCATGCATGCGCACCGGATAATACGAGCGACGCGCGCCTTCCAGACCTCCGCCTATCTCTGCGCGAAACAAAAACCCGCCGCCGTCAAGCAGAAGCCAGCCCCAAAAAAATCACAGCCCCCGACGGCCCTCCCGTACTACCCACAGACCAAGAAGGCGACGCCCGCCGCCGCCTCGAAACCAAACGCCCTCGCCCTGTCCGTCGCCGAGCGCCTCGCCGAGCGCGGCGAGCGCACCGTCCTCTACGAGGGGCCGTCCCACTTCTGGCTGCGGGCCTCGGGCCTGTCGGCGTCGGTCTTCTGCATGAGCTACGTGGGCATCCAGTACTACAGCATAATGGTGTACCCGCCCGAGGGGCTGGCGTGGTGGGTGCCGCACGCCTTCGTGCCAATCCTGCTGCTCATGGGCTACTTTGGCGGCCACTTCGCCTTCAGCGCCGCCAACATCGTCAGCTCCATCGCCGCCGTCCCGCGCGCCCTGCTGCCGCGCTCGTACCTGACGGGAGGCGCCGCCAAGAAGTCCAAGCGGGAGGAGCGGTCGCTCGCCGCCCTCAACGCGAGCCCCATCGCCCTCGAGGTCTCGCTGTCCCAGATGCTGCCGCTGCTGCCGCCCAAGAAGCTCGTCGTCGCCCCCGAGGAGGTCATGTTCCCCTTCAAGATGCAGGCCACGCCCGTCGGGAGGGGCGCCGTGGCCGGGGTCGAGGCCCCGAGGCGCCCTCAGGGTGTGATGGACAAGGTCGCGGCCCCGTTCGAGGCGTTCGGCAGGGCTTTGAGGCGGCCCCTGAATGGGATCGTAAGGGGTCTGACCCGCGAGGGTTTCTCCACGATCAAGATCAAGGACAAGAAGCACAGGATCGACGTCACGGGTGGCAAGGTTCTGGAGAAGGGCAAGCTACTGGATCATCTTGTGGCCTACCGGCCTGAGAGGGTCTAGACTGGGTACTCAAGTATGAACCAGTATAGGCACCGAGGAAAAAAGATGTGGCATTGTGAAACTATTACAACATTGAAGAGCATGAATATTCACCCCACCCCTGGACGGTGGAGACACCCGCGTCTCTAATAAGTATACTTCACCCTCGCCTGAGGTCGCAGGCTCATCGTTGCGCCGCCCTTGTGAACAACCCTCTGGGGATTGGTCTTCGCGTCTCTCAGGTACCCTGCGTGTGCCCATCCCGGGCCCTGCTCCACCCCTATGAGGTCCCACACGGGATGTGTTTGACCCGTTGGTCTCCATGCCTTGCATTGCATTTCGAGATGGTCTTGGAGTTGGGTCAGCATCTGCAAGTCCTCCGGGTCGACGTTCCATGTGTCCCAATCAGGATTTTTCCCTGCCTTCTTGATTATGGCCGAGATGTGTTTGCACAGAGGTCTGAAGTTGGTACTGAGGAGTGTCTTTAGATTCGGGGGTCTCTTTCCTCCGTTCTTTGCGCCGGTCCAGGTGGTGACGCGATCCACGATGGTCACAAACTTGTCAATGTTGCCTATGACATACGGCCAGTCAACACCCCCTCTGATAGCGTGGCCATGTTTCGCTGTGTAGGACACCGTCGTCAGTCATGATCAATGACATCTCTCAACCAAGCGTTTTTCCTGTTGCTCTGAGCACTCACCTAACCATAACCCCTCGTCTATGCTGAGCCCGTACACATTTGTAAAGCAGTCTTTGATATACGCATCGTAACGGAAATCGCTGTGCCGGTGATCGCCAAAGCTGATATGGCACATGAGAGCGTCGGTGCGCAGGTCTCCGCCGTGCACGCGGGCATTGATGATCGGCAGGCGCTCAGAGGAAAACATGCTTGGCTCACTGGCCGACTTCTTTCCCACGTGAGCCCCGTACAGGTGCAGCTGTCTCAGCCTGCTGTCCATCCACTGCTCGCTCCAGACCACCGATCTTGCACTCGATGTGTGTATACGTCGCCACCTCCCCGACGCCTTGCTGGAGGACCTCCTTCACCGCCGTCGCGAGTTCACCGTTGCGTGCCTCCATGTCTGCAGCACTTCCTGAACAGTCGCGATGCGAAAACTGGTTGTCGCCGTGTCAGTGATTCGTTGTATCTCACAGGGGCCGACAAGGCACGAAAAATAATTCGAAAATAAAGATGGCCCTCCATTGACAACCAGGCAGTCCAACCAGACCAGAGCTCGGTCCAGGTACCCAGGTACCTGCTCGTGTAGGGAACGGTTCCCAAGGCCCCCACCAGCCAGAACCAAAACTTCATCCATCTGCATCCCAAGATCTGCAGTGAAAAAAGCACTCGAGCAATCACAATGTCGCTGCCCAGCATCTTGGAGAATGACAAGCTGGGGGATGAGGCTGTGCTACGCAACTTCCTATCCAGGTCCCTGCCTGGTTCTTTTGGGGAGGACGCACCCGACATGTCCAGCATGGACTGTTTCGTGGCAGTCATTCGCCACATCTGCAGTGTGGTGCACGGCGATCTGATGCAGTTTGTCGCAGCAGACCACGGTTTGAGGTTCGTCCTGGCAGACTTCTCGGCCGAGACGGAGGAAAAGCGCAGCAGTGTGCAGGAGTACAGGATTTCCAAGTTCAAGCATGTTGAGCGGCTCGTCGGCAAGAAGAATCCCACCTTTGAAGACATCATTGAGTGCGACGCAGTGCTCAAGAACTTCTGGGCTCACGACGGCCTGCTTCTCTTCCAGACCCTCATCCACCTAGACGAACCCAACGAAACGTGGTACCACGAGGCTGACGACAGAGTGTTTGCGGCTGCGCGGAGCCTCGTGGATTGGCCTCTACAGAAATTCGACACGATCCAGGACGTCCTCGATATGACCAAGTCTGGAACCAGCCCAAACAGCGGCGGACAAGAGGTCTTGTTCACACCTGGCAGGCCGGCCGTGGTGCGTGTCCGGCTCGCATCCAAGGTCGACCGTCGGACCTGGCAGGGGAGCTTCAGCATCAGGGATGCCCAGTGCTTCTCGTACAATGAGATCACTCGGAACACGGTCTGGCACCCGGCCGAGAACGTAACAACCATTAGGGAGACGGTGTCCAGAAAGCCACAGGACAGGCTAGTGTACTGCCTGATCGCCGTCGTGAGGCTTCGGAATCCAGGCGAGCACTGTGACTACGCCCGTCTGTACGACCTGCAGTCTCAGAATGTCTTACCGCTGGGCGATCAGCGATACTTTGGCACGTTCAACAATGACTGGTGGTCTCTCGAGCACCTCACGCACAACCACATGCTGTACTATGCCAGGGTAGATTACACGTCCGTTGACTGTGTCCGCCTGTACACGGAGTGTGAGGACCAGAGTCCGGACCCCCAGGTGGTCCGCAGGGATGAGATGGTCTTGGACGCGGCATGGCAGGGGGGTCTTGCGATGCATGAATCACGTGGGTCTGGTGCTCCTGACCAGTCTGAGGTCAGAGATGAATATATCGCCCAAAGTGATTGGGCTTCCCATACGCTCGATTAGGCTGGACGGCGTGGTTCAGGGGGTTCTCCTCTGTTGGAGACTATGATGGCTAGGTCGGTCGTTGGGGAGGGAACTCACGGTATACGGAATCTGGGAGCTTAGAATCGTGAATTTTAGAGATGTGGACTTCAATACAACCCATTCGGTGATTGAACAAGTTCTGACTGTTGCACATGTGACGCCTTCAAATTGTATGCATAGTGACAAGAGATCTAACTCGAGACCGGCCCTTCCGCCCTTCTGTATGCACAGCCATTCCCATGCCCACCCAACGAATCTCTAGCTTGGTGTGTGGCTTATACAGTTAGAAGCGTGCCTTAGAGGTATGTGCACGCCATCCAGATGTAATCCTAATGCCCTTTTCGAATGCTCGTGCACCGGCGGACTGCCGTCACTACCGTACCGCGCACCTAGGGGTTTTCAAAAACAGTGTTTTTACTAATACTCTCTAATAATAGTTATAACTACTAATAGTTCTTTCTTCCTTAATATATACTTTAGGTAAGAAGGAATTTTTTAAAAAAGAATAGGTTTTTAAAAAGTATTAATCTTTAAAATTCCTTAATATTACTTTTTACTTTAATATAAAAATTAATTAAAAAAGAATTACTCTTTTATTCCTTTAATAATCTTTTTTTAAAATAACTTTTAGTTAACTTTTTATTAATTTATTTATATATAATAATCTTTAATTAAATTCCTTTTTTTAATATTTTAAATCTTTAAAAAGTAATTTTAAAAAATATTTTAATTTTTTAAAAAGTTTAATTTTAAAGAAAATTATTAATATATTTTATAATTATTATTAAAAAATCTTAATAAGGAAATAATTTTAAGATATTAAAGATTATTTAAGATATTATTTTAAAATAGAAGGGATAGTCTAGAGACTATATTAAAAAACCCCTTAGGGAGCGCTATAGTAGTAATATATATACCGCATGTATTGCATGAACCTCTAGGTTCCATCAACACACGTCCTAGGTGTCGGCTTATAGTTGTTAAGGTCTTTCTCATATAAAATAAGATCTATAATTATATCCAATCCTAGTGTCTAACAATCTGCCTTTGATTAATTTCATCTTGTATCATGTGACTTGTGTCTCTGCAGTATAGCCGACCTGTGGCAGCAGCTTGAGTTGCCTAGTTGCACTGAAAGGCCCCAGCTGGTGGAGCTGTCGACAAAACACCTGCAACATAAACTGCAACCTAAACTTCAACCCAAACATCAATGTGGTTTCGCTTCTATTCCGTATACGTCTGAGGACATACATGGCGCCTTCATACGGTGCCAAACATCAATGTAAGAAACTTCCTATGACCTCCAAATACTCTACCACCTTTGAATACTCTATCACCTCTACACACCCTGTCACCTTCTACCAATTAAACAGCCTTGCCACCACCAAGTCTCTGTCTACCCCCACCTGCAGGGCGACGTTCACCACTAACCTCGCTCTAAAGCAGACAGGAACCATGTCACGAACAAAAGACATTCGAGCATACTGCGGTCCGGGCCGCCCTCTTATGTTACGTTGGCCCTCGGCGCCAGAAGGGGTTGACGATGCGAAGAGTTCGGGGTTGATTTGTGCGACGGTCGTGGCGCGTGCGATGTGGTCGCGCATCAAGCCACAGTTTTGGCCCGAGCAAAGAGATGACGAGGACGCGATTACGACGTATACATTCGCCGACTTCAAAGACGGGTTGCCGTGGCTTGCGGAGTCGCTCCAGGAGATCTGGGAGAAGGCGAAGGAGTCAACACAGCAAGGCGGGCAGGTGGACGACTCGTTCGCCGGCATCTGCAGGAGCCCCCGCTTTGTCAGGGCCTTCTGGGCCAACCCGCTGTTTCGGCTGACGACGGACCATTACAGGGTTGGTTGGCAATACGACGAGCCCCACGTCGTCCTTGGGGGCGATGACCTGGCGAGACAAGCTCTCGTGGCCTGGGATGGTGTCGAGCCAGAGACACTGGCGCAAGCCATCAACAACCTGACATTCAAGAAAGAGGATGACCGGAGGAACATAATTTCCGCATTCTTCTCGAATCCGAGCCTGCTCCAGGTTGACTTGACCCCGGGCAACGGCTCAGACAAGTCCCTTGCCGACATACAGACCTTCGAAGCGGACAGGTGGGCCTTCGTGCCGAACTCGCACAGCCCGTGCGGGAAATGGAAGGTGACAGGCCAGGTGCATTACTCGCTTATGGCAGTTGTCCTACACCGCGAGAACGAGGACGGCGTCGACTCCGTCCGGACGTTTCGTGAGAACGGACAGGAAGAGCTGCTCGAGGGTGTGTGTGAGATTGCCTGGCCGTTTGATCTGGACGAGCCAGTCCCCGCCGGCCGCAAGGTCACGGTGTTTTACAACTCAGCCTTGCCGTCCGGCAAGGTTTATCCCCTAACTCCATCTAAGAGATTTCCAGCCTTGCCCATGGAACTCAATGCGGATATCAAAGCACAGGTCTGGGGCAGTGTCGAGGCGGAGGGCGGCGAGGCGGCAGAGGACGAGCTTGAGCTGGCAGACCTGTTCATAGCTGGGCTGTCGCAGTGGAAGTCAGTCCGGGACGAGCCTGCGGCCGGGTCAGACAGACACGGCCCACAGTCGGCGTCAGCAGACATGCAGGGCCACGGCGAGAGGGAGGCGCGCCCGTCTGGTCGATCACAGACGGACCCTGCACCTGGCAAAGCCTCCTCGCCGCGGCGCACTGCTCGGCGCAATCAGCAACCCAACGCGTGGTCCAACGCGCAGTCCAACGCGCCGCTCGGTGCGCCGACAGGGCCACGTGCTCAAAGGCCGCCGAGGGGACCACGCGAGGAAGCCAGCGGGCCAAACGCCCTGCCAATTCCAGCTGATCGTCAACGTCTAGGCGACGGCCAGGTCGGCAATAGTGTGGCATCTCGAGGCGGCCGCGACAGGGGTGGCCGCGGCAGGGGCGGCCGCGGTGGGAGATGATCGTCGCCTCGGCCCGGGCCGCGACAGCGTTACAAGCATGTGGAGCACATGGCAACTTTAGTTGCCGCTAGGGAGGACATTGTGGGAGTGGTGGATAAAGGATAGACAAAAGAGGAGAGAATTGGCAGGGTATAGAAGAGGTTACTAGAATAATTGTGGCGGAACAAATCACTCTCACTGCGAACCCAAGTCTACTGCACATTGCCACGGCTTCAATGCCTCGTAGTCTCTGCCAAACCATGCCTCGCTCTGCGCCCCTAAAGTAAACTGTTGTGGATCCGAACCGAGACCCATTGAGCCACGAAGCAAGCTCACATATCACATGTCGCGAGCTTTGCTTGGGCGTACGCTTCGGGGCCCTGGTATCTCTCCCCATCGATGCACGGGGCCACTTTGTCACTTGACCGATCAGCAAATCCATCAAGAACAAGTTCTGTTCCGCCTGGGTGGTTTAGCTATTTCGCCACATTCGAGTCCCTCATTTGTACCACTGGACAACATCTTGACAGAGGGCTGTCAATGCGGTAAGAGTTGGGCTCAATGCCATTGGGAGCCGGTGTGACGAGGTTTTGAGGCAGAATGTACTTGGTTTGTAGCAGCGAAAGGTTGGTGTCCTGGTGTGAGACCTGGAACGCAGTCGCCTTGTAAAAAATGAGCGGGCGTTGTCTGTTCTGTACGTGTAAAATTGGATGTAAATTTACATCAAGTATTAAAACACACGGTGTCGTTGGGCTGGCTATAAACACATCAGTTGGTGGAATCCAAGAGCATGGAGTGTGTGCAAGTGTGTCCTGTGACTGGGCCGATGCAGCAACAGCCAACGCTGCTCCAGGTATTAATTCGAGATTGACCTTGAAGTTAGACTTGTCCCCCCCCTCGTTGCCTGCCCCAAGCACAGAAAACTCTGCCTTCGTAGCTTGACTGACAACCCCGGCTGTCTTGCAGCTCCTGCGCGTGTCAACCCAACACAAAGCATCGCATTCACCACACCCACGTCGGCAGCGCAACAACACGATGTCAGCCATACTGGAAGGTTTCGAGCCGATGGTGCCGGCTGTGAACGGAAAGTTACGAATTGAGCATGTCTGCACGGGTGGAAGCACGGTAGAGCCATTGCCATACCTGGTGGATGCGCAGCGCCGATCAGACCGGCGCGCAGGAAGAAACACCTGGGTCTTGATGGGCTCGAGCACCGAAGAGGCCCTCCTTGTCAGACAGCTCCGATCCATTCTTGGGCGCAGGACACGGGAGGGGGGCAGTGACGACGACGACAGAGGCCGCTGGGGTGTGCGATGCACCCAGGACATGAAGGACTTCTCCCCCAAGGATGACTGCGTTGTCGTTACGACATTGGAGAATGTGCTCTTCCACCTTATGGGTGCCAATGGAGCCCACCCACGTCATTTCAGCAGCAAGATGACATTCATGATGTACCAGGGATGGGGCAACATGACGTTGAAGGAAGCATACGCACTCAACAAGCTTGTCAGGTTCGCCTTTGACAAGGCGGCGACTACCAGTCACATTTTCTGTACGGTGTCGAGCTCAGAGACTGGGCCTTTTAACCAAGACTGGGTGGCGTCGCAACAGGACTGCAGGGTCGTCACAGGAGACGAGACATCCGACCCCATCACCTTCACGGAAGACACCGATGAGCCACTCCAGGCAATGGACCAGTTGCTCCAAGACTTGCGGCGGGAGAAGAAGACCCGCGCGATAATCCGGATGGAATACACAGATGCGCTGGAGCTAGCTACATTTGGCGGGGAGCCGGAGGTCTTGGAACAGCACTGCCACCTTCTGTTGTCCGGCGATAGCCCAGATGAGACGTGGAAGAAGTTGTCGGACACGTCGAAGCACATTCTCACGAACGGAAGGGAGGTGACCTACCTTGGAGATATCCCAGGTATAACCCACGTCGTCTTCTATCCTATGCGGGAAGGCTCGGTGTGGCATGGAAAGTCAAGCCAGGTCGTCGTCGATGCGGGCGGACTTGTGTGTCAACTGCCAGAGCTGATGCACGCCATGTGCTGGAGGGGTAGTGACAACACTCCTGCGGTTCACTACATGGCATCGGGCGACTTTTATGAAGCACTGCGGGCAGAGTCGACGGAACAGATGGTGTGCACCTCACACTTCGACAACCACGTCCTATCCAGTCTCTCAGAATGGCCACAAGTCCCAGCGGTCGACCTGCCGTTGAAATGCGGGGGGAACCCACTCGTCATCGAACAGAGGCTGCGTCGGCTCATGAACAAGGGGCTTCTCGAGCGGGACGATGCAGCGGAGCCGCGGCCCTACCCGTCGGGGTTGGTCCGATACGGCAGCTCCCTCAAGCGGACAACTCTTGGCCGAGTTGTCTCCGAGTTGGTCAAGCCGTACCTCACCGCGGTAGACAGTGCTCATGCCGCCTGCCTCATCGGTCAGCTTGTTTTGAAGATGACAAGCGCGTCTGCGGCCGTCAAGGATGCCGTGTGCAGCCTCGCCGCGGTGCTGACCACCAAGGGCGACAGTTTCACATACATTGACTCGATGATCAAGCCGAAGGAGACCTTCAAGAAATACACAGACAACGATGACAGCGTGGCGACCGAGCTATGCCTGAGGGGCCCCATCTGGCTTGCCGTGTGTGTGTGGCACTTCACGCTGGTTGACGACAGGTGGAAAGAAGCAACGACTCTAGAGAAGCGTCAGGCAAATATCGTTGAGAAGTTTATACATGTAAACAGTCGCAAATTGGTTCTTTGGTACAAGGACTCGTTCGAGTGGGAGGCTTCTGGGCAGAAGATCCAGCGCTTCTTCGGCGGCTGCGGCGTGGATATTGCCTACGCCGGCGTGGAGCACAAGCTCTCGGCCGAGGAGCTCCTGGACGTCGAGGTCATGCTCGTGACGGCCTTTCTGGACAAGCTGGCTTTTGTCTTTGTCCCAGCCAGGGACGGCGCGTTTGGGCACAACATGACTACCGGCACAGAAATGATGATGCCGACTGACGAACAAATGCGACTCATCGATCTGAAGATGTGCTGGGAAGAAGACAAGGCAGCGTTAGGGCGGGAAACGCCCGGGGTCTACTGCATATTCACCCACTGTAGGATGTACTATAAAGACGGCGTTCCGACAGCCAGGCCTTATGACCTGACACATGTCTCGACAATGGCAGTGCGAAGGGCACTGGACAGGATCAAGGCGCCGGTGGTTGACGGCGATGTGTTTTCCAAAATTGCGGTGAACTATATCTTGGAGCAGTAATCACTTGTTACTAGCAATCAATACCCTCGCCCCGCGTATCATTCAAAGTGCTTGACTCCTATGCCTGCCTACCAGCCCTCGTGATCTGTGTGCTTAGATTTGTCTGCCCATGTTGAAAGGCCGGGACACTCGCATGCCAAGCTGGCATCGGGAGAAGGGGGGGGGGCATTGTACCTCGGACGCCAGCCGAACGTGGCGAGGCAGGATCAGAGAAGACTGGGAAGTCAACAATTAGTCGAGTAGTTGCTTCAGTTGATCTCGAAGAATCAATCAACCTGTGATCAAATCCTTGAGACAACCTAAGTAATTGACCAACCCGGTGATCAACATGTCAGTCCACAAGCACACTCGCCCATCAATCTCCGGCCGAACCAAGCGAGATCTGTAGCTTATGAGAACTCTTATGAGGAGAGCCTATGGGTTTCATGATCATTCGATAAGTTTCTTAATTCATTTTCCCTCGGGAATAGAGGACTTGCGCAGGAGGGAACAGGATGGAGAGCTTAGCCATGGGATGCAGCACTCAGCATTTGCACCAGAGGTCAGTAATTGAACTCAATCACCAAGGCCATTTACTTGCAGCAGTGGTAGGGCTCAGATAGCTCGATTGCTTGACCCACAAGCTTGCCCCCCGTTGGGAAGCTCTGTTGACACAAAACAGCTGCAGCCCAAACCTTGCAGACTTGCTTCTTTCCTTTTCCCACCACGCAACCTCAGCAACTTGTTTTTGTACGTCAAAGCTCCCCACCACGCCGAATTTTAATGTTTCCTGGTGCTTTATACTCAGTGAATGATTGTGAATCGATCAGTGCTAACCATTCTACGAATTTCGCAGACGCCAAATTAACCGTTTTCAGTCAAGACAAGATGCCGCTTAGGAAGATAGAGGGGAAGGTAAGGTCAGTGGCCGGTGAGAGGGCGGAAGATGCGAATTCAGAGACGAATTCAGTCCCCGTGTCTTCGCAGTCGACAAGTGATGAGGGCATGGTGTCCAAGAGGAGCAACACCGGCCAGGGTGAGTCACGCGGTCGGTCGACACATGTCGAGCGGGATAGACGCCGTGCCCCCACGATCCCACCTCCTACACAGGACTGGGGAACTGGCCGAGGACGCTTTGCAGCTCGCAGCGAGAGTGTCGCCAGCCGTGGAGAGGCAAGACGCGATGCACCGTCGGGTGGCAAGAAGCGTCGGAACGAGAGCCCCCACAACCAAGAGCGCGGGTCCAAGGCAATGAAGCTGTTCAGTCCCTCAAGTCAGGACCTATTTGATTCGATGTGGGTACCGGGGGGCCTTCAGCTGCAAAAGGGAAGGCTGGGCACCATAACGGGCGTCAATCGGCTCGATGGCGGCCCGGAGATGCCTAACATGGTCGGTCAGTTCGTCGGGTCGATAAGTGACTTCGTCACCGCCAACACCACAGGCCAAGGGCCCGACCAGGACGCGTTTGTCCTCGATGATCCCAGGCTGGCGGCAAGTCGCAGCGCGACGGGGGAAGTCGTGTCGATACACATACCGATCCACCGCGATGACAATCCCTTCTCAGCGACAAGTGGTGGCCGGGCTGCTCGGACTCCTCAGGACGGCCCGCGGAAGTTGTTGTTAACGCACCTGATGCAGAGGAACAAGGCGATGAAGCCATGGATGTCGTCTCGGAATTCCTCGCCAGCCCCCTCGACCCGCTCGAATGTCCGGGGAGACAAGGTGGATCGGGCCGCCGCCAAGGGCAAGGACAAGGTAGCCGGCGCCATCGATCTCACCAAGGAGAAAGAAGCCAAGGCCACTGAGGCCCAGACAGTCGATCTGACAGTGTTAGACGACGCAACATTATGTGAGATTTGTCCCAATATGGGGTCTCACACCACCGGTCGATGTGGTCGGGTGACTTCGATGGCGCATGGGGACACGACCACGGACCCATTTTGCAACATCTCCGCCAGCCGCTCGCGGAATGGTCCCGATCAAAGCCTGCACGCCCTGCAGGGTCCCCAGAAGGGCAAATTAAACATTGCCTGTCCAAACCTGAGGTCTTGCTGGGAATCATACAACTTGAAGCATGCTTGGCGGAAGCTGGTTGTCGAGCGGAGGAGGATGCCTCCACTTGCAGTGTACACGGAACATTTCTGCTTCGTGGCTATGACGCTCGAAGTCTCGAGAGTATACTTCAATGGCGAGATGCCACCAGAGATGGAAGGAATCTGGCCGTACACAAAGGCCGACGCGGTCAAGTTCGAGAAGGAATGTGACAAATTCTGGGAGACCGGCATGGAGAACATGCCTCGAGGAGAGCTCGAGGGTCTCACCATGGCCGAGGTCAGACAGGCCTACGAAAACGGCAGGATCATGCCCCAAGTCCGGCACGAGGAGTCTGCCCAGATGAGGAAGCGAGCTTTGGTCCCGTCAGGGCTCACGCGGAGTATTGATCATGACGGTGATCTACAGATGGATGACACAACCAGCTCCAGTCTGTCCAAGAGAGTCGGCCCGAGGCACCGGATGAGAAGAGAAGACGTGTTGGAGGATTCGGAGATCGCTGCTGAGGCCCAGGACGAGAAGCAGTCTGTCCTTAGGATTGGCAGGTCCTTGGAAAAGGTCCGGCGGCGCCGCTAGATGACAAAGGTGTCCGATGTGTCGGGGGAGGAGCATGAGCGACCGCGGTGGCTCAGCCCTGGAATCGCACAGGAGGAGAACGGATGATCCACTTTGTCATGCTGGAGTGGAAGATTCGGGCACGAAACGCGACTGGCAGGGGAACGTGGAAAGAGAACGGCACAGCTCGAACCTCGGCCGCATTTCCAGGGAGAGTCGACAGCCTCGAAAGATGGTGAGTATATTCCAGCTCCCTGGCAGGGTCGTCTCTAACCGAACTTCGCAGGTGTGATCCTCAGCCATCGATAATTGCATACCCAACCTGCCTCTGATACCACATATCCACGAAGCCCAACCCTTGTTTCCTTTAATCTTCACATGAGGCTCGAGGCACACTGCCAGACAAAGTGATGAGGCTCGTCCCCAGGCCTTCCTTCTTCAACGTGCAATACCACCACCAGCCCCTCAAGAAAGTCACACAATGCTCGAGAACAAGACTGTCACAACAATGTACATCATCAAGACCAGCAACAAGCGGTCGAGTCGAAAGACACTCAGTGAAGCCATCCCAGTCGAGGAATCAATTTCCAAGGAGACAAGGACGTCAAGCAGTGGCCAAGAAACAGGAGGACTGCAATACCCTGACTGAACAACAGCCATCAAGACCGCCACGTTTTCAATCACACTAGAAGGGCTGTGTGGACTACACTGCAAGCTCTGGCATACATGAGACGCATACACAATTCCAAAAGAAAAAAGAAAAATGAAAATGAAAAACTCCCGCATCAAGCTCATCGGCGACCAGCACAAATCCAGACCAAGCAGAGACCGACCCAGCACTCGCCACTGCTCACAAATGAACGGAGCCTCAATCACCTCAGTGCGCCCCAGCAGTGCTAGAGACGGGGACCAGCTCGTGCACGAGCCTGAGCCGGATCGGAAGCGCTCATTTCACCAGCTTGCAAGATGGTCGAAGACTCACCAATGAGGGCAGTACCACAAGAGTACCAAAGCAGACATCTGGGAAGGAAATCAAACCAAACAAGACTGCCAAACAAGGCTGTCTGGCTGGCAGGAAGTCGTGACACCGTGACAAGGTGGAACGACACACCCATACACGTCATAATCGTAATGAATAATACACCATCAACCCACCTGGGCAAGACTGAGTGCAATCGTTTGATGATCATGTCGCCGTATAATTAAAGAGTTTTGCATCCAAAGTGACATGACAAGAAGGGGTTGACTGACAAGTGCGGGCATGGCCGGGCCACATAGAACTGCATAGCATGGCTTCCTGTCCCTGCTGTCTGGGCTTTTAGATGACCAGGTTCTCAATTGACATAGTCACATAGACATTGTTTAGTTCTGATGTATTGAAATTCTACCCTGTGTACTCCTACACTTTGACTTTTCAGGCATTCACCTGCCTTCATGTGCCTCTTGATTGCGCACTTGACTCCATCCAACCCCGCGGCAGACTCGCCGCCAGCCTCGACGATCCCCTCGACACAATGCCATCTCAATGCCGCCTGCCACTTTGTCATTGCACCCATTGGCGCAGACGGCGGCGGAGTCTGGGGACGAGGCTAGGAATCGCCAACCCTGGGCTTCTTGCGTCTTAGACCCGGGGACGCCGGTGGCCCCTGGCTGTTGTCCAATTCTTGCTGGAGCTGATCAACCACTGACTGCAATACACTTGCCCTCGTGCTGGCAGCATTGACCCCGTCCTCTAAACGTTGGCGCACATCCGCCAACTCTTCCTTCGTTGTACGCAGCTCTTCCTTCGTTGTGCGCAGCTCCTGCAGTTGCGTCTCAAGCTGTTGCCGTGTATCCGCCAGCTCCGCATCCTTCTTCGTGCGCAGCTCTTCAAGCCGAGACTCATACTGCTGACGTGCATCCGCCAACTCCGCGTCCTTGGTCTTGCGCTCTTGCTTGCGCCGGTCTGCTTCGAGGCTCTCGCGCTGTCTCTTCTGTCGGAACCTCTGGACCTCTTCCTCCACCTCTGTCTCCGACATCCCGATCGCTTTGAGAAATTCCCCAGACATAGGCGCGTCGTTGGCAGGCGCGTCAAATCTGTGCGGAAAAGGATCACCTGTAGAGCGAGGCAGATCAGGTTAGTCTTTGGGGAGAAGGGTCTTGCAAGCACAGACAAGGATGAAAGAAAAGAAAGGCACAAAAGTACGGAAATAACTCACCCTCGTCGCAGATCGCATCCCACAGCAGCTGGCAGATCCACTGAACATACTGCTCAGTAGTGCATGGTGTGCGGGTGTCCTCCCACTCGTCAACTGCCATTTCCCTGGCAATTTTTACAGCATCTTTACAGACGCTTTCAATTTTCTCGTCTTTCTTTGTACCGAAATACCCCTTGATTTCCACGAGGTTATGCACCAGACGAATCATCTTGCTCAAAATCTCTCGCGTGTTCCTAGACACGCCATTCACGTCGACGTCCACTTTCCCCATGGCTTCCGGCGATTTGACGAGGCAAAAGAGGCCTCGCCGAACCAAAAGCGAAAGAAGAGAACAAGAACAATCGCGGTGCTCAAAAAAGTTGAGCCGCGGTGGCGGTGTTGGCGGTGGTTGTGGTTGTTGTTGGGGGAAGCTCTCAGCTCTGCAAACGCGCGACCTTGAGTTTTACAAAAGGCTGCAGTCGGGGCTTCAGACCACACTAGTGCCAAAGGAAAAACCAATCTCCGGCAGGAGAGAGATTGACAGTCGCATGGGAGATCGGTTGATTTAGTGAGCAGCTCATGGTAGGGGGCTTGACTGGGTGCCCTGCGAGGCAATGTAGCAGGCCACCTCAAGCGTCAGCTGATTGGCTTTCTAGCCATACTCTCCAATTGTTCAACTCAGAGGAGTCTGACCTACTGACAGTTCCCGAGTTCGAAAGTTTACTCAGGATACAATCAGAGAGCATGGACCAGCGTTATTTTCTCTATACTATTATTAGTAGTAAATTATTTTTAAACACTAGGTCTTAAGTGTTTACTACTATATAAAAAAGTATCCCATTCTCGACCCTCCCTGCCTCTTGCTTTTCCATCACATTCAGCGTTGGTCGGTCCCAACATCTTAGCCTGTGCAGATCAGCAATTGTTGGCTCGAAGCCTATTCACCTGCTTTTCAACGTTCCTTACAACCGATTTACTACCAAATAAACGGCTCCAGTTGGAGGATATCCCTCCGTGAAGACTGACTACAGCCCCTATTACAGCAGGACGGATGTCCTTTGAAGGCGGCGGCGCCCAAGCTTGGGCAGCCTATGAGGCTGTCGGAGCGACCACTATTTATTGCCAAGGGTAGACGGATAAAGGACATTGTTTTGCTGAGCTAGATAGTTGTCTTGTCTCTATTTTCCCTCTCGTGACATCTACCGTAGCTGCTATTTCCGCCTGTTTTCTCCCGACGTATTCTTCCCTGCCCTTTCGACGCATATCTGTACAAACCCATCGCTCGTCACGCTGCTCAAGGCTTTATTGTCGCATTGGGATACTGACTCGATCCAAGGATTCATGGATACGACGTCCGCAATTGGGACGTTCCACAAAGACTGGAACATAGTGCAGTTAAATTTTCCTGCGCAGCGAAGGTTGAGACGTCAGCAATAGTGGACTTACTCGACATTTTACTCTCAGACTAAAAACGGGTGTGATCGCGTGTACCACACCCGGTTGAAGGAAGGCCAATTACCTGTGTCCGCTGCGCGTAATCCGATGTAGCATGAGCAGGCTGTTGGCTGCAACGACGACGTTGGTATGCGAGACGAATTCGCAAGTACGCAATAGTCATGTGCAAGAACGGGACTTGCTGTACGGCGAGATCAAATCGTCAGTTACTTCACATGGCATCCCAGCAACAGACGGTCTCTGGTGCGGCCAAGAACTGGCTGTTCTTGAGTGGCGAGGACAAGTAGGTTAGTTACTCACAAGGATCCGCCTCCCACCTGCGAATACAGTAGCTGCTACCCGGTGCCAGCTCACAATTATCATGCGACAGTCTCGGATTCCATTCAAGGAGATCCTCTACGGTGACACCCGCTGTCGAGGCCCAAGTCTGGCAGCGATTAGATCCGTTGGAGTCGAAAGCATTCTCGTATTCGAAGCAGTCATCAATAGTCCCTGAGGCTCGTGGCTGCAAGGAAGCCGTCGGCACAGGGGTTTGAGATGAGGTTGGCTCGGGCGGAGGTCTTGTAAAACTCGTCACGGGCGCGCCTGTTGTGGTATAGCCCGTATAAGTGGCTATATTGCCAACAGCCTGGACGCAGTATGAGGTATCAAGCCACAGGTTGCTGCATGTGTTGTCCACTTGCGGGTTGAGAAAGTAAAAGTCATCCAGACTGAGACTGAAAGCCACGGATATGGAGCTGCAAGAGTCACCTTCAACTGTCTTCGCGCCGTAATTCCGTCAATCACCAGGTTTTAGACCTTTTAATCGGGTCCTGCAACGCACCTTGTACCACTGAGCACATCGTGTGTTCGATTGTCCTTGAGAATCGGTTGGCACGGGTGCCTCCGTACTCACTGCATTTCCCTGACCGACAGTCGGAATACCATTTGGGGAGCTACAAATAATTAACATCGAGTTGTATCAAGAAGCATATTGAGGTCGGCGTTAGAATAGGCGGCAACGAAAGGTTGAAAATACTAACCTAGCGCAAAGATACCAGCCTCTCCAATTAGCTAGATTGTTGCAAGCGGAATTAAGCATAGAATTCCATGCCAGAAGTTGCGCCTTTGTGATGTTGAGTGTAGCTGTGAGGGAGTCACACGTGTCCATCATTTGGAGCTGGTAAGTTTCGCACTGGCGGGGCAAACATACAGACTCGCCGGGGCTCGATAACTGCGCGCAGTTGATGTCAAATCCGTTAGCCGTGATGAGCCCGTGTGTGGAAACGCCAGTATTTGCCGAAATTGAAACGCATGTATCATCATCCCGGACGGTATAGTAGCTGTCACATGTCCTGTTGGCAGGAGGGGCCGATGTAGTCGTCGACCCGTTCACGGCGTAAAAAGTTGGGGTCGCATATCCGTAGCCCGTGGCACTGCAGCTCGATGTCAAGACAGAGAAGTCTGCGGCACCTTGATCGTCATAACCGAATGGGGATGAAAGCTGAAGCTTTTGAATTTCTAATTCACATTCCCAGCAGCTGTGTTCCTCTGTGCTGTTGGGCTGGTTTCTCCACGTTGCCACGAGAGCGTCACAATACTGGCCGCTCAGCCTGTGATGCTTATCAGCTCGGACATCCGGATTTCTTCGCCCGTGGCACTTTTGGGGCATCAAGTATTTCTCTCACGAGTCTTTTAGGCAGCCAAGCTGAGCTGCAAAAATATACCTATCTGTCAGGTAGGTTGCTGTCCACGGTTTGCCCCATTAGTGAGGAATCCCCAAAAGACTAAGTATACATACTAAATCTTATTCATCATCTGGGAAAGATCGGACAAAATGGAGGACTCCGACATACCGGGAAAGGTGGCTGAGCCATCAGGACTCATAACGTCTTCAGGCTGGGTACATGAAGCCTGGATTTTGTTTCTCAGGGAAGCAAGATCATCCCGGCACGAGCTTCCGCAGAGGCTATTAAGCTGGCCGTCATCGAGTAATTCAAAGCTGGCATCACTGTTCAATTTCTTGTCAGCGGTGTGTTGAATCTGGCCGTTCAGTTTAACCTGATCAACATTCGGGCATTCTTCACTGACCTTGCCCCAGTGTGTCTAGGAAGCCAAGAAGGACAAGAAGCAAGGGTCTCGTTGACTACCGCAAAACAGCCATCACTGAGACCCAGGGTATCGAAAGAGAATTGCACATTTAAAAACTGCTGCCCGTGAACAGGAGCAGCCTTCAGAAGCAAAAATGAACACAAGACGACAGCTCCGCGTAGGCTTGCCATGGTGTATCCAGAAAAAGGTGATGCAAATCAGACTGTTAATTGTTGCCATTCAGATGTCCGGGAGTCACAAGTCCCCTCATTTGAATCCTTGTGAATTTCGTATTCATGAGCTACGGCCAGGGATGATTGCGGCGTTCCGCCTGACGTGACAATCTGGGAGCTGGGGCTAGACATTATCAGAGCACTGCAGTGTCCTGTCAGCACTAGTCTCGCGAAGAAAGAAACAATGATCTTTGCGAACTTTTAGAGCAATCCCTTCATCTTGGAAGGCCAAGAATTTTCAGTCGATGTTCCAAATTTCTCCCTGCACCGGCAGAGTCATGCGTGTAACCTCGCGGTTTTGGCAGGTGATCACCTTGGTAAGCCGAAAAGCCCAAGACCCGTTTTTGCAAAAGCTCATTTCACCAGAAGTATTAGGACTTGCTTTTGTAACTCATTCGAGCGAAAGTCTCACGAAACATATCCGAAATATACAAGATGAGGGAGCCAACTGTTTGAATTCGCTCGTTCAGCTTTGCAGCAGCCTGGAATTTAATCAAATCAATTACGCCCGAGAGCTTTTACCATCCTATGAAGGGACACAGTTATAAATTTGTGGACATAGACGGGTCAAGAACTAAAGCACTCATCCGAATCAGAATGTTGCTGTTCGGTGAAAGTTTTCTGCCCTTGCTTGGTCGGATATTTGAATGCTTTATCCTCGGACTGAGATGTAAATCGACTGTTGGAGCACTGGAGCAGCGAGTGAGACAGTGATTCGGCTCCTCGACATTGTTTCAAGCTCGACCTCACGTCAGCATGTCCCGAGGCAAGGGGTCTATTCAAGTTGTGCCCCCTGATTAGACCCAAAAAACTATTCTGCAACCGCTTTGCGGAATTTTCATGGTAGCTTACTTCTGTGAGGCTAGAGGTGTTGCAATGTGCTTGTCTTCAATGAGCCTAGGGGGTGAAGGGCGCCTTCCTGGAGCCTCCTCTGGAGGTTCATTTTTGGACAACTTGAAGGTTTCCGGTCACTAAACTCTGTCAGCAGCGATTCGGAACATCAAGGTGAGACACGAATCATCCAACGAAATCTGTTCCGGGTCCGGTCACTGTGTAAATGTATATCTAAAAGGTGAAAGTCCCAGATATGATGGATTACATCAAAGCTTTTGCAAACGGATTTATTGTGCCATCAACCCCAAATATATAAGCATATGTTTGCAGGAGTATGTAGTTGATTTCCTACATAATTTAATACTCAAATGTTCCGACATTATGTTCGGCTTACGAGTTATATGTCTTTCCATGTCCGGGGTATTCCTCGTGGCAACCCTTCAGCCTCCTAAAGATTTCTTGGCAGCAGAACTGTTTCCATTGGTTCAAAAAGGCGATTTGACTACAGGTCCTGATATTGCACCACACCAGCCACTTCAAGGAGAACGAGGGATCGGTAGCAGTGCGCGATTTGAGCATGCAGCCTCGGCCTCTTTGGGGTCGACCGCCCTCCTGCGCCGGGACGATTACACATGTGGTCCAGGAAGTAAGTCAGCCCTGGATACATAAATAAGATGTAGTAGTTGTTGCCAGACAACACCCAAGGCAATGTTGAGCTGTAGCTAAAGTACTGCAATAGGACCTTGCAATAACGGGGCGTGCTGCGGCGGTACGCTACTTCCCCGGTCCCTGATTGACGAATTCGTATGCTCAACCCATGTGTGCGAAACTGACCTCTAGATGAAAACAGAAAGCGGAAATTGTGGATATGGTGATATGTACTGCGGAAATGGATGTACCAGCAATTGTGATGCAACGGCGGAGTGCGGGAAGGACTCAAAGGATCATGGCACAAAATGCCCGTTAAATACCTGGTAAGGATCTTCATTTCTATTTTCACTATCTTCGGATCCCCATTCAATTGCTCATTCATGATTTTCACTAGCTGTTCGCAATACGGTTTCTGTGGTACCACGGCCGGTAAGTTACCTTTATCACCAGAGGACCTGAGGTATCTGCACACTTGTTTAACCTAGCATCTGAACAGAATTCTGTGGTAAGGGCTGTCAGTCCAATTGCGTGGAACATCCCAAGCCTTCGGGAAAGACTGGAAAGACCTTGAACAGAGGTGAGAAAGCGATCTACCGAGTTCGAAAAGTTCCGTTGTTCTCTCTAATCCCTGGGTCGTTTGAACAGTCATTGGGTACTGGGAAGCCTGGAATGATCGCTCAACTTGCCACAAGACTTCGGCATCTGACCTTCCACGTATGTTTTCATGAAATCATACACTTTGATCCAAAGGGCTACAACTCAGCTGACATATCCAGTTGATGCTCTGACGCACGTCAACTATGCATTCGCATATATCGATCCGTCGACCTTCCAGATCACTACCATGGATGTGGCCACTGCAATCTCTACGTTTGATGACATTGGGGCCATCAAGGTGACCAATCCAGATATTCAGATATTTGTGAGCCTGGGAGGTTGGACCTTTTCAGACAATGACACCGTCACACAGCCTGTGTTTGGCAACATAGCTGGAAATGCTGCTAACCGCCAGAAATTTGCGACCAACTTATTGAGCTTCCTTACAGCATATGGATTTGATGGAGTGGACTTGGACTGGTAAGACACTCAATGAGAGAAATGATCATCACTACTAGTAGATGTGAAATGCTGACTTGCAAAAGGGAATATCCCGGTGCTCCTGACCGGGGCGGCAAGAAAGACGACACAAAGAACTACGTCGAGCTGTGTAAAACTTTGCGAGAAACATTTGACAAGTCTGGCCGAACATTGGGGATAACATTCACTGCGCCGTCATCTTTTTGGTACTTACGCTGGTTCGATCTTCCTGGGATGATGAAATATGTCGACTGGCTCAATTTTGTGAGTTGACGTATTACAATGATCCCCTTAATCTCACCAACAACAGAAAATTAACGTCTTTTGGGGCGGCGGCAGATGACATACGATTTGCATGGTGTCTGGGATAGTACTAACCCAATGTAAGTAATGGATACGTTGCTGCAGGGGGAAATCAACAAGCACCAAGAGTCTAACTTAGAGCAGCGGATCCATTGTGCAAGGCCACACAAACCTAACAGAGATCAAACTGGCCACTGAACTTCTATGGAGAGTTGGCCTCTCCCCGTCTCAAGTTGCCCTAGGGTTTGGATTCTATGGCAGAAGCTTCACTCTGGCGGATCCCAGCTGCACGAAACCTGGTTGCCCGTTTAGCGGTGGTGGTGCAAAGGGAGTTTGCACTGGTACTAGTGGATGTGAGTATGCACCTCATCGAGCCTCATCATTCTGTTAATGTGGCTTCCAGACCTCGCCTATTACGAGATCCAGGACATCATCCAGAAGCAGAGCAAAAAGAGAGACTTCCAGGTAATACATGACAAAGAAGCAGCTGTGAAATATTTCTCCTGGGACAAAAACCAGTGGATTTCGTTTGACGATGAGGAGACGTTCAAGCAGAAGGTTGATTGGGGCAATGACATTGGCTTCGGAGGTTCTCTAATCTGGGCTTCAGATCTTGGTTTGTACTATGTCCCAGGCCAAAGCTTTCATCGCGGAAACAGCCGAAGCTAATTAAGGTCATCCAGATGATTTTGAGTACTCGGCACATAAAGCCTTGACCGGTAACAGTAAAATTGGAAAGCTCTCAAGTCTCCAGCAAAAGAACACCCAGACCCAGCTTACCCAAAGCGTCAGTCAATTTTTGGGCCAAGGATGCTATGTCTTCAGCATCACACAGGATGATATCAACCAGTATGCCTGTGATAGGGGATATGAGAGGGTCGGGTATGATGCCCATGGCTGTAAAGCCAAAAAGGTATGAACCTGACTGTCCAAGGGAAATTATGCCCTGCTCATACAATTTCATTCCATAAAGATAATGGTACCTTTAGCTGACACATAGGCGTAGGGAAAAACCTGTGGCCAGCCAATATGCTGCCCTAAATCCGCCGGGATGAAGGACAAGTGTATGTGGCGTGGAAGCGGAGGGGATTGTAACGGCCAGTGCCATGCCAGTGAGGTCAAAATAGCAGGTTCTAGCTGGGGAGGCAAGCCTGGTGAGTCTGGTACCGGCCGGTGCAGCCGCGGAGGCAAGGCCTTCTGCTGCGATGTCGGGATAGAGGCGCTCACTGATGACTGCTACTGGACCGAATGGTAAGTTTGCCATCCAGAAATATGATCCAGGTGTCACGTTTGATTTCCAAGCCAACAAAACGTGCAGCGGTGCATCTTGCAAGGGCGACGATGCAAAAGTCGCACATGCCTACGACAAAGACGGCAAATGCCTCTACGATACAGGACTGAAGAGGGGGGAGGGACATGATCTAGACAAACGGTATGAGCGTTATCTTGGTGGCAACACTTATTGCTGCAAGAAAGATCGAATAGCGTTCAATAGGTGCAATTGGGTTGGAAAGGGAGACTGCGCCGACAATACCTGTGACCGAACGGAAGTTACTCTGCTGACGAACCCATACGGAGACTCAAGCACATCCTGCAACTGTAAGTTGTCAAATCTCCTGCTTGGATATACTGAATAACTTTCCAGTATAGCTTGACTTGGACAATCAGCTGACAATCCAAAGGGTGGCGGTCAAAGGCTCTGTGTTGCCAGCCCAACCAGGACACGCTCCAGACACTAGACTGCGATGCCGACCTCTGCGCAGACAACCAAGCTGCCTGTGATGACGAGGCAGGTTATGATGACAGTGATGGCTTTGGTAGCGTAACCAAGCGATCATATATATCCAGCGATGGCCGAAGATGGAACAGCTATAGTAGCAGCTTGCACCTTCTCGAAGACAGGGCGAAGACGCGCCCTGGTGACCGACGCAAGATGATATTGAATATCCCGAAGGTCGTCGGATCTAGCATATATGGTGTGCTCAATTTGGAAAGCATCCAATATCCACCAGGCGCAAAGATGTTCTCTGGCGACGGGGCCTCGACTGTACCTATCAAAGGAGGATTTGCCATGGCAAGCGATCTCTGCGACTCGATCAGCGTCAAGTTCATTGCCTTCAAAGATCTCCCGAGCAAAGGCTTCAATGCCGAACATATGCAGGAGGTATTATACAAACGCCTATTGGACCCCCAAAGATCCATATTAGACATTGCTGACCAGAATTATTCCCCCTAGATCAAAATGGTTCCCCAGTGGCTGACCACCGCGTTGACGGGAGTGCTGCCGTCGGGGAAGAAAATGCAGGCGGCCGTGATAGACCCGCAGAAACTCATTGACCTTTGGAACAAGGACTATTCTGTGTCACTACCTAAAATAGGAGTCGAGGTCAATGACGTGAAAAATTTGATCGACCCCATTACACCTAACGACCGAATATTCACCATCATCGGTGCGTTCGCATACCGAATCGGAATGACCTTTATCCCGGCAGACATGAACCTCATCAAACGCGACATATTGGGCGGCAATAACCCGCAGGCAATTGGTAAATTCAACAAAAACCTCAAAGCCGTGGTCAACAGTGGAGATATGGATGCGGCCAAAATGATCATTGGTCCCCTTCAGAAGGTAGGATACTATGCCAGCCAGGCTCGGCGTCTTCTTTCGGTTCTTGATGGGAGATCAACAACCAGTAAATTACTTCTTCATCAGACAGCTGACACTGAAGAGAGCCCATTAGACATTCGGCGTATTCAATATCCTTAACGACGCGTATCTGGCCGATTACTTTGACCAGGCCCGCGGGGATTTCTTAAAAGAGGTCCAGCACATGCACGACCACATGCCTGGACTCGAGCCTCTGTTGCCCATTTGGATCGAATTCGAGAAAGATTACTACGAAACGGCCGCCACTTTCGCCCAAAACTTTATACTGACTAGGACCTCCTTGATCGCGGGGAAGTTCTTGGGCGTCCCTACTGGGGCATTGACTCCAGCCGCCGCAAAATTGACGTACGAGGCTGCCAAGCTGGCCACTCAGGTAGCTAAGCTCAAGTTCCAGAAGAAGAACTAGGGAGGCTCCATCCATGTTGCGGTGAAGATCAATTGCCAGACAGCTTAGATGCGAATCTATCAATCCACGGAGTAGGTATCGACATTGGACCCTTGTAAGATCCTCGCGAAACCGCCGAGGCTCGAGCCTTCAAGCTACGATGTTGTGATTTCCATCCTGGCTTTGGATGTCAAAGCTCTACCTACTCTACCGTTTTTTTAATGGACCTTGATCTAGTATTTGAGGCTCTACACTCAGGTCTCCATATGGTTGATGTCGGCAGTAACGTACCATCTAATAAACATTTATTGAAAATTTAGAAATGAATCATGATAGCCTCGGCAACTGTGACTCTCACACTGAAAACAAGTCGGTTTAATTAAATTGTTGACTTAGTAGTCAGTATCAAGAATCTGAGCCTCCCACGGGATTGTTCTTCCTCCACGATCCAGGAAGCTCATCCTCGTCCTCCACATCCACCATACGGGGTGGTCGCACGTAGGCATCCGACCAGTACTCGGGCTCAACCAGCTTCTCGTACATCTCGACATGCTCACAGATGGACAAGTACATCCAGCCAACATCCTCCTCCTCTTCATCAGTCTGACCATCCTCCCAACCCTCAGGCACCTGGTAGTCCCTCTCGTCGGGGCCTAACGGGCCCCATTGCTTCCACAGAATCTTGACAACCGGCAGGCTCATCTCATCCAGTGACTCCAGGCACACATCGTCGACCACAAGGCAGAAGTTCCACCGGGTACCCAAGAACCAGTCCGGGCCAGGTTCCGCATCACTTTCCGAGCGGGCGAGCGCGGCATGGCTGAACTCCTCGCGGCCCCGCTCCTCGTCCGTGAGGTTGTTCGGCAGTTCGTCGGCCACCCAGGTGCGGAAGTGCTCCCTCACGTCGTGGGTGGTGGCGCCCTCGAAGCGGTCTTTGTCGTCCATCGCGACGATCTCGTGGCGGGGGCCGAGGTCGGCCCGGCCCGTTGCCTCCAGGACCTCTTCGGCATCCCCGCGAAGCTGGGCCAGCATGCGTGCCCAGGTGTCGTCGGTCCCGGGGGCATACGTGGTGCGGTAGACGACGAAGCCCCACTTGCAACGTCCCTCGACCATTTTGTCGTCGTTGATGGTGTCGTCGATCATGATCAGCGGCGGACAGCCGGCGCGGCTCGCTCTCCAGTGCATCTTATGAGTGGTCGTGAGCTGGGTGGGAAGGGAATGAACGGTGTGGAGTGGTGGGATTCCGAGGGTTGTTTGATGCGCTGGAGTTGCTGCTGTGAGTGTGCAAGGAAGCGGAAAGCACCGTGGGGTCAGGCTTAGAGTAGCTGTGGAAAGTAGTGTTGGCAGTCTTGGCCCCGGCCTCATTGGAAGGAAATTATTGATGAATAAACCCTTGTAATCTAGGGGTCTGGTGTGGGTTAAAAAGGTAGGTGAGAATTGATCCGAGGAACTCCAGTTGCTACCTGTCAACTTAGAAGTCACTAGAGCTGCTTGTGGCTGTCATTGGGCAGTCTCGTTATCCAGCTACAATGTGACTCAATGGCCTATCTTTAATTCGAGGCCACTGCAAAGGAATGCATTCTGAGCGCATATGATCGTCAAGTGTGTCTGCGCAAAGTCTCAATTCGTGCAAACAGCTGAGACACAATGTCTCGCTTCAATGCTGAACCCCAGCTCATGTGAGGCGGCAAGGGTGGAACAGGGGCTCGAGGCCTGAGTCTCGATCGGCCACAGATGCACAGCTAATCAATCAGACACACATTCAATTCAAAACCTGTGTTGCATTCTCTGCATAATTTTAACACCATGCTCAATTATCGACCAGTGGCTGCGGGAGGACAAAAGTTCCGCCACACCCTGTACTAGCGATTTGCACCAACCCAACGTTCAAAAAAGCAACAATTGACCCATTACGAGAAGACGTGAATGGATTTTCAAAAATATATAAGACTAGAGATATTCATTTTGAGGGTTTTGCTTTTCAATCACCAAGGTAATGAAGCCAAAATTGAGCTGGTTCTCTCTATAGTTCTACGAGTATGGATGTCCAATTATTCCTTTGGTTATAACTTTGTATCTGAAGTCCTCGTTCCGGCTTGGAACTTCCTTCCAGCCTCCAGCACCAAGATGACCTGCCGTGCCAAACAGATCAACTCCATGTCTTCATTGCATATTGTCATGTGGATGTCCATCCTACCGCCAGACAACATTTTGGCTTCTGTGCGGACCAAGACAAAACGCAAGCCTTCCTGTGGCAGATTCTTCTTAAATTCGACATCCAGAGTGGCAGTCGTGTTGAATGTTTTCGACTTTACTAACTGTTCACGGTCTCTGTTAGTAATGGATTTCACATCATCGGCGGAATGCTGGTCGAGCCGGAGGAGCCTTCTTGCGTGAAAGGACGCACCTGAGCGGCAGTGTTAGAAAAAAGGCAGGTCTCCCCGGGATGTTCACTGGCCCATTTCTCCGCCTCGTCCCGAAAAACATGCGCGTCATACAGGCCACCGTTTTGCATGAGCGTATCGGACATGGATGGCACCATGTCGGTCATGAATGCCAGGTAGGTATCGGTGATCCGTTCGTCCCCCAGGAACCCATGCCATGTATCGCAGATGCCAGGAGCAACAAAACTGCCGCGAGGGTACAAGTCCAGTATGCGACTGGTCATGGGGATGATCTCGCCTTCGAGACGAGCGGGGACCCAGTTCGGTTCAGCTTTCCGAGCGAGCACACGCTCGAAATCGGGGGTGGGCTTGGGAGGGGGCAACAGCCCACTCCAGGACTTGGCGGTGGGGACGCTAGGGCCCAGAGACTTGTTGAAGTCTGTCGCCGTGGCTAGGGCGATGATCTTGAGCTTGTTGTTCTGTCTGGCTTGCGTGTGAGCATCTGTTTTTAGAGACGTCGAGGACAGCCCTGCCCCAAGGATGTGGTCAGTCGACGCGCCGGTTAACACGGCACCTACGAGAGTCTCAGCTCCAGCGTGCTCACGAGAGCGCCAATCTTCAGAGGCGTGATGGTGATGACGCTGTCGCAACGTTCACAGGACCGAAGGAAATCAAAATGAAGGTTCAAAATATGAGGCTGGGTCCGGAACCGAGGGTCTGTACGGAGGTGGGTCGCGACGGCATGATGGACCACGGCGGCAATGCATCCCCCATGAAGAGCTGTTTGGGTTGAAGAAGATCAAATCAAGTCAGCCATGGCCTGAACACGAGCCGCAGGAGCAACTAACTAGAGCCGACCGTCCAGTCTACATGCCAAGAAGCCGTGTAAGTATCACCTGAGATTTGCTTCAGGTTGATCTGCTTTTCGAGAAGAGTTGCCATCGTCGCTGGGCCTGTTCGTTGTGCAGGTGTAGAAAGTGCTGGGAACAAAAGACCAGTGTTGTTGTTTGTGGAAGTACAACTCAAATTACTAATTATCTCGTACGCTCCTTGTAAGCTGACTGCATGTGATGACCATTTGGGGCCAGGGGTGTGAATCTGGATGCCTGGCCGCACAAGGGGCTTACTGCATATCTAGGTACTACACCCGTTTTGTCGACCCCTCTGCCAATCTGCCGCTTAGTGATTGTTCATTAGGCTATCGCTACTGTAAATAAGATGCTAACTTTTGTAAAATATCGTTAACACCGTCTTAATCCCACTCTTTATGCGGTCTGCCTTTGTCTTCTGCAGGTGCGTGCTGGATCATGAAATCTGCTGCTGCTAGCTGGAGGTGTACATTCTATGACTACGATAATCGGTAAGCTTCCGCCTTTTGGATCGTTTTTTTTAAACCATAGATTTGGCCCGAATGTCTTCAACCTTTCCAAGTCATTGACTCACAAGACAGCTAATCATACAGCCCATGGGTTGGTGGAGCAGGTGTAAGTCCCTCGGGAATATAATCATCTCGGATATAACGACTGTTCGGGGGCGTGGCAAGTATATGGCCATAGTCTTCGCAGCAGCTGGGATCGGTCTTGCTCTCGGACAGCCCCTTGTGGTGTCATGACTGAGTGACAGGTGTTAAGTTTTCGTTCCAAGAACCCCATCCACATGTAATCTCCCCAGAGGCCTAGAACCTTTGCACGACGGCCCTTGTAGCAGCTATCCATGAGTATGTGGCCGCAGTTGGTATAACCAGCAACGAGAAATAGTGACTCAATCTCCCTTTCGGCGTGCGGCCGTTCGTTGATCATGCTGCTTCTTTTCTTGTACATCGATGCCCTAAGGCTGTTGACCATACGCCACGGTCTGAAATGAACAAACTGGGTGGGGAATTGCCTCCTCGTCGGGAGTGTGGTTATCATTTTGATCGCCTTGAGCTGGGCTGGTACCAGGTTTCTATGGGGGTCTTGGAGGATCCTCCTCCAGCTCTTGGTTGGATTCGTGGGCCTTATTGTGTTCCATGTCTATTCTGACTTCTATATTAATCTAACAATCCCGTCATGTCTTTTTAAAAACGTAACGGCTGCCATCAGCTCTGCGACAACCTTTTCATGGGAATGCTTCCCATTTGGAGAAGTTATTTTCTTGCCATCCGCCTCGTGGGTGTCCTTCTTTATCTCCGCCTCGCGAGCTGGTAAAATCTGACTGCCTTCGATTTTCGTCTTTGTTCCTGCTTCTCAAGTGCCTGATGGACATTATAGATTATGAACCCGGGCTTAAGCCACACTCACCCAAGGCTTGTCGATTCGCGTGTATCATTTTGGACCCCTCCTCTTAGAGACAACATATAATGTATTCCTACTGGAGGGTAAAAAAGAGTATTATGTACAGTAATGGTTGGTGCAGAGCCCAGTTACGCGCCCACTGCGAGTCACACCAAGCCTGGTGTGCTTAAGAGATTAAATTGACTACTGAAATGATCTCAGGGCCGCATGCTTTCTTGCTATCTCTGTCCGGTCAAAGTTTCTTGATGAGGACCCCCAACACATTCACGGCTGAACATCCGAGCATCTCATCACACATGTGCATTCCAACAATCGCACATCTGCTTGAACCGTCTCCAACTACCCAATTCTACTTTAAACAGTCTCGAGCATTGTGACCCGTGCAGAGACAAGCTGTGCTGTGGGCTCAAAGCCCATTAAAGATGTGATATAGTAGACTTGGAGGGACTCATCCCCATTTCAACAAATCAAGATATGGTAGGCCCAACAACCAAGACTTTCAAGAACATGGCGCATATTCTTTCTACCATGGCAGAGTCCCCTTTGGATACTCCGAAAACCTCGGTCACCCTACCACGGAGGAGCTACTGGTCGGCGTCTTTCGCCAACCAGACGACGCGGTGGGCCAACACAAGCTCTAATTCTTCAACAATATTCTCGCCCAGATTCGGAGTGCGGGAGCCATTTTCGTCAACCCTGTGGTCATCCCAGGTCTGGAGGAGTATGAAAACCTCCCGGCAACTAAAAAGGAAAAGGAAAGAAAAGAAAGGCGGTACTGCACGCAATTTTAAATTCGGTCTAGAGGAGGAAAGTTCTACCTGAACTTCCAGTCATTCAGAGCAGTGCCAAGTCCCTCAGACAGCTGACTGAGGCGGACAAGAATGTACTTATCCGAGTGTGTTCCAAGTTGGAATGTTGTAACCATGGAACTCGTGATCGTAACTCAGCGATTAATTCACTTTCACCAAAACGAGGAAAAGACAACAATGCGGCATGCTCCCTCATGCTCCAAGGCTTCGTCGCCATGTCAGGCTCACCAGCCATGAGCGTCCCCATGGCATGACATCCATCGGGAACTTACGTTGTCTTTGACAAGGGAGTGGTCAACTTTAGAACGCGGCCAAATATTCGTAAATCTAGCATCTTGGCTTGCTGCAGTCTGATGAAGGCAATTTGTATGTTTACCACTATGCTCGACAGTTCGAAAATGCTAGTTGCTATGGGTAGTGCCTGCATTCCAGTCGCTGAACGGTATGAGGAAAGAAACGAGGGTCTTACGAGGTCTCTGCAGTCGAGCTCATCAACCTGGTACCGGAATCAACACCACCACGACCAACTGAGGGCTGTAGATGAAATGAATTCTTTGAATTCAGATTGAGCACTTGGTATGAGAGCACGTGCTTCGATGTACTTAGTTATAGCCCGCGTTCTTGTCATAGATATAGAGTTGCCCTGCGCCATGGAAACCTGAACACACCATCATCCAAAGACAGTTCATCCGATCAATTCCAGTTACCGTGGACCGTCAATTGTCTAAAAAAATACTCCGATGCAAGTCACTATGTGGACACTACCCAGAAATGTTCATGATTTGATTTTTCCCCTGCCAAAATTCCTTCTCCAACTGCCATCCATCTAAAGGCCACTTCATCCAAACCAAGCACCATCTTGACACGAAATGTGTCAGCCCAACGGCCGGTCACGTCAAAACTCAAATGTAACTTGGAGTAGGTTCGGGATGGCCCGATTTCGACAGTACATCATACCACTACGCTTTTTGGTTCAGAGCACGAACTGCACGCAGTGTGCGACTGGGGACGTTCCTACGGCTTGCAAAATTCCTTGGCACACCAGTGAACATCAGATACTCAATTAACCAAGTGGCGACATGCCACCGAAGTCTATGTCCTTGAGATGACACTCGGTCTTGGCTATCAACTAAAACCTTGCCAAAAATCTACCACTTCTCACAAATATTCTTGATTCGTCATCCTCGACCGGAGGAACCCAGCGACGTTGGAGCAGACTACCCGTAAACCGAAAGTTCCGGCCCCAGGAAGCTCTCCATTATGCCATTTGAAACCCCCAAGAACAGATCGCCCTCACCGCATGTGACACCCAAGAAATAGACTCAGGGCTGCCATCGCGGAAAACGTGCGCAGATCTCTCCCCGGCGCTCTCGCCCCCAACCTTATTCCCGAACCATATTGAGACAACTTAAGCTTAATTTCTTGACACCGTCATTTTATGTGCGATACACTCGAGATGACGAAGAGAAATCGTGTAAAATCGATGCATCTCATGAACAGTCCCGCCAGAACATCCCATCATACGAACCGCACCGCATATCGCGGCATCCTCCCGTACACAATCGGCGCCGTGTAGCCGATGTCAGCAAATAGGAAGACATCTTCTTGCCTGTCTCCCGGGCTAGCAGCGGCTATGTGTTAAACAAGACAGACACGCAGATAGGATGGAGTGAACGATAAATTTGGGGGCCAAACAGGCAGGGCACGGAGGGGGGGGAACAACATGCGCGGGTGCCAGATCCGATCGAGATCCCAGAGCTCCGCTCCAACCAGAAACACGAGCTGCAAATGCAGGACTGACTGGTGGTGGTGATGATGATTGGAGCCCCCGCGCCGGGCATGTCCCGAGCTTCCTTCTCGTCCTGAGACGCTGAAACTCATCCCAAGGGCAGCAAAGGAAAGGAGGGTGCCTTCCCAGGGCTTCCATTGCTTTCGAGAACCACTTGTTCCTGGTGGACAATGTCCCAGTTGTACGTAACGACCTACTGAGGTACCCAGGGACGTATATAGATTATCAGATTGCTCCAGGGTCAAGCCTTGTCCGGGGCGGTCCGCGAAGATCGAGGCCTTGCAACTGAGCATCGTGAAGAGCGGGTCCCGGTGCCGTCCTCCGTTGTTGCTTGCCCCAGTATCAGGCCATCAGGAAACACAAAAAGGCGTACACATTACCGCAGGAACCCTAGCGGACATCCGCTAGGTTTGAAGCTGGCCCTTTCGGCGTCTCCGCTCTTTGTGAGTCACACTCCTTCTTCCAAACATGTGGAGAAGAGACGGCGGCGGTCCGGTGAGAACAAGCAGGGAAAGGAGACAAAAAAGCACTCGCTGGCGCCGACGCGTCCTGGGCCAACCGCCGCGCTCGGCGGGTTTAAGCAGGACATACGTCGTAGCAGGACAGCCTCGGGATTCCTCAGACCCCAGGACGTGGGGCAGCAGAGGAGGGGCAGGGCAGGATGTTCACAACTTCGTCAACCCCATTAGTCCATCCGTCTAGCCGTCGTTCTTTCTGCCCTATACACTTACCAGAAGAACACCAAGGCGGCCCAAACCCCACAAAAACACGCCACGCTCCGGAACCCAACCCAGCCGCGTCTTCAGAGAACCCACTCTCGGTGTGGTCAAGGGCGGGGCCCCGATGACCTCACACCCTCCCCTCCCCCCATCCACAACTTTCTTGCCCAGGGGGAACAGACACTCGGGTGGTCCTCGGGGGCGGTAAGTCAGCCTCACGAAATGCAGCGTGGGTGTGGACTGGCTGGCTATTGATAGCATTCTGAACTCTGTATGTGACCTGGGGCCCTCATCACAGTGGGACTGACTGTGGGCGACACATATCCACACCCACAAAGCCCCCCCGGCACTTGCCAGTGCCTGGCGTACCAAATAGAATAGTCGAGTCTGGGGAAAGCTGTCACAATGCCTGCATG